ACCACTTCATGCCTCCCGAGTTATGGCTTGAAGGCAGTCACGATCGGGAGTCTCGACCTCTCTCGAACTTCGTCCAACCTGAGGTCGACTTACACTTCTGTGGCCGGCGGCTCCTTCCTTCACCTGAACCACACCTCAGCCTTCCAATATTGGCATTGGCTCAAGCCAGCTCGTGAAGCTCTCAGGCTGGAACCCTCCTTCTTCTCTCTCATCGCAGTGTTTGTGATTGGAGATGATTCAAACTCCAACCAAGCAATGAAAGAACGGGCATGGGAAACCTCAACTTGACGACAGAACCAGCTTACATAATCTTACCAGTTTTTTTGTAGATGCATGTGCCCGGATTGGTAGAATCACCCTTAGCTGTTATAGGTTCCAGATCATCTAGGTACTTGTGCCAAAAACCCGTTCTGTTTTCTATAGTACCTACCTAGGTACCTATCTCTAGGTACAAATCGCACCCTTTCCTAAGCTTTATGTATCATTCAATTCTTCATCAAGCATGTTATGAATTCTATGTGACCCAAAGTGTAGTAATAACTTGCATTGTCCTATGTATTTACTTCACAGAATTATGCCTCTCCCTGTTCGTGACTGAAATATCAGAGCCACCTACATTTCAATTGCTCCCAATTGCAAAAGAGAATCAGAACCTTGGGCGATAGTCTCCTTTCGACAATGACAAACTTTTCGACAGCAAACCCCCTCGTCACTGAGCAGCAAAAAAAAAAGGCTTGCAATGGAGAGACAAGGCTACACGGCCCAGTCTCTTGCGGCCATATGCTTTATAGGGTGAACGAGCATGAGCAATGGCTGATTCCACGGTATTAAGACGAAGATCTCCTTGAGGCCCCTCTGGTAGGGATGGCTGGGAATATAGCGGAAGCCAATGAACACTTGGTCTCTGCTTCAAATATAGAGATGTGTTCGTCGGCAATCGCTTCGAAATTTAGCGAAAACAATAACTGTAAATGTGGTCGTAAATCATACGCACCCATCATTACCTAGCCGAAACAATTTCGAAACAATCTCGGAAGAAGATCGACAGGTTTGTAAACATTTCCGACTTCAGTTGGTAGGCAAAACCCGAGTCTAGAAGGATTAGGGATTCCACCTGGGTAGAGCCTGACGTTGTGGCTTCCTTTACCCTCTCCCCTATGTTACTATGTATTCAGGCAAAAGTCACTGCCCAGCAGCTGCTGATATTGTCCATCTTGCGGTAGGCACTTTGATCACTGCTGAGATAATTTTATGCCTACTGGATCTTGGTTGTTGACGGGGCATGTGCATACCAACAGTCTTCCCCAGGATTTGCGAACATGGATATGGACAAATCTAATGACGAAAAACCATCGATAAGGAAAAGTTAGTATATTTACATACTTAGAACAATAATTTTCTTCTCTAGCCCACGATTCTTTCCGTATTGACTTAAGCCCATGGCTAGTGATCGAGACATGATTGATCTGCTTCGCGAATACGGTAAGGGTCAATCTCGCTTAATTCACCTATGAAAACCTCTCCGAGCAGAGTTGTCACAGTTGTGAAGGAAGAAACCTTCCTCCCTTCTCTGATATATACCTCCTCTAACCAGAAGTGAAATAAAGACAAACTTCAAAATATAGAGCGAAGGTGTTCAATTCTCTTAAGAATCTAGGAGGGACCCTGGGGGGAGCTATCATTTGTCTTGGAAACACAGAATCAGTAGGGCGGATAGGTACTCCTTTTTGTAGAGAGTTCTATTGTAGTTATTCAAGATGATAGTGGATCAAGTACTCATTGAAAGAAGTTCACATCAGGTTCATATCAGTATCTCGAAATTGAATCTCAGTATAAAAAAGAATCACTTCACGAGTTCTACCTCCACGACGGAGATAGCAATGAAAAGCAATATCATTCCTGTGTCTCCATTATCAACGTAGGACACCACAAATCCGGTTCCCACAAACTGAACTGAAAAGATGTCACAGTTTCTCAATCATGGGAGCACCTCGCTACAATAGCCACCTAGTCCCAAAACCACGGAGAACGGAGAACGATTTTCGACGACAGCTCGTTTTTCGACACTAAATCTTTATAAGAAGCAGTGTAAAGTAATCTATCCAGATTCAGGGGAGAAATACAAGATCTCTGATAACCTATGAATGCCCCTTTTGTCAATGATACCAACTCCGACGAATCATAAAGACTAGATGAGACCCAATGATTGAGGCAAACATGAGATCGTGGTTACTGCTCGTGGTTTTCGAATACCGAGTTGATTATTAGACGGCTGCTTGTATTTATACCCCCCTCTCGGTTGGGAGTGACCTTTATACACCATATTAGATGTGGTAATAGAGTTTATGGATATTCTCTTCTGCGTTCTTCTTTGGCTTGGTAAAGGAAAAGAAGGAGGGTATGGTAGTTATACATAGAAGAATGAAATGTGCCTGGAAAGCGTGAGTTGAGGTTCTGGTAGTGTGTTCAAGGTATCAATATATATAATTGCCAAATTTAGAGGATGGAATGATATACACAGTCCAGATAGTGGTGCGTTTATGGGAATCATGTCCTCAGACTTCTCATTTGAATATTATCTCTTGCTGAGGATACTTCGTCGGAATTGAGAAGAAATAGTATATGAATACGAAGATTGATGAATTCTTATAATTATTAACTTCGCCTAAACACTTGTTGTCTCGTGTTCCAAACGGGTGTTCGAAGATTGAGGGCAGGATGAAGAGGCTGAACTTCAGGTGGACGGGATGGGTTTGAAGACAAACAGAAGATTGCGTTAGACCTAAAGTCAAAGCAACCCCTCAAGGCTCAACCCACCAAGCTCAGTGCCATCCACCAACTGTTCGAGAACAACCAAGTGTCCCCAGTTAAATTGACAACCCCCCCTTCTTGATATTTCAACCTGGTAGCAAGAAAACAGAGCATACTGAGAGATAGCAATTTCCAGTAGCTCTGTTCATGAATAACAACTTCAAGTTTCCCTCCCTTGGAAACCCGCCAGGAACATACAAACATGGTATCCTGCTAGGGGGAAATCGTCTAGTTCCAATAGAGAAAAAAAGTTCAGAGACCTTTGCTTGGAATGATACTACTGTGTTCTTCGACAGTAAATTGTGTGGTATCTATCCTTTGCACCAAATTGTTGATGGGAACATCAGTGCACCACTAAATAGGGCCCCCGGCCTTCAATAGACCGCTCTGTCCCGTGTATTTTGACCTTGAACTATGGTTCCTTCGTATAAGTTACATATTCTGATTCCACTGCCCGTCGAAGAGTTGTATTTATAATTGTGTCGTACTCTGCAGTACGTAGAGCAGCAGAGAGCAAGATTGTCCCATTCTACAGCCGACTTTGAGGAAGGGCTTCAATTTTACTTGGTTAATGGTCATTGAACTTCTCTACCTTCCCAAATCAAGTCTCCTCGCCGTTACCGCTCTGACTATGTGATTCAGAAATCACAATGATTGTAAAAGACAAGTCTCCGAGAATTGAAATCTTATCTTACTCGAAAACACAACAGAGGTCTCACAAAAAGAAGTTGAACATGAAATTAATACCCCCAGAACCCCAATCCCAACTATCTATTCCATACTCAAACATCCTTGAGATTCCTTTTAGAACTCTTCTTCTTAACCTCCTTCGTTTTCGTACTCTTACTCTTCTTCCCCCCCTGTTCCACAACGACCTCACTCTTCTTCTCAACCACATCCTCCATCACCACATCCTTGGTTTTAGGGGCCTTACTCTTCTTACTTTTCTTTTCCTTCTGCTGCACGGGAGACCTTTCCGCAGCATCCTCCATAACGACATCTTTCGAGACATTCTTCGTCTTCTCACTCTTACTCTTACCCTTCTTCTTCTCCTGCACCGTAGATTTATCCACCGCGTCCTTCATAACAACATCTGACGTGGAGTCCTTCGGTTTGGATCCCTTGTTCTTCTTATCCTTCTGCTTCGTCGCATCGCCCCGACTAGCATTAGGATCAATACCCTTTCTCTTAAGAAAAATTCTCTGTGCCCGCTCCATATAAACTTCATCCTCGTCCTCCTCCCAGCCCCCAAATGGCTCTTCCTCCCCCTCCTCATTTTCGGGGATCGGCCGTCTATCAACCTCCAGATCATCATCAACCTCCTTCTTTGGTGCATTCGCAGACGATGCAGCAACCGAAGCAGCAATCGAAGGACCCGTCTTCTTGAACTTGGAAACAAAGAAACCATCCACGTTGTAGGCGTGAGGATAGTATCGTCGCGTCATCTTCATAGATTTATCGAAGTTTTTGCCCATGTAAGCTGTGAATCCCTCCTTTCCGAAGACCAAGCCGGTTTCCACGAGTTTGACATTGGGTCGTTTGCTCAGGGCGTATTGGACGACTTGTTCGTTTTCTTCAACAGTGACGGAACAGGTGGAGTAGACGATGTAACCACCAGTTTTGCTGGCATGGTCAACGGAATCAATCGCGGCGAGAAGAAGCTGTTTTTGCAAATGAGGAAGCATAAGAAAATCCTTCTCATCCTTGTTGGTCTTAACACTTGGGTCTTTGGCGATGACTCCAGTGCCTGAACATGGAGCATCAAGTAAGACACGATCAAACCCACCCATAACCTTAGGAAATTCCCGAGCATCGTAATTGCACACGATGGTATTCTTGGCACCTAAGCGGTGGATGTTACCGATCAGACCCTTTGCACGGGACTTGTTGCTATCGTTTGCAAATATGACACCGGTGTTTTTCATGAGTGCTGCAATATGTGTCGTTTTTCCACCGGGAGCAGCAGCCATATCGAGAACTCGTTCGTTTTCCTGGGGAGCAAGAGCCATAACGGGGAGGAAAGAGGAGGCAGCTTGGAGAATGTAGTGGCCGGCGAGGTATTCAGGAGTAGCACCGAGGGGAACGGCTGATTCGAAAACCTGTAAACCAATTTTCGACCATTTCCCAACAGGCTCAAGAGTTACACCACGATTGATGAGTGAGGTTGCGAGATCTCTTCGGTGGGTTCTGAGAGTATTGGTACGGATGACGACAGGACGGGCAGTTTCGTTGGCTTCGAAAAATGCGAATGCTTCCTTTGGAGGAAATAAGTTAAAAAGTTTCTCGGCGAGGTATTGAGAGTAGCCATAGTATGCGCAAATATCCTTGATCAATTGGCCCGTGTAATCCGCTCTCGATCGTCCTTCCTCGGCAAGATTTGCCATATCGTCTAGTACTCGTACAGTATCGTTAATTCTCGTCCGTAATAACTGCAAATCGGGTGCTAATAAAGCATTGGTCTTGACACCGCCAGCCTCTTCGTCGTCGATGTCGTCAAAGATATGTGGTTTGTCTCCAGCGATATTCGTCTGCATAGCAGCTTCTTCTAACTCGGCTTGCGCATTCGCTTCATCCTCCATCATCTGCTCATCCAGTTTTCTCGTTAACCCAGCAATATTCGCAGCAGTAAGTTTCTCCTCAGCATCCGACTCGTCCTCGTCCTCCGAGAACATAGCCTTGGTCGCATGATCATCGCCGGAATCATACACCTCACTTCCAGAGTCCAAGAAGTCATCTCCCAATCCCCCAGTTTCCTCTCCAGAAACATCAAACTCATCACCCATGAGATCGTCCGAGTCCGGGTCGTCGCCCATTTCCTCATCCGACATAGGCAAAGGCATTGTCTCGGGTTTCTTCTTGCTCTTCTTCACAGGTTCCGCAGCAGGTAGCCCATTCGTAAAAGGCTTCTTGCTCTTCTTCGAGTCCTTTCCTTTTTCCTTCTCAGCTTTCGCCACAGCAGCAGCCTTCTTCCTCCTCTTCTCCTCTCTCACACCCATAGTCCTAACCTCAGGTTCTCCCTCTGTTGTGCCAGTTCGTTGTTTCTTGACATACTGCTGCGATTCGGCTCTCGATTCCGTCACGCTCATGCCGGCTTTTCTCTTCAAATTCGTGAAATGAGCTTCATCGAGTTTATCGGGCATGCCCTGTTTCTTCATGCGACGTCCAACTCCCATATTGGCGGTATTTGGCACACGAGTGGTGCTTCAATTGAGTGGGTGTGGAAGGGTTTGGTTGGGATTGATAATTTTCTCCGTCGTGAAATGGGCAAGCTTGCAGGTGAAATCATTTTTTTTCTTATCGCCCAAGAACTGCCCCGCTAGCGCCGAATGCCAAGACCTTGCTCTTAGAGTGAACCAAGCTCCAACTTACAGGACCAGAGTGCAACAAGTAAACACTTCTGAACCGGAGCGCATATAATCCAAACCTTCCCTCTCAATCCGACCAACAATCCGAACAAGAGGCCTCCTCAAATTCAAAATGACCGAATTATCCTTCGCAAAATCCTTCCTCACAACCCTCGATTCCCGTCCGAGCAAGATCAGCCCAGACCACTACGAAGACCCCAAATCCTACCCAGCGCGGAATGCCGTACGCCTCTCTCCCACAATCCTCTTCCTACTCCAATTTTCTTGCCCAAGAACTAACAAGAACCACAGTTCATCCTCCCAAAATCCACCGGGCCACCCCTCAAACGCAAAACCCCCGCCTCCACAACAGCACAACCAACAAGCTTCCCAGTAACCCTCAAATCCCTCCGAAACCCGCCTCTAGACATAACCATCCCTTCGCGGGACCTAAGTACCTCAATCTTGGATTTGAAAACCGCTTTGTCAACCGAAGCTTCGATCCCCGTCAAAGCTCTCAAGTTATTATACAACAAGAAGCCTGTAGCGGACAGTAAAGTCCTCAAAGATTTACTAGGGGCGGAGGGTGTAAAGGAGGGGCAGAGCGTGGAGTTCGGAGTTATGGTTATAGGTGGCGCTGCGGCGATAGTGAAAAAGGATGGGGAAGGTGTTACGGAGGGGGAGAAAATGGAGGTTGAGATGGGACATGGAGGGGATGTGTTGAAGACGGACGCTTTTTGGGAGGATCTGAGAGGGTTCTTGGTTCAGAGGCTTAAGGATGAGGAGGAGGGAGATAGGGTCGTTAAGGTATTTAGAGATGCTGTTATGAATTGATGATCATGGGCATAGTTTATTGGGCATTTCAGCATGGCGTTGGGCATGGAGGGGTAAAATTATACCTGACACAGTGCACATGATCTTGCAGGGTTAGAGAAAGACGAAATGCCATGTATGTCAAGAAGTGTTTTTTGATATCTTCGCAACAAAAACAGAAGAGCATTTCGTCTTTGCCCCCGGTTCTCCTCAACTCAAATTCGCATCAGGAGAAGAGGTTGAAAAGTAAAGAGTCCGAAGAATTGATTTATTGCCCCACCTATGCATACCATCAAGGCCAAATGAACAGCACCAATGAAATACGGCCCCCCGCTTCACCAAATCATCCCACCATAATATCGTTATTGGCCTTGCCAAACAATCGTCTATCTTCGGAAATGTGGAGTTTTCCCTTGTTTAAGAAGATGCCAATCCCTTGCTGACCTTTGTGAGAACGGATTGGTATTCAATATCATCAGTGTCGTTTCCTTGGAATTCGACGGCCAGACCGTTAAGGGCACGCTTGAGAGCATCCTTGGAAGAAGCGTACACCATTTTTGGCTATTCGGTTTGTTAGGACCGAGACCCCGAAACAAACAATAGTAACTTACCTGAATTCCGGCATCATCAGGCGACCAGGCGATGAAGGTGATCTTGCTTCTGTACAAATGGTTAATCCCAGTTCTGCCATACATGCGTCTGCATAGTATACCTTGATCCCTCGCCAGCGGCCAAGTCGTAGTTGAAATCATAAACGGCGTATCGTGGACCCTTGGTAACCTTGCCCTGTTTATTTTGTCAGTTGAGCCCATCTAAAGTCTGCCATGTTTTTGTTGCTTCCAGGATAACAACATACAGTCTTCATGTTTTTGGATTCGGCCTGGAGGAGCTTCTCACGGAAGACTTCCCAGTCACCCTCATTTGAGGCCTCCTCGACGACGATCTCTTTGTAGTCGTCTGTTAACTTGAAGATGATGAACTTGTACTTCTTGTTGAGCTTGAGATCGTTGAAGGTGGTGACGCAGTCAGGCGCGATTGAAGCTCTGGGTTCGGAAGTTAGTTTATGGACTGTTCGATGCGATCGATGGGATCGGGTTGGCTAGTCGCAGAAGCCGAGTTGGAAGGAGGGGCACCGGGAGGAAACTGACCCTGATTGAGACTATTTGCAAGCCATTAGCTCATGCCATAAGATACAGAGAAGACTGTGTGTTTACTGACCATTGTGCGAATTAGGGTATGTGACTAGCTGGATTGTTGAGATGCCTTGAGGTGGTGTCAGCAAAGTTGCGATCAACAAGAAGATTTCCAAGGTTTCCCCTCTATTTGCGGCGCGAAAGGGTTGATGTGGACGTACGAGCGGAAGGAGAGTTGCGGTTGCTGGTGTATGCGAAAGTGATAGAGACTGAGCACTCGAGGTGGAGAATGGGCAGATTTCTGGTCAAATTTGGTTCCTTGCTCTGGTCTCGAATGGCTTGGGTGGTCGTGATTGTAGGCATCAACATGGTGGGGTGAAAATAACGTGACCAAATACGGAACGTCTCGTCTCATCGCTGCATCACTGCACAGCCCAACTACAAAAGCAGCAACAACCCCACCACCCTACCATCTCCATATTACTGCCTGGGTTGGGATCATAGACAAGATATTGGAATCGAATGAGAAAGGACGTTTCTGCCTGTTGACATTGACACGAATCTTTCCATAACAGCACGAATCTTATTCATACCAAGAAACTTAACCGCTCGTTACCTAGCTTGCTAGTCTAGCTAGTGTACCTAAGATACCTAGGTAATCATAGATTGGTGTATGAATAGATGCCGTTCCTTTGGTAAGCTCCTATATTCACTCTCTTACGAGTCTAAGAATCAATACCTCCTTCACATAGAAGCTAGGCGAGCACCAAGACGTCAGGTTGAAAAGCAAGAGCCCCAGACTTATCCTTAGTTATTATGATCACGTCCGGACGGGGAAGCAGATTATTTATCATTGTTTTGCATTGTTTTTGTTCATTATGTTACATGCCTTCTGTGGCTCATTAATATCCTCAAGTTGTTCCTCCGGGTTGTTGGTAAGACAAGTGATGAAGAGTGGGGTGTGGTGTTATACAGCAAAATCCAGGCCCGCAGTATACATCTTCTCGTTGCGCCGTTTTCTATTTTACATTGTTCATGATACTTTCTTTTTCTTTTTCCTTTTCTTTTTACATCATTCCGCCCATACCGCCCATACCTGAATCGTGTTAGTAGTTTTCGTCAGGATGCGGATGAGAATAACTTACCACCCATGCCTCCCATTCCACCACCACCTGGAGGACCCTTCTCCTCTGGTGCCTCAGTAATGGCAACCTCAGTTGTGCCAAGTAAGGAGGCAACACCACTGGCATCAACCAGTCCAGTGCGTACAACCTTGAATGGATCAACAATTCCGGCAGCGATCATGTCAACGTACTCGCCCTTGGCGCTGTCGAAACCCTTGTTGAAGTCGGTTCCATACTCGTCCATAAGCTTACCGACGACAACTGAACCCTCAGTTCCAGCGTTCTCGACAATCTTGCGGGCTGGCTTGGTAATGGCACTCTTGATAATACCGACACCAAGCTGTTGATCAAAGTTTGCTGACTTGATGTTGCCTAAAGCTTGGCTGGCTGCCTTGAGAAGAGCAGTTCCACCACCCGGAAGAATACCTTCCTCAACAGCGGCGCGGGTAGCGTTGAGAGCATCAACGAAGCGATCCTTCTTCTCACCAACCTCAACCTCTGAAGATCCGCCCACCTTGATGACGGCAACACCCCCAGACAACTTAGCAAGACGCTCTTGGAGCTTCTCCTTCTCGTAGTCTGAAGTGGTAGGGTCGCTCATAACTCCACGGATTTGTTCACATCTCTGGCTAATAGCGTCCTTGCTTCCATCTCCGTTCAGAATGATGGTATCCTCCTTGGTGATGGTGATAGAGCCAGTAGTACCAAACATATCTGGAGTCGCTTTCTCAAGCTTGATATCCAACTCGTCGGTGAAGACGGTGGCGTTGGTGAGAATACCGAGATCACCAAGAATGGATTTGCGGTTGTCGCCGAAACCTGGAGCCTTGACTGCTGCGACCTGGAGTTGACCACGGAGCTTGTTCAAGATACAAACGGCGAGAGCCTCTCCATCAATATCCTCCGCAATGATGACCAAAGGACGGCGGAGTTGAGTGGATGCCTCGAGAGCCGGGATGATATCTGCAACCTGGGAAATCTTCTTCTCGGAGAGAAGAATCAATGGCTTCTCGAACTCGACTTTTTGAGTCTTGGTGTCGGTGATGAAGTATGGTGAAACGAATCCGCGATCGAATCGCATACCCTCAGTAACCTCAAGCTCATCCTCCATAGTCTTTCCCTCCTTGACAGTAATAACACCCTCCTTGCCGACCTTCTCCATAGCATTTGCAATTAACTTTCCGATGTGAGTGTCGCCATTGGCAGAAATGGTTGCCACCTGTGCAATCTCCTCACTGGTAGTAATGTCTCGCTTGTTCTTTTGTAAAAACTCAACGACCGCCTCAACGGCAGCTTGAGTTCCTCTTCGCAAATCCATAGGATTACATCCGGCAGCAACGTTCTTGACGGTTTCGGAGAAGATGGCGTGGGCGAGAACGGTGGCACTTGTGGTTCCATCTCCAGCAGTTTCGTTGGTTTTTGAGGCAACGTCTTGGATGAGACGGGCACCGAGGTTCTCGAACTTGTCCTTCAAGGTAATGGCCTTCGCTACTGTAACACCATCTGCGGAAGAAGTCAGCAAATGATCGATCTACTGAAGAAATTGAGAACCTATAACTAACCCTTTGTGATCTTTGGGGCTCCGTATGGGGATTCAATCAGGACATTACGGCCCTTTGGTCCCAGGGTTGTGGAGACGGCCTTTGCCAAAGTCTCGACACCAGCTAATAGAGATGCTCTGGCATCGACGCCGAATTTGAGCTCCTACAACATTGATGATCAGCTTCCACTTTTCTCTTTGGTCGTACCAATTGGAAAATTTTCAATTGTCACCATATTAACGCACCTTATGGGAGAATCTTAATTGCTGAGCGTTGAAGCTGGATGTGGCGGGTCGAAGCATCGAGGACGATGAACGCAGAGCCGAGGCCCTTGATGACAATGCGCGCTGCATGATATGAAGGCTCTAATTAATGAGATTGATTGTACAACTACAAAGTAGGAGCTGAGGCTAGATCACGGATGATCCAGTGCAGTGTTGAATGTTTGCGTGCAGGAAGGAAGCAAGAGGATATGGTGGGAGGTGGGTTTTATTGCAGCAAGAGGACGCTCGGGTATGAGTATAGAAAAATATTTCTGGGGTACTCAGTATCAGACGAGTAACATTTCGTAGAAGCTGCCAGAAAACGCTAGTCAGCATGTGGGTGCGTGTGCTTCCACGGGCCGACCATATGCCGAAGTGAACGACCTCCGACCTCAACCTCCGCTTGCTCCGACAACCTCGCTCGCCTCCTTCCCCTCACTCAACTATAGGTACCCTCACAAGGTCACTACTTTTGAACAGCTACTGGTTCCTACTCAATCAATGCATTTGTCATTGCTCTTAACAAATCATACTGTACTTTCTATTATGGTCGGAAAACTGTGCCATCTCCTCATAGCCTAGCCTACCGAAAAGCATCTTCCTCTCACAATGGACCACTTGTTACCTACTTTGCTCAATACTTCTGAGTAGCTGCATATAATGGAAAATTTGTGGATCTGGACATGGCTCAATACTCCAGCATATATAGTACTATGATCTCGCATCTGCCGAGCCCTCGCTTACCTCGGTGCCCCTCCCTACCTCAATCTCGCCACAGGCCGTCTGGAAAATAGTGGTTCAATGCATCTTTGCTAAGTGGCATTTCTGTTAGCCTGACCTCTGTTATTGTATCCCCTTTCTGTTTCATCGTCAAATAAGCAATCTGGAAACTGAAATATGTATTTTATCCAAACTGACTTCTTGTTGCTTTCCTCGCCTTAGCCGGCCGGGCGTGATCATGGGAAAAACATACTTCTTCATATGCTATTGATTGATGTCTTCCCAAATACAGGCCGTTGCATCTCCTGAGTAGATGAAGTCAACCGGCTGTAAATGGAGAGCAAATATTCTTGCCAGTTGACACCTAATCTACAATAAAGTATGCACGCTGCTTCCTTTTGCATTCAGAGCCATTTCTCAAGAATCCTGGAAGAATCCAAGACCTTGCTCCTGAATCTGTTAATGATCCTCGGTAAATGAAGATTTTTCTTTGAGGCAATTTGGAAAGGTTCGATGACAAGTAATTCTCTCGTTTTGAAAATTACGACTTGAGGTGTTAACACAAGTCTAAAGACAATAGAGACAGGACAGTAATATTGGATTGAGTCATGGGAGTTCTTATCCCTCCAATTGACTGTATTCAATGAGTCAGATTGCTTTCTGATTGAAGTTGAAGTTCAATACGTTCCATCAATAGTAATATTCAGCCCTGTTTCACTTCACTAGTTTCACGACGTTGATATTCATGTATTGTACCTGCAGATACAAGTGAATCGTATGGAGCAGATCAAATATAGGTATTTCCTGCCGTTGATAGGCGAACCGTCGACCGCATCGTGATGGTACATCATTATGCGAGCTTATGGCAAATCAATTTCAAAGGCAAGTTCTCAGTACTGGGGTTTATTGCTGACTGTACCTCCGTATGCTAATAAACATAAGTGAATCTGTAGAGCTCCAACCCTTCTTCTTAAATTGCTTGCCAATACAAAGAGGGTTACTTAGCACAACCCGTTCATTTGATGATGTTTTCCGTCCATGTTCATCAACACCATCGCATATCTGAAGACTATGACAGCTTCAGAACATCAGATATCTGCAGAAATGGTAAGTATTGCTCTAAGTTCCCATTTGAGAGTCTTTTGCTCTAATATGATCGCTTGTTTATAAAAAAATAGGGTCCAATCCTTCTTCCGAGTTCCACTTTCCGAAGCGAGAACGAGAAGCACTTTGGAGTCCTACAATCTTCGTCTCCGAAGCTGAATTTCTCCCTTTGAAGCGACCAAATCTCGAAAGTTCCTCCTTAACTTTGTCTGGGGTTTCACCTCCCTCCTTTCGGGGTTCGCTTTCGAACGTAAAAAGGCACCTCATGACCTCTTTCCTCATCCGAAGGTGATGCATCAACATAGGAAAATATAGAGCTCCACCGCTGGGCAAAGTGACTTTCCTGGCTGCCACTCGAATTAGTCAAGATGTGGCTATGACTTAGCTTGAAACAATGTAAGTTCTAAACAACTCTTGGACATTTGAGCTGCTCTAACCTCGGGTTCCCAGTATCTCTCTCAAAATAGCCGAGTTCCTCCATTCAACAACGGTCCAACAAACATTATCCTCTGCAACCCGGTGAGGCGCTATTCTGCCAATCAAACTACAGTTCCAGGATCCAGCAAAGGGAGTTCATATCAAGTTGCCAGGCCTTATAATTGCTTCCACCGCCTATTATTTCATCACTTGACGAATGTGAGAGAAGCTACAGCATGAAAGGGTAAATTTGTCTAGCATTTCACTTGCTGGAATCATTGTGTCTCATTTCGGAAAGATAGACGCAATTTCTACGGTCCTGCCTGGTCATCGCGCCTAATTTCCTCCCGATACCTGTGTCTTTCCTCATTTTGGAAGTTTAACCGGCATATGGATTGCGTTCAAGACCAACCACTACAACAAAACATGCCCTGGAAAGCAAGCTACGCGGCATAAAACATGCCACTGGCTAGAGTGATTCTCACAAAGAACCTCGCAGCTTCACGGCGCTTGTCACCCCTCCTGTGGACCTTTGAGATTACACAGAAGAGCGTTCTCTGCATCAAAGCATACCTATCTGCCGCCAAATTCGGATCAACGAGACGATCTGGTTCTACAAAAAGGTCAACAGTCATGGAACAACAAGTTGCGAGACTACCGGGAGCTGACTTACCCCATGGAAGCTCGACTCCTGTAGTTTATTGCTCATTTCCAGATTCCTTCTCTTCAAGATTATGCTGCCGAGCTCGAAATAGCCAAGGATCACTCCCTGGGATGAATTACAATAACTGGGTTTCAAATATCATCGACATTGGTCTGAGGACATCTGGACCAAAAACCCTTCTGGATCGGAACCCTTCAAATAACAATCTCAACAAATTATCTGGGGTTGAATTGTTGTTCACGTTGCAAGACACCCAACATCAAATTATTCAATTCAATCGCTTCGGGCAAGATCACGTCACTTCAAGACCAAAACAAAATTCAAGTACTCTAAGGATAATGATTTCTTTCCATTGCAATGCTAGTTACAGGATTGAGAGCGAGCAACGAGAAGAGTCCTGTGAGTCGTCCATGAGGGCAATGTTACTAAATGCATAGTTCATGGTTTCCCCCACAAACAAATAAGCACCCAGGCACCAGGAACAATTCGAGATGCCAAACGACAAACCCTCCGCAACAACATGAAATAACGCGCCGCAAAATAAACAGAATGAGTGGCTCCACAAAAGAACACTATTACCAGCCCTCATTTTGAAGCCTTTCCGTTGCAGCGACTTTAAAGGAAATAAAAACAAATAATGCGCCTTTTCTGAAAATGTCTTCTTGTATCACCGGACGATCCAACGCAGAGATGTCGAGGATTATTGAAAATTGACGGAATCCAAACTCGGGAGCGGTTGGGATGTCGGCAAGATGACAAAGGCCCGCTGGCCAGAATGATTAAGCTAGTGAGTTTGAAATGGAAAGGAAAATGGAGTTTTTTGAATCCGTCAAATGGTATTCAATCGTTGGAGTCAAAAGAAAGCAAGACGATTTGTTGGCAGGCTCGTAGCTGCTACCTCCCAAATCAGCTTAGTAGAACGACTCAAAATCAAAGTCAAACGGCCCGTCTGGAGGAAAAGTATCCCACATGTTGGGGTTGAAGCAATTTGCGATCCCAACATTCTCGGCTGGTGTTCTTGCCATATCTGCGAGATCAGAGAACTGGCTTGGCGGGGATGGGCTAGGCATATGAGCGGACTCGTGTTGCTGAGGCAACAAATGTTGGTTTGGAGAGAAGACGGTTTCAGTGACAGGGTTTGCCTCATACCCACTTCCCAAACTGTTCTCACCTGCCATCGTTCCATCATTAGCCCAAGAAGGCAATTGGTGAGGAAATTGCTCGGTCAGCATTAGGTCAAAAGCATCGTCAAGTTCGCCAACTCCTCCATGGAACCCTTGTACTTCTTGATGAACGTAACTACCAGATATATCCTCAGGAAAGTTGCCTTGTTGGAAGTCCGACTTGGTCATAGCAGACTGTTCAGGAGAAGCCGAAACTGTACTAGTCTTTGCTGTTCTACTACCCATGGTCGCGGTAGTCTTATCGTCGAATTTGCTCGTCTTTAAAGTAAGCTCGTCAGTACCCCGAATGATGACAGAGTTTCTGTCTTCCTTGACGCTGCCGTCGATTAATCCAACCAGACAGTTGACAGCGACCTTTGGGGGTGCACTGGCAGGAAACTGTTGCAGAGAGCTTGGGCTCAGTTTGAATTTCATGTGCCTACCAGTTGCTGGTGGAGTTTGAGGGGTAGTAGTTGCCTTGGCCGGTGTCGCAGGCTCGGGACTCATCGTCAAAGTTTCCATAGAGGTGTCTTCCTTAGTAGAACTCTCGCTATCAGACTTAGGCTCGACTTTAATGGGTTTTCGGACTCGAGTGGGCTTGCGCACGTGTCGTGCTCGCTTGGAAGCCTTTGGATTATATTCAGCGTCTGAGTCAAGATCGGCTGGGTCAACATCTTCATCAGACTCGGCACTTTCTGGCGAGCCTTGAGCTCTGCTGCGAGAAGGCTTCTTGCCAGTTGTAGAAATCTTAATTCCTGGACCAGCCTCACCCCCAGAAGCGTCGCGAGGGTTCTTGACGGCCTTGGATGCATCGTTCTTCTCACGTCTTGCATTGTTACTGCTGCCATCACTTTGGCGTTCCGGCGTGTGTTTATACTCGGTAGCCTTCTTCTCGATATCTGCAGCACTGGCCCCATCTTGGATAGCCTTCTCGAGCCAAGCCTGAGCATGGCGCTTGACTTCAACCTCAATCTTACGGTATTGTCCGGAGCCACGAACTATACTTGGATCGATAAGGCTTTCGGAGCGGTTTGCGTGAGGATCAGGCCAGAGAACAATCTGATTTGGGCCTTGCGGAGTCTTACGAACGTACCCTCGAATGTTGTAATGCTCAGATATCGGGCCCGACTTGCCAGGAAGTGGGGGAACCATATGACCTTCACGCAACAAATGCTTACGCGACTTCATTAGGTGTTGCAGAGCGGCTTGTCCACTGGAACCTGGAGACAAACGGTGAACAACCTTAGCCCATGGGAGCGCAATTCCTTCACGTTGACACTCGTACTGTAGATGAAGGAGAAGCTTTTCCATCATCCGGGGTTCTACAGAGGGAAGCAGTAAGCATTGGAAATCTGGGAGCACATTTAACGACTTACTGTGCCAGGGGACTAATTGTCTGCCAATAAAACGACCATTCTTATCTGGAGTATCGTACTTTTGCCACTTCTTTCGTTGCTCGACGGGAATCGACCATGGGCTCGGTTCATCGCGATTATCTTGGCTGGGATCGAGCAACGGGTATGAATTGTCTTCCCCTTCGCCTTCGTCTTCGTCGCTGGACGCCTCAAGTTCATAGTCTTCATCGCCCAATTCACTATCTGCAAAATCAACATTGACTGCTGAAATGGTACCAGTGGGCTTGTGTTTCATAATAGGTTCAGCACCAGCCTTCTTGTTTCCAACGTTCTCCATCATTGATTTGACTTTAGGCTTCTTATTGGTTGCTAGTGGACTTGTCAGTATTTACGTACTTCGAAAGTTTTGCTTCAAGACTTTTCAAGTCGCTTACCATCATTGGTATTGGTAGACTTTGAGGTCTTCGCCTTGCTTACTTGCTTGGACACTCTGCCTGAAGCAACCTTTGCATTCGAAGCTGGGGTCGTGATGTTACTACCATTGGTCCATCTATCGAGCGTGCCTTGAGTAGGCTTCAACGGACGATTCAATACAGGAAGGGCGGCTTTTTTGGGTTTGTTCATCGTGCCAAAGTATTGAGGCAGTGACGAGTTGTCGAGTGTGATAGTACGATTCTGGATCGACGATATGTTAGCAACCATTATAAGAAGCTCATGTTGACTGGAGAAAAGCACTTGGTAAATGGAAAAGAAGCTTCGGTTAAATGAGTGGTGGGAAAATGAAAAAGTACATCGGCGTTTCTTCTCGTTTCGGACAAAGAAATGGCCAACTGGACCTGCCCTACCACCGCAATGATCGAGAATACCAGAATCTGGGGGAATTTAATTTTACCAGATGACAGCTCTGGTACGGCACCGGGCTGTGTACTTGACAAACGTCGAGTCTTGCGACAGGACTGGGGGAGGATTGTCGTGGAGGTGGGGGTAGGAGGCACTATCGCAAGCCGTGCAAACTGGGCCGCTCGCAACAACGCTTGGTAGCTTGGAGTCTCAAGGCTATTTCAGAGAGACTGTGTTGTCGTTTTGCATTTGGGGAAGGTGTGTTGTGGTGCTTGGAGGTACAGAGCCCCGCTTTTTTGCCAAGTGGCCTCGAGGTTGCTATCCACAAATTTTGAATTTTGAAGATCTCGACGAGGCCACTGGCGACGGGAAGAAAGGTTGGTAACCTGAAGAGGGGAAGTTTGTGATAGAGGGTAGAGGGTTGATTGAGGATTGATTCCGGATTTATGGATGGAAGGTGTGCGCGATTGCTCGCGCTTGTTTCTTGAAGCATTGAGGGGCCCCGAGGTTGCTGCTCACAGATTGCGAGAACCTCGACGAAGGTACATGCGACCACGGGAGAAGCTGACAACGAGAACAGCAAGCTTGCGGTAGGAATGAATGTGGGTTGATTGCAGGAGTATGTGCAGGATTGTATGGGCTTTGAAGTGTTGCGACGACCTTGAGGATCCACCGCGACGCCTCAAGACTTCGAGGCAAGCAAGATAGGTGACTGGGAAGTCACGCGATTATTTGGGCAAGGAGGAAAAGAGGGAACGTACCTGAGAGGTTTGTAGCAGTGATAGAGGGACTCTATGTGCTCAATTGGCGTGGTGTGGTGGTACAATTCTAAGATGTTGCTTAATCGCTCTCACAAGGCTCAATTAATCTTGGATATGGAGGAGTAGAAAGAAGAGGGGGAGGGTTGTCAGGACAATAAGGGTATGATCAAGTGCCTTTCCGTGCGGAGAAATTCGGATTCCAGATCGGCCCGGACCACTAGCGCTGCCGGTTGATAGCTCAAGAGCTCCTGCCTTGTGCGATGGACAAGGATGCCAGTACTAGCGATTGAGAGCTGTGAAAGATAGTGAATAATAGAGGGGGTTGGGATAAAGGCTTCCAAATGACGTGGGTTCACAAGACCTCAAAGAGGGAGTCTAGATATGTCGTTGAAGACCACCTTTGACCACCTTTTGATTCCTGATCTGGCGCTTGCAGTTTTGCTTGGGTGGTGGAGGTTTGCTTTTCTGGTTAAGATAATAAATGTGAAGCGAATGAAGGAAGTCTATGGTGTAGAGACTCGCATGTCGTATCAGAAGGTTGTATGCGGCATATTGATGGTATGCAGAGTTGGATAGTTGATATTGAAGGGAAGAGGAAGAGTTGGAGAGTTGTTGAAGAGTTTGAGAGTTGAGAAGTTGGAGAGTTGAAGATTTGGAGAGTTGAAGAGTTGAAGAGTAAGAATACCACAGAAAGAGGAGGCTGGGGATCCTTGAATAGGTTTTTTCAGCTTTCGCTAGCCACTACGACAAAAGTTGCCTGATTTAGGAAGTGAATATAAAGTAGGTGGGGATTTTCGGGGACGTTTTGAGCGAAAATGGGGGTAGCAGGGCGATAAAGCAGTTCTTCAAAGGTCTAACTTCCAATTAGATCTCTTGAAGAGCTTTTCAGAGAAGTGGGGGTACTATTATATAGGTCTATAGGCTCAAGTGAATTCTTGAAGCTTTTGCTCAAGATCTCTGCTTGAAGAAAAGAGAAAAATCTCCTCCTTGAGGGAAAAACCACACTGGGCCCATCTAGGTTCTTTTTCCCAACACCTTTGATAGCAGCATTATTGTTACGATCAAATGGAAGTGGGTTCAGTCTCTATCCATCCCTCAAAGAGTTCTTTTAAGTCAGCTCAAAGACATATAGGCTATCATACCAGCATTTGTATTCAAGAAATCAAACCATGCTTAGGTTCTTTCCAGAGACAAGCATCTTGACAATCTTTAACAGTATCAAGCCAGACACTCCAACCATCAAACCATCTCCAATTACACTATGAAGCAAAACAGCCAATGTGTATCCCTATACATGTGTGCCATCTGCAAATGCTCTGTACAATATGTATATGTACCTGTGTGGGTCGTTGACAAGGAAGTAGTCAAAGAACAGAAATTCGTAAATCTGTTTACGACCGCTGCTGGGGGAGAAAGCAATATTCGTTTATCTCAGCCCTGACCATTATATTAGCAAAGTTCGTGCCTTGGAGTGTGTTGTCGTTCACCGTCTTCTTGCGAATAGCTCAGTAATCCACTGGTTTAATCTCTGGTAGTTGTGCTTATGCTGGCCCGAGACTCCTTCTCTAGTGGTGGCAGGTAGTCAAAGTCGCCCAGCCCTTCCATCTCGAATCCCCCATCGATGTATCCTGATCTGGCATACTCATTCTCATGCTTTGACACTACCTCATTCAACCTACTGAGGCTCCAGCCCCTTTTGAACCTGTCGTGGAGAGCCGAGGATTCGAATCCGCCAGCAATCCATAAGTGCCTATCCTCTGTAACTTCGGGGAAGGCAGCATCATCATCTTTGCAGACGTGTATGTAGGGTGCAACCTCCTTGGATTTGTGGAATCTGACGCGTCTTCGTCCGGCCCGGCAGAGAATCTGCTTCTTTTGTCGAATAGGTCGGGCAGGTTGCACGATCATGAGACTCTCCGTTGACTCGTATCTTGCCGGTTGGTCATGTTCGTGTGCGATCTGGTATTCATGGCATATTTGGGGTCGCTCGAGTTGAATATGCCTCCTCCTGTACTTTCTAGCTTCGTGTTTGGTATTGGCAATTCCTTTCAACATAGATGGGATGGAGGGGATAGATGTGGTGACTCGCTTAATATTGTAGAGAATCCCAAGCTCTTTTTCGTTGGCTTGGTACTCAATCGACTCTTTTGCTGACATGCAATCTGGTTTCTTTGTGCCAGCTTTCCCCTTTTTGGTGGTCTGGCTGGCGAGATATTCTTTCGGTGTAAGCACATCGGTTTTTGTATATCGAGAATATTTCGACTTCATAACTCTACTGAGGCTTCGCACCAGGATCGAATGGCCTGATGATCGTTGCTCTCGCGGCAAGCTTATGGTCGGTTCAGCTGGGCGGACGTTAACCACCCGAATATGGACTCTTTCGTGTGGTAAAGCTGCAGCGGTCCGGAAGGAAAGGAGACTCTCAGAAGCTGAAGAGTGTTCTACGTCAGAATAATCTTCTAATCCTTGATCGATTGTTGTTTGGTGAGATTCGAGCCATCTTCTGTACTCGGATCGTTCGGTGGAGCTGGCAAACGAGCTTCTGCCACCAACCCTAGCATCTACGGCGCTTCCATTGTGTGCAGCTTCATTTTCCTCTAGCCAGCGTCCGTAGTTGGAGAGAGATGATTTGCTTGCGGTATGTTTTGGCTCTCTTGTTGCATTGAATCCCTTTGCTTTGCGTTCTCGTTGCCATGCTTCGAGATCAAACTTTTCGGAAGGAGTCAGAGAAATAATAGAACCGGCTTCGACTCTAGAGTCCAGTTTTTCTAAGCTTTGAAGCCTGTCACTTTGCTTCGCTACCCACCATTGTTCTCCCGATAGATCTTCTGCGTCTTTGCCATTTTCTAGGAAGGAATTGTTTTGCTGTGGTTTCGATTAGTGTCTGAAGGTATTTTCTCGGAGAGCATTGTGAAATTAGCAATGCCAAGTAGACATCTAGGTGTTGCGGAAACAAGTAACGGGGAATGAAAACAACCAAAGCATCCGATACTTTCAATTTTGCTTGTTGAATCATAAATCAATATTGGAGTGACGGAGGTCAAAAACGTAAGATTAAGCTCTGAGCTGAACCGCTGTTGTGAAACTTACAAATTGTTCTGGTGTGACTGGAATTCCATATTTGGTCTTTCCCAAGATAGTCTCGCCTTCGATATAAACTGGATGTGGAGGTTTATGCGCTTTTGGTTGGAATGGGACTCTATCGCAAACATATGGTCTACTATTGTCAGCGGGAGATACATGATTGGAACGAGGCCAAACATTCAACTCACGTAATTCCCGGACTCTCCAGAGGGCTTCGATGGACCTTGTATTCCCCGCGTTCCTCGTGTTCGTATGGTCTCTCTGCTTGAAGCCATTGCAATAAAGCAGGAAAGGATGTTTGGGCTTCTATAGCTAGTTCTTGTAAGCTACTTCCACTCATCTTGCTCTAGGAGTGGAGTTTAGAATTGTTGTAGTCTGTTTGATGGGAAAGTGTCCTATCTGTCGTATGATTGTGATGATTGTGATGGGAGATGAAATGTTATTAGTAAAGAAGAGACAGTCAGTGAATCAGGGCTCTGCTCTGGAAGCGAAGTATGAAGTGATTGTTGGGCGCGGAGATAATGAATGGACTTGAAACGGCAGGTTGACGCGGAAATATTTTTCACCTTGATGGCCCGATGCGGAGTCCACACTGAATACTGTTGAGACTGGCTACCTTTGCGTAGTCATTGTCTATAAAACCTTCTTGCTACAATGGAGCAATTGGTTTGAGCATTAGAACTGAATACAAATCTGACAGGCATATTTTCAAATCATCAACATGAAATTATTTTGAGAAGGTTGTTTTGTGGTTGCTGGCTGTTAGCCAAAGAGTTTAAAGTGAAATCTCTCTAACCGAGATTGCCATTCACACCAGTGGTGGTCACTACTCCGTGCGCAGTCCAGATTTCGACCGAAAACACACCAAAAATCTCTACTTTACTAAATTATAATAAAACAAGGAATAAACCAAATATCCTATAATTAAGAAATTGAGATAAGACAGATAATAGCTCTAACTTGCACTCTTTAGAATTCTAATAAATACCACTATCCTGCTATTATATAAAAGTAGTAAATCCTCTAGTAATTTTAGCAGGGAAAACTTCCTATTAGAATAACTTTGGATATATCAGGTTTTCGATAAAACTTTCGCAAATGCGATTTGTCTATAATGCATAAAGAACCTACATATAAGTTGTTGTATACTGTTTAAATATAAAGTTGTTAAGTTATATAGTTATAAAAACGTTGTTTTTGGTGTGTTTTCGGCCAAAATCTGGGACTGCGCACGGAGTAGTGACCACCCCTGGTGTTCATCCACAAAGAAACGATGCAGACAACTCGGCAATAGCATATCTGACCCATCTAGTTGCAGATCTCGAAGCACTTAAGGGGTTTCATGATGTTTATGCGTTCCTTTGGCTGCTGGCATGGAGACTTGGACTCGAAAGCTGTGCTGGGAATAGCTCTATTCACAAATTAGGAAAGAGGCCCAAAATAGCTTCGTTTCTGACCAACTTCACCATTTGCCACTGGACACTGAAAGACACATGTTCGGGGCCTCTAAATCTTTGAGATACTGAGGGGCTTGCCAAAGAGAATCAGATTGATGTGATTTGTTCAAGCCGTAAGTCTGAATCAACAGGTCCGGGTTGCTAACAGCATCTTCGACACTTCAAACACTTGATTCATATAGCTTACAAGATAGCAATTCCCCGCATTAAAAGCAGCAGAACATGGCTGAGAATTTTAAGTGAGTTTAAAAGTGGCTTGATCGGCTTGAAGGTTGGGTTTAACGCTCTCGATTGATAGATTGAACAATCCATCCCTTCAGAGTTGTTAAGATATCTATCTCCCTTCCGGCACCGTGAAGTAGTGAGCAGCAACTTAGCCAGCTCTCTCAATCCAGCGTCTTAATAGTTGTCATTTCACCATATCATAATGGTAACTTTTCATGCTGATTCGAAGTCAAGACTCACTCCCCTTGGACCAAGTCTTATAATTATTTTCTGACTCAAGAACCACGAGATCCCTGAAGCTATGCGCACCATGCTTTCATATATACTGTAGAGTTATATGATAGGAAAATACATAAGGAAAAAACTAGGTGATGGTGTTTCTGTACTTGGAACGCAGACTTGAAGGCATAGGCATTTGGTTCTTGCCCCAGCTCTGTTGTTAAGACTGGCATTCAGAGGCAGGAAACCCCCAACCAGTCTGTTAACTTAAGATATATACATGGAGCCCATAGTAAGGCGTTAATCAATCCTCTCGCTATTGTGTTGTTTTTGTGGGAATGTCAATAAAGTGGAGTCTTAAATTCAGAAGAACAGCTGTTACTCGTAATGATGTTGAGTCCGTGAATCTGGCCATGAAATCAAAGCTCTATTCTATCAGAAATTCGTGCTTTGACTTGTCAATAACAAGAACATTCCATCCGAAACAGATTATCGCATTGCTTACCACAGAACGACCAGAAGCTTCCTACAATTTAGCTCCAATCTCAAGGCTTGTAACAATTCTGTGCAACTGATTTTTAGCTATAGTTGCCTCTCCTGATAAGGGCTCATTCACGGTTACTTTTCTAGCAAGGCTGATAAGTCACACTTATGACTAGTTCACAGACAGTAGGAAGTGGGGTATCAAATTCACGGTTACACTATACTACCACGAACGATGCTTTAAGAGTCACCCAAAGGCCAAGAAAATAATCACCTAAGACACTGACATGCCTACTCGAAGATTTACACACTCAACCACCTTTCTTCAAGCATGTCCATTTGTGTGAAAGAGAGTCGCCAAAAATATCCCGACTTCTAGTCACACAAATAATCCACTACTGGTATACTTCAGGATTATGGATGATACGAATTGTGTTAGGTCACTAGAGCTGTGTTTTGAACTTTGATGGATTAGGTGAAGCGAACTCCAACAAAGTTGTACTGTTATTCCCTGATTACCTGACACAACGGAGTGTTTCCTTCCAAACACAAGCGAAAAACCCCAAGTTTATAAAAGACGAAAATTCTGGCCCACCAAGAAATGAAACACGGGTTTACGGCATGACTTGTTTTGGAGAATTTCGCCTGAGCATCACAGAATTCTACTCATCGTCAACATCTGCTAATGAAATATTAGCTGGAGCATGGAGGCCGGACACGTCAACCCGGCTCAATCCCAGAGTAAGGTTGGCGTTTTGGAACCTTGTCTGGTTCACTCTGGTGTCTCCAGTTCACGAAGTGATATCAAGCACCTGTTTATCCTGGACCGTTGAGAGAGTAAGATTTTCTTTACATTTTCTCATTTATATTTTCTTTCCACATTGTATGCTGATATAAATTCCTGGTTCTATATCTTCTTGCAAGCCCTCCACACGTTCGAACAGAAATCCCGTCCGTTATCAGTGTTTGCTGTTTCATGTTATACAAATCCATGGCTCTATTGATGTTATCTTTATATAGGGTTAAGCTCCCGGACCTGGAGAACTGAACTCGAAACTCAGATGCTCGCCACTTGGATATAGAACACTTCGAATCTCTACGTTCAAGTGGAGACACTGTCATTGAGTCTCAATCAACGACCTATAGTAACTTGAAAGCTCGAAGCAGATCAAAGGGACCAATATACCTCGCAGGAAGCATCCATTCCCAGAAGGCTTCATGGCGCTCGTGTTATGCCATTCCTGCATACTGCATCTTTGAGAACCTCCTTCCGCAAGTGTGACGACTTGATCAAGATCAGTCAATACGCTGTGACGTCTGTCACAGAAATCTTTCTAAAGCAACTATGGTTCCCGACTCTTGTACTGTACATATATGCATCAGCCTACTTGCAAAATTATCATAATTATAAGTCTCTGCTCCACTACCTATGTAAGGAAATTGTTCTTGAAACCCTGGAGCAATTGATTCGAACAGTTCAAGGAATTGAAATCACGAAGATAAATGATGTTCGATTATTCCAGGCTTCTCCTGTAGTTGGCATGATGATTCAGGGATTTCAGGGATACCACCAACGTTATTTCCACTTAAGTGTATGGTCTGACTGTCGCTGCCACCCACGTAGCCGGATAACACCGCCATTATCGCACAGTGGCTCGCTGCTCTGAATAGCGTATTCTAGTTAAGTAAGTCCTAGGCGATCTGCTGAGAGAAATGCTTATGGCCTCTACTTTAAGGGTGCCGAAGTGTTTGGGGAAAGAGCGACTGCCAGTAGTTGCATCTCCCACGTTACCCCACATTCCCGCCTCCCATTGGCCCGGCCCCGTCATCGGCAAATCGCAAACTAAACGGGCAAATCGCAAACTAAACGAGCCAATCACAACGCTCCAAAACCCCACAATCCATATTCAATTCCAAATAAGAAAAACAGCATCGTCAGTCAACAAGTCTCTTGCCCAGCTGGTGCGATAGTGGCATCGACCACACGCTGGAGTCAACTCAGGGAGTGCTCGCAGACTTGTGCCTAGGCCTACTCGGTGAGGTAGGGGTCAGCTCTGGGAGCCCGGGCATGATTGCGGGGGGTTTTGGGGATTTAGAAAGCCAACTGCTGGCTTTCAGAGGGACAACTGCTGTCCCTCGACACCTGTAATAACCGGCTACTCTTAGGAGTGGTGTCTGTGTTCCCTGAGACCCCGCTGGGGGTCCATAAGGTTTTGCTGTTTTTTTTGGTTGAGCTCTATTTTTTTCCATGGGGATTTTTGGGTGCCTAGTCGAGGTACCAGAGAGCACGTTTGCTGCGATTTGGTGGCTGAATCTTGGTGTTGAGAGTTGTGTATAGATATGGTCTTTTGGGTGGCAACTAAATTCGAGCTTTCGCTGCGCAGTTTTGTCTGCCGCAGTCGCAGCTCAAATTTGGACTGGATGCTAGCAGGGATAGTGAAGACTATTTTCAAATCACGTCTATCTTTGTTTCTTTTCACATATTGCGTTGCATGGGGTTGTTTATACATCTCAATTATTATCCTCACTAGTATTGTCATCCTCACTACAAGCGTGCTTCGCTTAGCGGTCACCTGATACCCCTTTTCCTCACCTCCGAAATATGTGAAAATGCAAAAGTTGAAGAAAAGGGTAGCAAGGCTTAACCAGAGATATCACAATCTCTGAAGCAAAACTTGGGTGCCTAATTTGGTGAATAACGAGTATGGATACTTCTAGCTTCTGCACAAGCTTGATGTTGATGGTGTGATATCCGCTGGCTCAACCACGTGGGCAGTGAATCAATTTATCAAGTAAAGTGAAGGGCATACGTGAACATTGAAAGTAGCTATACAGACCGGATACACATTTTGGAGATCACATAAGACTCTTTTCCAAGTGAAATTCTCACTGTGACGTATCCACAACATATCACGTTTAAAGAGGAGTGGTTTCTTTTATCTGAGTCTATTTGTATGTATCAAGGACTACCTCTGAGATCATGTCTACAACATATAATTGAGCTTCTGCGAAGGTTCTCGTGCAGAGTGTCGCTCAAGAAATAAGAACCGAACCCAAGGAAAATCCATAGACTCGACGAGAGTACCCTGTAAAGAGGGAAAAAGCAACGGTGAAAAATAAACACAATCTGAGGAATACACAAGCAGAAAGAAATTGCCTTTTGATGAATGATTCCAGACCTTCAATGAGAATTCCATGCCTGCCTGACTGTCAATATCCCATGTATCAGCACATCCCAATATCTCCATTCCTTGCCATCTGCATTTATATTCGTTCCAGCGCCACTTTTGGTCTACTCAACATATCCTGCCAGTATCCTTCAATGTGCGTCCAGCTTACTCGAGAACGACGGGGTTGTCCGAGAGTGCAGTGGAGGAGAATGGCGAGAATTGCGAGTTGCGGAAGACTTGCGAAGCCATTTGTGATCGTGGAACAGGAGCTAGGATGACGCGGTCATTGCTGGGGACAACTGGAGCTTGCAATTGAATATTCCTTTGGATACCTGGAGCAAAAAGGCCCAAAGGGTCAGAATCCGGGTACGAGTTGAGCCCATTAAAGCTGCTGCTGAAGATGGAATGCTCATCGGTGGGGGAAGTGTTTCTGCCAAACCTGCCAAAATCACCTGACGTGAAGTCGAAATCACGAGCGCTCGAGAAGGAGGCGTCACTGAAGCTTTGGGATCCGGACTCAGCAGGGTAGAATTGCATGAGATCGGCCGCCTCATCCAGAGGGACGGGGGATGAGGTCATGATGGCAGACTTCGGGGCATCCTTCTCGAATTTGACAGATTGAGTTGTGATGCGTGCTAGGTTCTTCTTCTTCTCGGATTTGACGATGGAAGTTTGAGTCATGTCTCCGAAGTTCTCGTCGTCATCTCCGCCATTGTTTCCGTCCTCTTCAAGGTCCGCGAGCTTGCGTTTCTTGTTGCCCGATGTGGAATCCTTACGCTCTGGCTTTGACTTTGTCGGTGTGACTGGCTTCGTATTGGTAGAGTTGGAACTGATGCCATGAGCTCGCATGAGACGCTCGTAGCGCTTTGCACTGTCTCAGTTGATTCGCGTTAGCAAATCTGTGAAGGTGATGCGCATTCTGAATAAAGCATCGCGAAAGGCACACGAAAGCGCAGGAGAGGATAGGGAGATCGAGGTATCAATCTACACTTACGCTGCTCCCTTGGTGCAAATGCCACACTCCTTTGCTACTTGACCAAAATCCACCTGCCAGGTATTAGCGAGGGGAGTAAGGGAAGGTGAATCAACGTCGCAGCTTCATCTTACCTTGCCATTGTTGCTATATCTAATACAGCTGATGAGGAATTTGAATTGTTCCTCGTTGGAAGCGGGAGCCATGATGATCAACCTAGCAAAGCTGGTGTTGTCACAAGCTTTGAGATGGTGATGTGGGCAAGGTTGTTGACGTGTTTAGGTCTTAAGTCCCAGAGTTCTGGTGTGGAGATTGATCAGGTTGTGTGGTCACTTGATTGGGTCGGCTACTGCCGCTCCTGCCTGGTGGAAAAGGCTGCTGGATAGTGCCTTGAAATCTGGAGAGGGGTTGAAGGCGAAGAATCTGTCAAGTGACATTCACTTTGGACTGCTGTGTGGCTAAAAGAGGGGTAATGTAGACTGAGCCTTGACTTCACCCAAATTTCAATCTGGGAAGACTTTGGTTGGGAGTGGATGACGTTAGTTTTATGAGTAAGTGGGCAAAGAGTTCTCTAAAGCTGTTATGAAGGGTCTTTTGGCGGATTGACATCAACTTGCAAAGATAGCTGGGGTCTTTTGGTTTTGTCTCATTCAAAATAAAGAACTTAGTTACTGAATGCGGTACATTGCAGGTAAAGAGGTAATTATTGTTGGGGCAAACCTCGCTTGGTTCAGAGCAAAGATCACTATAGTAATGGAGAATTCGTTCATCGTTCTATAGATGAGCAGAAGAGATGTTGGGTGATCTGAAGATGCTGTGGCAGTTGTTCAATCATTTGAAGGAGTAAGGATATTTGACTTTCCTGGACTCCTATTTCAAAAGTTACAACATCCCGCTTATGCAAATAATTCTGAAGAGCATCTTCCAACTTCAGTATGCTCATAAGATGGTGTGCCCAACAAGCAGGTAAGACTACAGTATAAACAGCGCTCAGGTGGTTGAAAAGCGGCATTCTACGTGCCAGGCTTCGCCTCACTTCTGCCGTAGCTTATGATAGGTACACCAGGTGGCTTGATCGCTATCTCGTGGGTTTGATAGCCTTAGTTGAAGAGAAGAGAATCAGGGATAAGATTGTTCTTAACAAGGTAGGTAGGTCCCTGAAGTACTGACGAGAACTCTTCCACGTACTTGCCATGCTGGGAAATGTTCTTACTATAGATGGAATCAATCACAAAGCTTAATCATTGGAAGCATCATATTTTGTCAATGGGAATTTGATTTTACTATTGGATCCGAAGCTCTATCGCCAATGAGTTTCGTTCTTAGTGTGCAAAGAATCCCCCTTCCACAAATAAAATTCCATATTCTCTGATATCAATCCCGAGGTCACCGCAATCACCAGATTTCAGAAATGGCAATGAGACGCTACCGAAAAAGTGCTGATAAACATCAATTGTTGTAGTATCGTGCAATTATTCGTCGTCAAAGTCTAAAAGCATACCACAATTAGCAAGAAGTACTTGAACGATCTGGGCAACCAACGTCGAAGGTTGCTGTACTGCCAGACATCATTGGGACAAAGGAAGCGATGGACTGGATCGAGAGATGGCAGGGTTGACTTACCAAGCTTCATGTCCTCATCGGCATGAGATTCAATAGCACCAGCCTCATCGTTCATTTCACCCTTGACTGCCTTGCCCTCTGGAGCCGAAGTGGCCTTCTTAGGTGTGCTCTTGGCGCCGACCTTGCGAGGCTTCGAGGGGGTCTTCTTTGGGGTAGCGGGAGCAGATTCATCACCAGTGCCGGTAGATGAAGAGGCAACAATACCTGGCGGGGCATTCTTCTTCAACTTGTCGAATAATTTCTTGCAAGCAGAGCGAGCATTTCGTGCGTACTTCTGGCCAACCAACGGGGCGACCTCCTCGAAGTTAATCTGTAGACACATGTTAGCTTCTAAGTGCCGAGATTGAAGGACTGCCTACCCGCTTGAAACCCAATTGGCGGTAGGAAAGCCTTCAGATCGAACCAAAGGCAATTCCTAATTAAAAGCCAGAGATCGAAGATGAAGTGATGGAAAGTGAACTTACGTTGGGGACGTCTCCCATCATCGAGACAACCACAGCCAGCATTTGAGTCTCCTTCGGAGTCAATGAGCTGATTACTCCCCCGGCAGTGTTGTTACCAGAAAGAGCATCTCCCTCGGTGGGTGGTGCCATGGTGATTGCTGGACGTGGAGAAAAGCTGGTGGTTGGTAGTTGGTCAGCGTTGTCCCTCGAAATTGACAGGATGGACGCGGCGCGGCGCGGAAACAAGGCGGTTCTGCCAAAGAGAAAAGGAGCGCGTGTAAGAAGAGAAAGATGGGCATTGTGTAGAACTTACCGTGTTTGGTATGAGAGACTTGGAGTTGGGAAATGACCGCGTTGGAGTCGTCGATGTTGGAAGAGTGACTGGATGGATGGTGGTTAAGTTGGATTGAGGACAACAGACTCGGATGAAGATGAAGACGAAGACGAAGCTTGTAAATACTGCACTGGGCGGCGGGCCGCGAATGCAGCAGATGACTAGCTTGACGTGACTTGTGGGTGGTCGTTGATTGGTTGGCATGCACATGGCAAGAGCCGCAAGGTGCCAGTTTCTACCAGCTCCTGCCGTTTTGGCAGCTCCCGCCAGAGTTGCCAACACCAACCTGGAAAGGTCAACGCACCACGTACATCAACTAGAACCGTCATATACATTGCACATTCGAGGTGTGGTAGACTGCCTTGCCGATGACCTTGTACACCATGCACCCCTTCCGTGATGCAAGAATCCGCTGGTGTAGGTACAGCGTGGTGCATGTCAAGGCAGACTCATGCAGACGTCCGTATGCAGCTGCCGCTGCAGCTGCGGCACCTCAACTCGCCTTCCACCGAGTCAGCTACGGCATGGAGAAAACATCCAGGCTGCTGCTTCCAGCCACCTCAAGAACTTGAAGTATCCTGTTCTTCGTCAGTGACTGATCAATCGTGGAGGGGAATGAGGGCGAGATAGGGCAAGTGCCGAGAAGTCAGTTCGCTTAGTATATATCACAAGTGGGTTAGAGATAGACTGGACTTATCAATGACGGTTGAAGTTTAAGATTGATTCCACTTTCGTATCTAAGTCAACCCTCGATAGCCGTGTGCAAATCTCCTCAAGGAAACACCATCAATGAGTAAGCATGACCATAGTGTCGAAGACCTCAATAACTATCACCTCCGTCCAACCATGAACCTCAGTCCCCAATAAGAACAGAGAAACGTCATCTCAGGACAAGGACATCCGAGACGACTATGAGTAAAATCCTAACGATGGAGTTCCTTTAATTATCCTCTTCTTCCGGATCTGCGAAAGGTTTCGTGTCAGTTTATACATATACGGGTGTAATAGGGAACGGGCATTGATACTTACCGTTCATCTCCTCATCGGGGTCGGCCTCCTCCTCAGATTCCGCAGCCTTCTTCTTTCCCTTTCCTCTAGCGGCGGGCTTCTTTGTTGATGTACCCTTCTTGGCGGCAGGCTCCTTCTTGGTTGCGGTCTCCTTCTTGGGTGGTCCCTTGGTCTTAACGACCTTGGCTGGAGAAGCAGCGGTGCCTGCAGCACTACCACCCTTTGATGTGCCGAAAGGCAGATTGTATTTCTTCTTCAAGGTAGAAATACGATTTTGGACAGAACGAGGATTATCGTAGCCCAAGTCTTTCGCAACGCCAGTAGAATCAATCTACAAGCGACAAGTGTTAGCAGAGTCATTGATGCTCGAGTGAGTTCTAGATATCCTTTGATGTCGTCTGGAAAGTGGAGACCCATATTTCCATGATTCGCAAACAAATCGAGTGGTTTGAGCGACGGCTAAGTTAGAAGACTGCGTTGAAAAGAAATCAGTGGAACTTACGGTGACATTACCGCCGTTGGCGTTTTGGAGGCACGCGATGAGAAACTCGACATCCTTTGGATTCATTCCTGCGGCATCACTCTTGGTATCCTTGCTGTCAGACATGTTTGTGATCGCAGTCTAAGACGATGGTGTCAGCGGATTATCGCGAGTGCGGATGAATACACTTCACTGATGAGAGTATACATACCTGTTGGATGAAAGTTTGATGGTGTGTTTTGGGATGATGTTTCAATGAAGATGGTCTCTCGTTGTGATGTGTATGAGGAAAGGAAAAAGGGTTGTGTGCGAGGCAGCGGTCGAGTATTTGTAGGGGTGCATCCTCTGATTCCCGCCAGCCACCAAGCTATCAAACACAACAAACACGTGCCCAAATGCATTACCCCCACTTCATCTTGCACTTTCATTCAAATGGTTCACTGTACAAGCGCTATCTCATTGTCATGAATAGCCTATAGGAGCCCTTCGTTTTGGGAGGGGGCTGGTATCTACGAGTCCCCTGGACTCATCGATGGGCTTCCATCCCTGTCATTATGACCTCCTGATGAGCTATTTTCTTTTTAGCGTCCTTGAGTGCTCTCTTCTTGTTGCTTGAAGTTCTCTGAAGAGTGGTTGTTGAGGAATTTAGAGTTTCCATAGCGTGGAGCACAGAAGAGATAGGGCATTGTTATCTACTCTCTGGAGCTATCTGTTGTATTGCGTGCTTCAATATCCAGCAGATTCTCGCGGATACTATGAGATTCGAAATTGAAGGTCGTGTGTTTGATTGCTACGGTGTTGAATTCACTTGCAAATTTGAATTCTCAGCCCACCATGAGAATATTCAGCCGCTTGACAAGGGATTCATGAACGCCAAACATGGTGACTCAGTTATCATCATATGAGAACATACATTCATTAAGTGTATCTGCGACGATTTGGATTGTTTTGGCTCTAAATTGTACAATGTTTTGGTTGTGTGGGGGTGTTGCTATGGGCTCGTAGGCAACACAACCTCGCTGGGACCTACCACAACGCAGACGCCTCTACGTTTCAAGCCGTGGTTCTCTCACTTTTTGATCTCGGCCTATCCTAGAGCTTAGGGTGAAGAGCCGCTAACTTTCTGGATTACACAATCTTGAGATATTTTGAAGTGTTGCCCTTGCAGGATAGTTAGCGTCATACCAGGACTTCATGGCTCCACCAAGACATCAAGAAATCCACTTTTTACTTTCGATCACATTTCACTTGATTGATACGTTTCAATTATTAAATGCAGAACCATGTGATTGCCATTTGACTACTGCGATTTCACTCATTCCCCTTGAGAAATCATGCCATATTCACCATGTAAAAGACTATGCACCAGCCAAGTCGCGCCATGAATATGAGGAGTTCAATCCCAGATATGATCACCAGATATCCAACCTCAAGTCCACAGCCTGTAAGACCGTAATGTAACTCCGAAAAGAAGCGCCGTCGAGATCCCAAAATTCCGGAAAACCAGGAAGAAAAACGTCTGGCAATGCAATCAGTGACCACACAAGGAAGCGAGAGAAATGCGGAGTAGGGTAGGAGGCAGGACTTACAAAGCGAACTTCAAAACTATATGAGCTAACCTATTTCTTCTCGTCCTTGACCTCGTCATCTTCTCCGGCGGCGATATCATCATCTGCCTCCTCTGGAGCATCGGCGAATTCATCTTCGTCAGCGTCATCTTCCTTTGCCACCTTACCCTTGGCTACAGCCTTCTTGCCTTTGCCAGTTGGTGTCTTGGGGGCTTTGGCTACCTTGCTCTTGGTATCAGCCTTGGGGGTCTTTGCCTTTGGTGCCTTTGCGGCATCCTTGGTCTTTGTTGCCTTTGGTGACTCGCTGGCTTCTCCACCATCACCAGCGGCCTTCTTCTCACGGTCACGCCTAATTTGTCCCCAGCGAACCTTTGCGCAGGATCCGGTCTTGTAATTAGCCTCCACCGCAACCTTCTCCCAATCGACCTACAGGTTCCAAGTTAGCACATTGATAAGAGTAGTCAAGTGTTTGAAGCAGGGTAGATGAAGGTGGAGCAGTAGCGACAAATGCTGTAAAGCAAAAACGTCATCTACACTTCAAAGGGTCTCTGGGAGAAAGGATTACAGTCAACCAGAAATTTCAAATCACTTACATCCTTGGTCAACTTGGAGTCCTTGATATTGTTAAGGATGGCAAAGAATAATTGTGCCTCCTTGCCGATCTTGGTCTCAGACATTATTGTGTTCTGGTCACAGAATTAGTGTACGCGCGCAAAGCTTAGTGCAGAAGACAGAGGTCGATCTTGGAACGAACCTGTTGTTGAATGAGAGTCTACGCAGAGGTCAGTAATTGTTCGCAGCCTGAGGGTTGGACTTGGGGTGGAGGGGTACTTGCCTTGAGATACGGTGCGTGGTTGTGGAATGAGCTATCTGAAATGACGTCTCAGATGGCTGATGTGAAGAGGATGTTGATGGAGTTCTGATTTGGAAAATCGCGCAGAGAATTTTCAGTGTCGCGGATCGTATTTGGTTGTGGAAAATTTGGTGTTGTGTTGAGAAAAAGAAAAGGTAGATCGAGGCAGTCGCACTAAAAAGTTTATCGGCGGGGAAACCTGCGCAAATGGTTACAAAATTGTGCCGAAATCACTCTATAGCCCCAGCCACCCAGCTTTGAATAAAGGAAACTATGACCCGAAGACCGAAAAGCAGCGATGTGATTTGTCAATACGTCCCAAGATCCAGGCAGCAGCGAGGTCACTTGAGCTCCTCATGTGTCCATATTCTTGATATTCAAGCCCTGAAACACTTTTGCGGGCTGATAAGCCTCTGAGACTTTTCCTTGTTGATAAACAACCTGCCTATGTTGCTATAGTACGCGTTTCGGAAACTTTACTCCTGTGGAAACAACTCAGAGTTTTGCATTTCACCAGAGAAACCATTCTCTCAAGCTATGAAGCCTCCTCATATCAGTTATGTTGTACTGCGAAAGATGTACGAGATCTGTGCTACAATTCTCTATTACCAAAAGGTTCTAACAGAACCAAAATACCTTGTTATTTCCATTCAAACGACAATACCTCATTGCGCTTTGAATGAAAAGAATACGCATAGAGAGCTGGAAAACCATAGATTCATGTTCTATGACTACTGTAGTGCAATCATTTCTGCATGTGACACATCCAAAGATTGGGCACCCAAGGTGTGAATGCTTGACTGTGATGTCGTGAAAAGTGAAGAGGTTGACTGGTTCTCTGGCAGCAAGCGAGATCCGGCCGATGGTTGGCCGGACCGGAAATAGGGGGGCAGGGGCAGAAGCGAGAAGGTCACGTGATGGCGAATGGAACCTCAAGAAAGTGAGCAAACAAACATCCATTGCTTTCACAAATGATCTCCTTTTGATATTACAAATCTGAACATACGAAATAATCCGTATCAAGCTCTTCATGTCGGAATACCCCACTATCAAGTCGAATATCCACGTTGGCCCACCACGTCCTCCTTTGCCTACCCACCCCCACGCCCTCGAAAACCGCCCGCGAGCTATGGACGCATCTCGTACACTTGGGTGAGAAACTGGAAGCAGCATTTCTCTATCCTCGCTGATTGAGCAGCATAGGACAGCAAAGTTTGATGAACGGGAAAACGGTTCACTGAGCAAGACCCTTCCTCAAGAGTGTCTGCGAGATACCGACATGATGCTTCTGCCACCATCACAAATGAGCTCGTGGTTGAAGCCCTTCTGTCAGGCGTTTGAAGCAGGCTTCTGCCACTGCTCTCGCTTCAGCTTGTTCCTCCTCCTCGGCCTCCCGAAAAGCCTCGAGCTCCTCAGCCGTGAGCCAACAGTCAACTTCAAACTCCGGCGTATCTCTCAAGATTCCAGTGTCTGGCTCGAAATCAGACAGCGATGGAATTTGTCTGTATTCCTCCCAATCCCCATGGATTCCACAACTCTCGACCTCGCAATCCAATCTGCGGATTCCCCCAACCGCAACCACGTTGAATCCTACAACGTGTCTACCAACCCCGCCGAAGATATCATTAGCAAACTCGTTATTTCGTGAGACAAGGTTTACGAAGCGATTCGGATCTCCCATCGTGTTCCATGACAAAACTTGCATTGTCATATGTTCGAGGATAACATGCCTTAAAGCCGCAGTACGCTCAATTGGCATTCCATACAAAAGCTCAATCTCTGCTGGCAGAGGCTCCCACTCCTCTTCATTATTTAGGCGCCTGCTTTTATATCCGAAAATACACAGGCGTGCCAAATCGTCATAACCGAAATCATGAGCCAACAAATGCAAATGGCACCAGTCGGAGATGTGGGTTTCCCGATTATAATCGAGAGGTTCCACGCATTGAACCCTCTTCTTCGTCAGCCAATCAAACAAGTGACCAAAAACAACATGGTGATGTCTCAATATGAGGATGGTTTCTCCTTCACAACTATACGGTTCGGTATGTTTCCTGAACGTTGCCTCTTCACTCTCGCTAATGCGTATTTCCTCAACCTTTGGAAGACTTGATGTCAACTTGCTTCCTCGAACTTCGAAAACAATACAGCAAACTAGACAATTTGCTCACTTACCCGTGTTATGCCCATCCCATTATCAAGTACAAATCTCATGGTGGTACTGGCTGCTTTGGCTTAAAGACAGGTGATGATAGACAACTCCGAGAAGCACTCTCCTTACTTTTCACTTTTGAGGCCTCTAGGATGTTTCAAATTCAAATCCTCTCACGTTCGTCGGGGATATCGAGTTGTATTGGTCTACCGATGATGCGATTGGAAAAGCAGTGGCGGCGGGTTTGAGCGACGGGATTATCGCTCGCTCAGCAAGCTCTTGTCTTAGTGGAATTCAAGATCTATCAATATGCTTAGTCACGATCGGCACTTTTGCACAATGGCAGTTTCAATAGTCTTTTCGACTATGACTCAGTGCTGTATGCTCTCGATGACTCCCTCTTGACACGTAGGTACAGAAATCTGGCTTTGCTATCCTAGTGGACATTTAGAGGCCAAGATCTGTACATAGCCGCTTCTACGTATCTTAATCGGGCGGGTAAGTACCTTGCCAGGCTCCATTGTAAGGCTAGAATAAGAACATTATTTCAAATCAGAAAATATTGTGTTACACAATTAGTAGAAAGGCTTACTGCTTATGGAAACTTGTGCAAATGGTTTCCTTACTCTTGAATGCCACGAGTTGAGACAATCGTTTCCGTCTCTACTTATCACAAGCTTCGTAACCCAATTATGTGGCTCATTGTGCATGGCCGTGAGACTCGATGAAAATACAAATCGTGTGGTTAGTTGTCTCCAGAGATCTCATTCTTGTCTTTTTGTAACCTTTGAACTTTTTACCATAAGTAGAAAAGCGATGAATGACCCTTTGGCTTCCTCCTGCATTAGCTCTAAAAAAGCTGTAGTATCAAGTCTCGTTTGAAGACCCTGTGGTTTTTTATTACCCGAGGTTAACTACGTAGTAGCAGTACCTTGTCCAATATCTGCAAGAAGCCTCTCACCTTAGAACGTTGCCTCCGGGAAAAAAGAAACTTGCGTGGTCACCTTGCCAAGGTGATCACGGAAATTTTGCAGAAGATGCAAGGGTAGAAACGCTAATGCATATCTTGATCCTCTGAAATGTTTTTCCCGACAGGATGCCAAATGTGTTTCATCAATCCGTCCCGCCGCGAAAAGAAATGGAGAGTGGAGAAAAACGCTTCGAGAAGTCCCTTTCCGTGCTAAAATAAACGTATACATCGTAACTCTTGAGTTCACTCAAAGCAGCATCCCTTTAATATTCACGGGATGTGAGTAGTGGCTCATCATTGTAGCGGGGTTTGATTGAAGCGTCACAGAATATCTTGGTAACCCGATGGTACTTTTCGCATGATTCAGTGTGTGTTTGATTGATGATCCAGTTTCCCTTGAGATAAAGAAATATTGCGATTATTTTCTTTTCCAGTAACATTTCCCACGTACATAAAGAATGATAGCTGAGCTTTACGTTAGCGCTTTCACCCTGTTGAGCAGAGGATTGAATGCGTCACCAGAGGAATAGAAAGGCCAGAGAGTTTTCATCTTGGGCTCTAAGTATTGAGGCTCACGATGTGATTCGCATGCAGCATTGTTGTACCATTGCCCCGCGCTGCCCCAATCCAGTTTATCAATTTTTGCTTAGACGGGACTTGACAATATCACAATGCCCAAAAACTACATTAAACATCATGAACAATGGCAGAAACAATCGTAACCCTAAGAGCTCTTTTCCTTTCTGCAAAAGGGGTTTTCGCGAGTCTAAAGATGTTGTGGTTGCCACATAGCTCAAACGGTGGGAGCTTCGAAGTCTCTTAGTAGCGAGAGGGTTCGGGTCATCAGGGATTCAAGAGTTTGCGTTGAAAGTCAACAGTGAACACTAGAAGTTTTCAGCTTATTCAAAGAGACCAAACCGTACTGTGTGAGAGTTTTATATATCTGGAATATGCCGAGATCTTCGCTCAATCCACAGAGGCCTTGAACATACGAGAAAGTTATTGAACGGGAATCTATGCTTTGCGTAATCATACTTATCGCATATACCAGACATGAAGTGGCCCAAGATCCGTTACCTCATCCTTCAAGTGTAAAGTATTACGTGAAGGTTGTATTATAAGGTGCGGATTTTCATCATACTAGAGAATATTTCGTGTACAAAATTGTATATAACAAATACATTTGATTGTTTGGTCATTCTCTGTACCATCGATTGACTTTGAGCTGAAGTTTTCAAGATCACTCACCTCCAGCCCAACTGCACCTGGAGTTATGGTTGTTCACGTGACGTATAAGAGCCCCGCTGCCCTATCTTGCTTGACATACGATACGTCGGATAGACATAGCAATAGCCAAAGCCAAATCACCAATAATGATTGTAGATGACACTAAGACTAAGAAGGAAAATCTCCCGGGGATTTGCCCTCAGAGACAAGGCTATACGGAAGGGCCAAAAGAAACGTACCCATGAGAACCCCACCATTATTCGAATAGAGTCGCATGGGCGAGAAGGCAACGGGCAAACAATGCATCTTTCCCGTTTTTTGCATCACTCAATGAGGGGTCATGCAAGTGCCTTCGGTCTGTTTACAAGGGTTTCCAGAAACCAAACGCGGGCCAGGAGTAGCACTTCGAGAAGCCCGTCGAGTTGGCCCGAGAACAATCCAGTCATTGAGAAAGTCATCCAATCTCGCTCATAAATCTTCAACTCGACCTCGAAATTGTCAACCCTTCTCAGCAAGACTCACTTTGCTGGTTGCCTTCCAAGCCACATCAGCCGACGCACCCACACCCACACCCACACCCATCCACCCAAAAAGCTTCCGAAATCCTTGAGCCGTTTGAGTTGATACTCCGTAGGTCTCCCCATTTCTGGCCTTCTTTCCCCTCACTGATTAAGGCTGCCTGTAGCCCTAATAGGAAAACTTTGGTCAAAATGGCAGATATCGGTCAACAGGATGCCAAATTCTTTTATATCATCCTGTCCAATATGAAGAACAAGCCAGATGTATGCCAATCTGATTCCACGACTTCCTTCCTCAAATGCGTACTAATGAACTCCTTGGGTTGACTGGAATGCTGTGGCAGCACAATCAGGATTAAAGAACCCAAAGGTTGCCCAAATTCGATTTGGTCAAATGAAAAAGAAGATTGAGGAAACCAAAGGAGGGAGAGATGGACATGCTTTGGTGGAGAAGAAGAAAGCCTCTCCGAGTAAGCGCAAGGCAGCGACGAAGATCAAGGATGACAGTGATGACGATGCTGAATCTGAGGGGGACCAGGAGGACACGCCATCTCCCTCTAAACGTGGCAGACTGGGAAAAGCAAAGACAATGACGGAGAAATTCCAGACTGCACTGGACCTGGAAGATGTTGACGACGATGAGCTTGATTTTAGACACTGTTAGGGACTCCTTTTCTTTCCTTCTATGGAATGGATTCATTGAAAGGAACGGCAATCGGATTATGTTGGTGTTGGTTTGTTTTATCTTTTGTTGCTGAATTTGATCAAGGATTTTTCATGACTTCAATGTGAGTTCTTTTGGGAGGGGCGCAGTGGCAGGTGCAGAGGCAGACGCAAGTCATATCGGCTATTTATATAAGTAGTGTGTTCTTGGAACTACGAGTAGGGTTGAATTCGATTTGGTTCCCGCGTAAAGTGGTCATAGTTTGGTGTTTATCAAATTTTGTGGTCTGAAAGCCAGCTAAGGCTACTATTTACATGCCCTACAATTTTGACTGTTCCACTTTGGTGTTCTTCCTTGTTTGAGTGTAGGGTATGATTTGCACATGTAACTTAGGCAAACTGACCTCTTAGACTTTACATGACCACCTCTCCTCGTCCAGTGGTCATTGATGAGAAAATACTAAACGGCATACGTGTCACATCAAAAAGATTCAAGTGGGAATTTTAGATTGCTTCATTCATTTGTTTCCATACCCAGAGCCATGAATGTGTCACCTTTAGAGATGAACCCTGGCCATGAAACCCGTGAAATCTTCGCTGCTTTCCATCCCATATGTGTATCTTTCAGTTTGCGAATGCCTTGCAAGTATCAAGAATCAAAGTCGGTCGAGTAGAAGTTGTGACACAAAGAAAAGGATTGAAAGCATAACTTCAAAACCAGATTTCTCCCCATCAAACCTGAGTACCGCTCCGCTCCGTTACAGCCATAAAAGTCGCACACGAGCAGGAGGCAGAGGAACGACGGACTGCATGCTGCGGAGATTCATTCGTAGCCGTCATTATAATCACTGTAGGAGGAATCATTAGCTATCGTTTAATGGATTTGGTTGAAGGGCCGTTTTGAGAGAGTAGGTGACTTACTCGTCATCAAGGTCGATAACGTCTTGCGAAAAGGAGAAACCACTGTTTCCCATCTCGTCCTCATTTTCCTCAATCTTGAAAGCAGCTCCTCGAGCATATGGGTTCTCTTTCTTCAATTTCGGCTTCTTGGAGGGTGTTCCGTCACCGAATGCCTCGTCATCTTCGTCATCTTCGTTGTTATGGGCTTGGGAGCTTGATTTGGCTGGGGTGTTTTGGGTGGAGGTAGCCTTGCGCTTAGTTGGAGTTGCAGCAGCAGATGCTCCTTTCTCCTTGCGTGGTGCCTTGGATCCTCGACGAATCTTTTGGAAGTGTTGGCTGCACAAACGTCAGTAGTAGATTCATGCGAAGATGTGCAGATTTATTTGGTGGCTGGCTGGGGAAACGGGGATAGAGACGAGAGGAGGGGGATAAGAGGGGAAGAGAGGAAGAGGGAAACAAGATGCAAGTATCGGTATACAATGAGATAACCGCAAGACTAAAAGTGACTTCGACCAGTTTGCTAAGATTTCTGCAGGTCTTCGCTCTATGTTACAGGATTTCTCCTGTACAGAGGCTGCTACCTAATGCTTGCTCCTCTGCAAGATTATGATAGAGTTGACGAGTATCAGAAGAACCTCATTTTCAAAATCTCTTTGCTGAAATAAAGTAATAAGCAACGATGAGAATGCATCCTACATACCGACAAGCCTCTTGGGTGAAGGTATAACCGGCTTTGGTCATCTCGTCGGCGACATCCTTCCAGTTGATGCCCTCGAGCTTGCGACCCGCGATGATTGTAAGCAAGAGGTCTTTATCCGACTCGTGGTTCCATACAGAACCTCGGGGACCCATTTTGAGTGACTGTTTGGTTCTTGAACTGGCTGTGGTGAAAGATGTTGTGGTTGAATTGTTGTGCAGGTGGGGGTTGGGAAAGTGTTTGGTTCAGAGGTGAGGAAGATAGCCGGCAACTTGATGACGATCTGTAAAGCGAGGTGCGGTCACCTTTTCATCTTTTGATAAGGAAGGGGTACGGGACAGTCCCAAAAGTAAAGTGAAGTGAAATCTCGCTTAAGTCAGCCAACATCCAGAAGCCAACTGAATTCCAAGCTTCAAGAAACAGAACAAAGGCTTAAGGCGCACTGTAGAATCAGTGTTGCAAGATATCAAAGGTACAAGGATAAGATCAAGATTGAAATCCCATTTTTCCTTCACGTCTCTAGATCTTGATATAAATTCCCGCACCTTGCGTCACCTATCGCTTCACACAATTTTCTTTACCATAGGCGAATTTCATAGGGAAAAACGAAAGTTTGGTGAACACACGTAGACCGCCATTTTAATATCTACCTTCTGCAAGCCCCCCAAGTGATTTCTACGATTCCTCGCCATCTTTGACGAATTTGGCAATTAAGAGAGGGGGAGGATCAGACGTTGCCACCGCAACAGCCTGTGAACAACCCCAATCCCATGATCTGAGCGCATATTGAGTCACTGATACCTACCGCCATGCATATCTTGGTCGCATTTTCGTTTTGACCCTAAGTATTTTCTTTTTTTGGGTTGTTGCATGCCAACCTCCTCATTTTCGTGATTCGTTGCAGTCATCCCTGTTCCTTTGCATCATGTAGGTACCTGCATGGGTTCCTTCGGGCTGCTGTGCTCCCCACCCAGTCCAACGCCTACTGATACGACTGATACGGATCTTGATCACTTTTTTCTCCGTGATCAAGTTGCTGTGAGTGGCTCGCGTGGAATCAGGGGAGTCTGCCCCGCTATCTACCTGCAAGCACTTAACGCGGTACGCGATCAAGGATAGCGAAGGATACGATACTTTCAGATTGACCTGCATCCACTGTCGCGCCATCACTTGATCACAGCAAAACTGCCTAGGCCTCATGAATTTCATAGGCAACAAGGAGGACGTCATGTCTGTCAGTCCACTGCGTTGCTGCAATTTGGCAATGGAGATCAAGCCTCTCGTGGGTAGGAAGAATCCAGCCAACAATTGTTTGAAGTTGGCTTTCTCCATAGTGCCTGTCTCAGGCATGCATGGACTCCCTGCAATATGATCTCAATTTCTCTATGTTCCACATAGCAAAGAAATATTAGGATATCGTCCCACTGAGAAAGGAAGGCTTTGTGTCCGCCACAGAGAAAGAGCAAGAGTTACTTGATCATTTATGCACGTTCCCACAGCTGTACTGAATGCAAAGGTCGTTAAGTAAAGAGCTCACTTCTATCTGCCCCTCCTCACTCTTTCTCACACCTATTTCAATACCATTTCACACCGCCAACCCAGAACCTAGCGGAGATTGTTGCAATTGAACTCAAGAGAAGTTTCAAGAGGCTTCTTGCGATCCATGATACTGTGAGTGAGCCGGCTAAAGGTGTGCACGCTGCCAATCACATTTCCCAAAAGTTGAGAGAAAATTCCGGACGAATCGAATTGGCTTCATTCTCTATTGAAGCCCTCAAAGTCTCTGTTCAGGAAAACTATTTAAGACCTCGAGAGTTCCTTCTTTAGGCATACTTCAAGTCCAAAGAAATCAGCCAAACTGGCGAGTCTCAGCAAAGCCCCAAAAATGCCGAACGAGACGGCCATCAATCGGTTGCTCTATGCAATCCTGAGCCAAAAGTGCCTGAAAGATGTAGGTTTTAACTTTCGACTTTCCATTTCTATGTATAATGTGATCTCTTACCCAGTAGTTCCCGCAGAATCTTGAGTCTTGACTAACTTGTTGTGAAGATCGACTGGAATAAAGTTGCCAATGATCCTGTTCTCAAAAAAGAAATCACCAATGGTCATGCTGCCCGAATGCGATACTCACGCTTCAAAAAGCAAATGGAGGGTACATCAGGTGTCTCTCGAAAACCCCGCAATCCAAACTCGCCACGGAAGAATAAACCCAAGAAAAATGCAAAGACCGAGAAGAATACGACAATACCCGAATATTTTGACGAAGAACATGCCAGACCTAAGCTGTACGAGAATGAGGAATATGCGGCAGATGGGGAGATGGGTATGGCAGGTCCTAGGATGATCAAGCGGGAACGGGAAACCAAATTCATGCTTGGAGCACCATTTACGCCACAATCTCAGAATTCAACACCAAGTCCTGGTACGAGCCAACACGATTTCGGGTTCGTGGGAAGCGATTTGGGTGATATGGACCCCATGGATAACATGGCGACTAGTTTTGGGTATGTGGGTGATGAATTATACCCAACTATGATGGGACAGAAGAACTATGGCAACGGTATGGGTGTTCAGATGAATGAACCCAGTGGTTATTATGGGGAGATGTGGCAGCAGCAGGAAATAAATGATCCAGAAATCAGAAGTGAGAGAAGAATGGTAGACGAGGATGGAGTTCCTGTGAAAACAGAGCAAAGATGGGATGTAGCATACAGACATTCATAAGCCCATGAGCATCTAGGCATGAGAAGGTTATGGAACGCCAAGCACGCTTGTGGAGTTTTCTGACCAGATAGGGGAAATTGCAGCACTAATGATGGGATTTCTTTGGAGCAGTATGCTCTTGTGGGGGTTTGTTAATTGAGAAACAAGGGATAATATGTGTGGTTGTTGTGATTCGGAATTCGTGAGATTATTTTGATAAAAAGAGATTGTGGCATAGTATTTCTGTCTATTAAAGGCTCTGAGGAACCTGCACTTCAAAATGTTTTATCGCTTTGAGTACACAGCCAGTTATAAATACTGTGCCACAATCACTACACAGCCTTTTACTATAATTAAATGATTACAAATATCAAGTAATGATATGGCCCATTGGCTGTGGTCAAAACTTATTGACGCACACACATCGATTTGCAGTTAATTTTCAAGGCTTTAAGAGCAATGATGACACTTCAAATTATAAGTAAAGAGGGCGGACATATCGGACTATCCACCCCAAATACGGAACGAATATAGGTGGGTATAATCCACTGGTTTTTAATAGAATTATATAGCTTTTGCGCTGTTGCTAGGCCATTTCGAGCGATTTATGCAAACGAAATTGGCCAAATCGGTAAATATAACATAAAATAAGCAGTGGTATCTGCGTGAAAACCCTACCTATATTCGTTCGCATTTGGGGTGGATAGTCCGATGTGTCCGCCCTCTTTATATTCCTAAGCCTAATTCCATAACAGCTCACTTTACGTGTCATTTACGGGCCTGTAGAGTAGAGTCCCATATTGAAATCCATTAGCATGAAGCTGTGCCAAGAATTCCCTGTCAGATTCGACAATTTACTCTGAGAAAAGCATCCAGATGCTCCAAAACAGTTTATCTCACTTTTCCGACGACGATTTGTATCAACCGGATGCCGACAATCTAGCCAGCCGCTGGCGTCACCTACCTACCTACCACCCCTACATTCTAGTAGGTGTCTATTCTTCACAAGCCCAAATCCTTTTGCTTTCATAATCCCTGACCTTGCTCAGTTACTCCTACGAAGTATAAGCAATGTGGGTACTCATGACTGTAGGGTTTACCAAGATTAGCAGTGCCTCCTTTCTATGTTTACTGCGGTAAAGGGTTTTCACCAAGCGCACACGTAGTGTGCACATAGGTAAGACTTAACTCTAGATGGAGTAGAGGGTTTTAATAACCAGAAAATAGATTTCTCGCCAAAGTTGTAAATGTCAGTCATCTGTCCTTCATTCTCTTTCTTTCCCGAATTTCGATTAGAGTAATAACCATCACCTGAATCAATCGAAGCTTGTAGCCATCGTTTTCTATAATCGTTCAAGATATTGTTTTAGCAATTATGCTCAGCTTCGGCAGTATCCAGCACTAGCGCTCTGCCTTTTGGTCTCATTCTTCTATCCCAGATGCCCTAATGTCACAACGTCTTTCAACAGTCATCATTCAAAAGAAGGGTTGTAACTTGATTCTATTAATCGGCTTTTTGATCTAAGTGACGGAAGCAATTGAAACACGGCTATCCTGGAAATAGCCCTCTTCAATTCTTTCGAGTAAATTACGGAAGTGCCGGGGTTAAGAGTCGCAATTCGTAGTGATAAGTAAATGCAGAAAGCTTAAACCAAGCATTTAAAACCGCCCTTTGACATGGCAAATGATCTTTCGCTGGAATATCCATTTTGTAGTAGAATCCATTCCGTTGGACATGTTGGATGATTTCAGAGAACAAGGCGCGACAGGAGGAGCCTTCCCTCCAAAATTCTATACTCCCAATTCATCCAAGAAAGCCACCAACTTGGAAAATGTTGGTGAGTGTTAGTCGTATTAATATGCCTGACGACAGTAAGTAGTTGTGACTCCCAACCATGAACGGTAACTCGCTCTATGAGAATTTGAATCCAATTGCAACTGGCGAGCATCAATATGATTACATTCCTCAGACATGAGTTCAGAATACAATCACTCCCAAAATCCCAAGATCGTATGACTTTGATCCACCTTTTATCATCAGCCAAGGGGGCCAAGGTTGGGCCCCACGGTATTCCAACACGCAGAAGACGGCTCAGTCTGGATCTCTACTCCCTGAGAGGACACACCTCTGTCTGATTTCGTCGTTCTATTTGGGGAAAAAAGTACACCTTTGCGATACATGCGTTCTCTGTTGTTATTGAAGCCCCCCGTTCGAGGATCTGGGTGCTCTTTGGATTCTGACCAGAATCCCATCTTCCGGCGGAACGACATGCCAGAAGCTTCATGTTGAAGACAATACAATACGTTCTCATTTATATGTGTTAACTCTCTTCTCTATTTCTTACTTCCCTGATTGGTCATAGTCGTTGGAACAAAAAAGCCCAATGTCACGTTGCAAAGGCGAGGTTCACAAAATAATTCGGTGTAAATTCCCAGGGGTTTAATATGTTTCAATTGCCGAGGACGATTTTCTAGGGGTTTATATTTGTGGAAGTTTAATTTTAGTAGTAAAACTGCTAAAACTTTGTGCGATGTGCGACAAGAATCTAGATCTGGAAAGCATCACATGTTCAAGGCGGGATTTCTATAATCACGTGAATTACTGCCAACCCTCGTTTAGAAATAATCTCCGCTTTAAATTGAGGTATGTCTAGTTCAAAGCTGTCATTTGCTTTATAGTGGTCTGTTGGTACAGCCCCTTTTCTTGGTACTATATTACATATCAAAAACCATGCTAGCCAAGGTGCCGTTCTATTAAACCTCCAGACATAAGCGAGATTGTAAAACAAACAGCAGTTGTGTAAACCCCTGCGATTATCTAGATAAAACGAGAGGAAATGCAAAATATGTATAGAGTAGAACAGGTATATTTTATCCCAAGTCGAGATTTCCTCATATCTCCTTTCTTTTGTTTCTTCAAGCTGTTACATTTGACTTTCTTCTGGTTCGTGATTTACAACTTATGAACCTCACACTTTCTACAAGTGAGAACAATCATAATCAAGAAGCAGAAGAGGACTTCAACTGTAATCAGGTCATCAAAGAGATTCTTAAAATAACGAATACAAGACATCAATTCCATCACAAAACCACCCAAACTTTTAATACAGAGCATTCAATTGTAATTTCCTTTTCCTGTGAATAAGCATTGGTACACATCACTTTAACTATACAACCCAGCGTCATCTATGATTATTATGACCTACTCTTCCACAATACCATTCTCCCTGTACATTGCCTCAATGATCCTATGTCTATCAACCGCAACCTCCCACGAGACCAGAGCCTCGGAGTAAATCCCCTCCTTACCCTCTTTCACATCCTTAATCCCCTGATAGACCCTTACTATATTTGCGCCTGGCAACTGGGTAGTCTCAAACCGATCAGCATCCACTACGAGCTCCTCCACAGTATCGCTGGCAAAATCGTGAAGTTCGATTTTGACATTCAATCCTGACCCAAAAAGAAGAGTGGGGTTGTAAGTCTGATCCCTCCCTTTTCGAAATAGATGCGCCAGTCTAGGGCAGGAGTGCCTTTGAATGGCTCGCCGCCGCGGAAAGCCATGGAAATTGGAACATCTGAGGAGAGGGTCCCTTGGAGGAATATTGGCTCCTCGGCTGTTCTAGGAGATGCTGGGTTGATAACACTACCATCTTTGTTCACTAAGGCAACGGTAGGTCTACGGTTGGCGAGGGTAGTTTGGGGCGCGGTTTTGAATCCTTCTCCCAAGGCTAGTTGGTTCTCATTAGCTTGTTTCTTCGTCCATCGGCACGGATATTAAGAGTATAAACTTACCATACTGGATATAATCAAGCGCATGGCCGAAATGAATAGTCACAAGATTTGCCCCAAGCTCTCTGTTGCCAAAGATTTCGAACTCCTCGGTTGTAGCCGGACCTTGGTGATGGCCATAGCCAACCCAAGTACTACTCAAAACCTTTCCAAGCTTTCCAGGCTTGATGACTGATTTGATTTTTTGAATAGCTGATAATTGTCTATCTTGTAAACCAACATAGGCATTTTTGACTGCCGAGGCGTTTTTAAGTGCGAGAAGTTCCTCGGCTTCCTTAAGGGTTCTACCTAGAGGCCATTCGATATATACATCTTTTCCGGCTTTGAGGGCAGGTCTGATTGAAGGAGCGTGGAGGTGGCAGCGCACGCTGCACACGACCAGTTCGACATTGGGATCCTTTCCAATTTCTAGAATATGTCAGCTAGCTTCTATTGGATATCCCCGCGGAAGGATATAATTTCAGAGAAATAAAAAGCCCCACCTTCTGAGTTTCCATACGCTTTTGTCTCTTCACCTAATCCCAACGACTTAATCGCTGCCTCGGAGCTCTGAACAGAACTGTTCTGCAAAGCCACAATCTTGTAATCAGGAGAAATTTTCAAGTAGGGATAATGGGCAGCTTTTGCCCATCCTTGAGATGAGAGACCGATAAATCCTAATTTGATTGGTGCCATTTTTGTGAGATGGTTCTCCTATGGGAAGTTGAAAGGTGTAGATGTGATTGAGTTGAGCGGGATGAGTAGGACATGTCCGCCGAACGAGTGTATATGATATCTCAACGTCGCATTAAATATACACCGCGATCGAACAGGCGCTCCCGGCCTACCAAGTTACGGAGGTAATGGAGATTAGTAACAAAAAGATCTATGGAACCAGCTCTCCTCCCACTAGCAGCATGGGATTGCTCCATTGGTGTTATCCTCGTCACTGCGTAGTTCTCCAACACAAAGATGAGGAAGAAACTAGACCGTTGACGGGGGAATTTCCAATGTTTTTACGGATTCCCTATTCGGGGGAGGGTTGAAAATGTGACAGTCAACAGTAGCCTGGTCCGTAGCATGATAGCGCTCTCAAATCAAGGGATCCTTATGATACTGTGTTTGTAATCTCTTCCCCTTCGCTCAGGCTAGTAGCTTCCAGTGTAGAACAATTAGCCAAAAAGGCGTAGTGGGTAGTTTTGCAATAAGTCTAGCGAGTGGTTGTTTTCAACTTTACCTGACTACAAAGCCAAATCATACTCGAAATTCCTACCACTGTACGTATGCTACTTATTACTCAAACATAATAAGTAGAGGGACGAACATATACGTTCAATGCGAACTCGAGATACAACATCCCAAGGCATGGGCATTGAACTCTCAGGCTCCACTTCAAACCCACTCGAGTCTTGTCACCGAATTATAGGTGGAGTTTGGAGGGCATTTCCCGCGGAAAGATCACCGAGACGGGAGCTACAGTGGGAGATTTGGATATAATAATGATGTTGTGTTTCCAAAAGACTTCAGGGCCTCATTTACATAATATAACTCTCTATCTCTCCCTAAAATGAGAAATGAGGAGGGTTCTTGGTCCTGCGGCACGGGGAGAAAGGGGTTGTTTGATCAATCAATAAGGTTCTTCCCTAGGCAGGAGCTCTGCTTCGCTATATTCAAGAAAAAGGAGGTTATAGGATCCTGAGTTTCTTCTTGTTGATGTTTATTATACCACTCAGTTAAGCGAGGGCTTCAGTTCGTGGCGACTAATGTCCAAAGCTGCTAGTCAACCTCATAGGCTCCAAAAAAAAACTCAACCACGAGCTACCATCACAAATCAAGAATTTAAATAAATCCGGGTACTCTTTTTTATTTTTTTCTGCATCCACTTCAGCGTGCCTAACAACAACTGTGCAGAAGTCAAAAAAAAAAAGAGAAAACAACAGCATCAAGTATTCTGCTGCATACATGCATATGAAGGAAGACTCCCAAATATCGAATCTTCCAAAAATGCCAGGCCTATACTCCAAACAACTAGCCTCTGGAAAGAAAAAAGAATTAAGGAAGCCTATCATCAAATAGACACATACAATTCCTCAGCACAGCTGCCTATATCCGCAGATCATCAATTCTGCTGCCGAGCGAACATGAAAATAAAAACGCCACCAGTGAATACTTCAAATGTCGTTTTTGAAAAGTTTTGAGAAGGATTTTGCAGAGAAATTGAGTCTCGCTGAGAGTCGAAAAAGATTGGCCGCTATGTTTTTATCGAACGACCCGAAGTCATTTGGTAGCCAAATATCTTGAATTGGCACCTGGCCTAAGGTAGAAGGGGTATACGTAATGCATTAGAAATTCGAAGGTTGGTTGAAGCTAGACAGCCCCTGTCACACCAACTCCAATGGAGTTACCTCGAGGCCTGAAAGTCGAGTTCCGATACTGGCGAGGGTTTTCAGCCTGACTGTCTGGAGTGCCGTTCCTATTTGGTGGATACGGATGAGGGGGCTCAAGATCTTGACCTTGCCATTGCTGCTGTGGTGGTATGTTTTGGTTTTGTGGTCCGCCAGGCTGATCGTGAACATGGCGTACGCTGCTCTCCTTTTGCCGCGCATGTGTTTGGGACGGATCAGTATCTATTCTTGTAATCACTGGTGCGGCGCCTCGCCCGCCACCACCACCCTCTTTTCGTGGCGACCCTTCAACGGTTTCGACCTGATGCCTGGGGCCACCATTCTGGCCAAGGTCCCCATAACGCTTCAGAATCTCCTTTGTGGTTACCTCACCATTGGTTGTTGTAAAAAGGGTTGTGTCAGAAAGTATAGATTGAAGATCCTCCGGAACCTAGTCAAGCGGTTAGTTGTGGGGGGTAGTCTGGAAGTTAAGAGCACTTACTTCACACATTTGCTCATTACATTCGATGAGCGTGTGTACGACCTCAATCGCTAAGAAATTATCATCGACGGGCGTTTTGGCGTTGGTGAAGAGAATATTTGGTGCAATGACCGTGGCTAGATTGTGAGTGTCCATCTTTGAACCAGATTCCTCGTCGACTTGATGGAAGGATGCCACCCAATTGAAAAACGAACATAGAATCTCTAAACAGTCTCGATGAGCTTTTGGCAAGAGACAGCATGTCAAGTGCAGCACACGCCGACGTTTGTCTTCATCGGCGATCTTTTGCGTCGCTATAAAGAGCCGGTGGAGTTTGAATGTCAACAGCGGGTCTGGCAGCTCTCGAAGATATTTCTTAAGCAGTGCTGCAACTTGCACAACGTTTTCTTTGGACAAATCCACGGACTCGCACCCATCTTTGTCGATAGCCAGAGTCGTGACATTTAGTCGCTTGATATTCCCGTTTTTTCGGAACACCCCCTCGACTGAAAGATCCATTTTTCGCATGCTGGTAACTACATCATCAACAAGTGCTGGAATCCTCAAGGCGCCTGGACCAATGCCATCAGTCGAGTCAGCTCCATCTCTCTCGATAATAACCTCAAGGGGCACGCCGAAGACTCCCTTCTTCTTGCCTCCCTTTTTGCCGTCATTCTTGAAAGCTTTCCCCATTTTGTTCCAGAAGGTTGGTTTTCTAGTCTCGATGAGGCTGAGCAACTCTTCCAAAGTAAAATGGCCTTCTAGCATCGGTTGCATAGCAATGACAGCAACGTGGCGAACGATGAAATATTCCAGGGCAGATAATTCCGAGAAGTATTTCTTGCCTCCATCACGTCTCTGGCTGGATGGGTCTGATACAGGAATATCGAGGGCGTTGCCACTCGAAAGATTGCGTTGATGGCCGTTAAGGAGCTTTGGCTCGGTAACAGAAGTTCTGAACATCTCATGACGTGCGTGTTTGTACGCATTTGGTCTTTGCTCCTTGGCTTGCTCTGCAGCTACGATTCGTGGAATATCGTCAAGAGTCAAGGCATCCTGGTGACCAAACATGAGTTCGGTTCTGGATTCACCATTGCTATCTCTTTCTTCAACAATTTGAAAGCCGCCATTTCGTGGATCGGACCCATCTGCGCCAGCAGAACCGGGTCTGACAGAACGTCCCTCGGGACCATCCATGATTCGCGAAGTCCTTGCTTTCTTAATTGTGGACGACAAGTGCTTGTCCATCCGGGTGCTTCTCAGACGCCGAACATCGTTGAGAGTGCTCTCATATGAAGACTCTCGTGGTTGATCATCCGCAGTTCCGCCAAAGGACTTCGATCGGGTGTTTGATCTTCCCAGTGCAGTATCGTTCTCTGCGAGTCGATGGCCCTCTTTCGAATCGTAACCGTTCAAGTTTGGGTCATCAGAAGTATGTGGCAGTGTACCACTACTTCGTAGAATGTCCAAAAGTCTTGCCAAGGCGACCCGAAGAAGGAATACGTATTGCTGGAGTCGGGTGACTCTCTCAAATCCACCGACCGCATCGGGAACCCGGTTCTGGCAGTTACTGCAATGAATCTTTTGGTCCTGTTGGCTCCATCTAACATCTTCCAGGTTTTGACGGAGTTCTCGTGAACAATTTGTACATTGAAGACAAGCAAGATGCCAACGACGCTCTTGGATATGTGCGCATTCATCTTCTATCGCTCGTTTGCAAGTTACACATTGGTCGGAATTCGCTTCAGCCAATCCAGGTGTGCCGGTGGTGGCTTCCAGTGATATTTCGTCGTTCTTGATTGCCTCCATGTCACCAAGATCATCCAAAAACGCATTCAAGCCCTCGGGGTTCTTCTGCTCCCGCTCGACCTTGAGAGCCCCTTGGAGACATATTCTGATCAGAAGTTTCAAATAATGAGCCAATCCAGTGACAAGGGCGAGAAGTTCCTGGGTAACACCAAGTTTTCTCACACCCGTCTCTTGAGTCTTGGACAATAGTGAAAAGAAAGCCACTATCTTCTTGCAGAGAAGTTTCGCCTCTCGAGAATAGGAAAGTCCTAGACTGTATCAGTTAACCACTCCCCCGAATCACAACACGCAACATACCTTTCATTGCCAATCTTGTCATGGTGGCATCCAGCTTGTCTGCAGAACGGAACAAAATATCAACATGCCAGATGAACTTCTTGGCCACTAATACACCATCCACATATGCGCCGTTACTGACGTGCAGAAGCATATCCGATATACAAGCTGCGGACGACTCTTCGAAGGTCGAAAGAACGCTCCATATCCTATACACCTTCTCCTCCATTCTTTCCTCCTCGTCTCTGACAGCATTGCGTCCTTCTTCGTCCGTAATATCGTTTACTTCCGGCCTTGCCTCTGTTGCGTCTTGCGTTGAAGCTAATCTCACGTTCCAGAATTTGTGTATCATGTAGCATTCTGGATGCCAATGTTGATTCTGACCATTGCGGAAAATTTCAACAAACTGCTTCAGAATAGCCGTCTGGCAGCCATTACACCGCTGTGCAAATTGTGTCGAGTAATGGTAATGACAATATACCTGACTATCATGCTCATAATAACTGTCCTGGGCTCCAAACACCGTCGGACACACAGAACAAGTAAAATGGTCGATATGATACTTTCGGTCCAGGGCTGTGATGTACGACCCGCGGAGAGCGCCATTACATTTGTGGCATATTAAATCGAGCCGGCGGAAGTAATCGGTTTCGCAAAGCGGATATTGACCCTCCCCTTCCTCTTCGTCAACTGGGAAAAACTTGGAAGCGACAATTTGGCCACAATCCTAGAATTTGATTAGTGGTGCGCAATTCAATAGCAAAGCAAATCACCTACTCGACATCGGAAACAGTCCAAATGAAAGGTACCGCCGAGTGCCCGCACAAATTGTCCAGTCAAAGGTTCACCGCATTTCTTGCACATTCTCAACTGCCCTGACGCTGTCCTGCCATTCCGCTGTCGTGATCGGTTGCGCTCGTCGCCGTTCGAGTTGGGGTCGCCGCCATCTCTGTCTCGGTCCCTCGCACTTTGGCTTCCTGACGGTGACAAATTCCTCCTATTTTCGAGGGCCTGGCCATCATTTGGCGGCTGGAGTTGTTGGTCCTGCATTCCCATGTCTCGATCCGAATGATATCTTCTGCCGTCATCTAGATAGGGCTGCCCGCCATAGTTTTGCCCCTCCCCAGATGGGCCTCCTCCCTCTGCTTGAGGACCCATCGTACTGGGCTCAAATTCTCACCTCCTATTATCTCCCTTTTCTTCTGTCGCCAATGGTCGCTTGTGTATTTAAGTGTTGCTTGTAGCCCGAATCACCCCTCCTGCGTCGTGTTTGCCAAACTGGGGGTATCGATGGGCAGTGGTTTCGCGGAAGGATTCTCGATATGCTAACCTGCTCTCTTGGAACAGCCTTTATGGAGATCTGAGGTAGTCGAGTCGCATGGCTTAGTGAATTGGCCTCCGCATATGCGATTTTCTGCTGGCGACTGAAGGGTCAAGGAAGATCCAACCCGCAGCACCTGAAACAAGAACCATCAACCAGGAATAGCAATAACGATGTGGCAACGGGTGACTGCTATCCTGGTGGGATATATGATACGAGATACACGATTCCCAAGAATTCGTATGTGTGTGTTTGTGTGTTCAGATATGCGTTGATTCTGGCAGTTGGATCTCTCGTGTCTGGTTGTAGGTGTAGATTTCGTTGTCGCGTGGTGGAGTCAGTGTCGGTGTAGGGGGGCAACGTGGAGATGGGAAGTGGTTTGCTGTACAACGCGAAAAGCTTCCAATGAGCGTCTGGCGGGCGGCGGGCAGGTGAAAAAGAGGGTGATGCGCTGCTTCAGGAGAGACAAACGCGAACGTCAACTAGGTCTATTGTGTGTGTGTCTATTTAACGTCTAGGCGGGCACTATCAACTAGGTCTAGGTTGAGATAACCTCAGGTAGTAAATGTACAGTCACGTGAGAAGTTGGGTAAATCTAAGCTAGGGCTATATATAGTCATGGATCTTGGAAGGGCGAATACAGAAGGATTACGGGCGGGAGTACTTGAACAGTGTTTTTGGCCTTTGATTTGCTCTCTCAGATGGACTATAGCACCCTAATTCCTCGCTTTAGTTATATTACCTATATATAAGGTATCCTTGTTCTAGTTATACTAGCACATATAACTATATATTAATAATTAAACCCTACCTATATAGATAAAGTGGGTACTCTGGTAGGAATATAATATATTACTTTAAAAAGAGTCTACTAGGCATTTGTTTAATAAGTTATTAGACATTTATACCTTTGTTTTCGTACCTAAGGTACCTATAGATACCTAGGTAAGTAGTTAGTTACCTAGGTAGGTTGCCTATAGGTAGATTCTTGGCTAGACGATCGCTCCGTGGACTTGGCCAAGGAAACTGGAGGCTATAAGTATCGATAGGTATTCTGTTATCGAAACCATGACGAAACCTAAAACACACTCCGCGATGAATCCAAGAGAACAAAGTCTGTCTCTTCCGATGGTGATTTAGAAGCTGCAGCCTCCTGTATGGGTTCACTTTTCCTTGCCAGCCCAATACTGTAGCCAATACGAGTACAAGTAGCCCAAGCGAGAGGTGAATGAGGTGCGGTTTGGTGCGGCCACTGCAGCACGCGCCGGCGTACTTGTACAGCACCTAAACCTCCTAAATCCTTGGACCGGACTTTACATACATAGCAGACCCAACCAAACCCCATTGAACTTCCCAACTCCCAACTCCCACACCACATACAAATACACCACCTCACCATCGGAGAGATAGAGTCTTTCTGAATCTCCCTCTCTCGCACCTCTGCCAACGACGCAGTCATGTCGAACCATTCCATCATTCGCATTACCAAGGTATGTTTCATGCCCGCCTACCATCATGGCCATGGCGGGGTCGCAAGGCTGACGATGCCTCACAGGAATTGGCAGATATCCAGAAGAACTCGGATCTTTGTATGTTCACCACTACACACAGATGCCCTATACGTATAGGTATACGACTCCCAGGTCTTCTTCGTACTGACTCTCTCTTGTATAGCGCTCGCGGTTGCGTGCCGCGATGTCGACGTTCGAAACGTGAAGGCTATCATCATCGGCCCCTCTGATACCCCATATGAGTTTGGCTTTTTTGAGGTTGGTGAAATGCGACCCCACATACACAAGCTTGAGTATCCTGCTAATTCTTCCCAGTTCCAGGTCAAGTTTGGCAAAGGTATCTACACGGAAGAAACACTGGGCGCATAGAATTGGAGACTAAGGTGTTACAGATTATCCTGCAAAGGCTCCAACAGTTGTAGCAACAACGACAAACGGAGGCCGATGTCGCTTCAACCCAAATATTTACGCACAAGGAAAGGTTTGCTTGTAAGCTTGCGCCGCAATTCCTTTGCTTCATTCATTGACTTGCTAATTGTTGCTGCAGGTCAATTCTTGGGTAAGCACATATTTAGTGGATTCAAAGTAGAATCAAATGCTCACAATTCCCAAAGTACATGGAGAGGAGAACGAGGGGAGGAATGGTCATCCGCACAGGGCGTCGAGTCTATCTTGATATCCATACAAAGTCTAATGTCCTCGAATCCCTATGAAAATGAACCGGGTTTCGAGACGGCCAACGATGAGGGTGACAAGAAGAATCAGAAGGAATACGTAGCCAAGGTTGGTCTTACAGAAGTCGACCATTGATTCATGTTAACTCAGGTTCAGATTCGCCACGAATCCCTTCGCATCTCAGTTATCCAACGTCTGGAAGAGTATTTGGGGATTTCTCCGACTGGCGAAGTTGCACCACAATGTCCCTCCACCAGTGATAGTGACGACGACAGTCATGACATTGACCGAGACTATGACGAAGGATCAGTGAATTTTGAGCCATTCAGAGACTTGTGCAAACGACGCTTCCTGTGGTACTTTGATTCATATCTCCTTGCCATCAAGAAAGCCAGCGTCGAGGTCAAAGATGGTCAACAATTTACCCGTATGCCATTCGAGTGCACAGGTAACTGTATGGAGGGAAAGTTCAACTACACCGAGTTGGAGAGACGACTGAGACTTATTAAGAAGACTTTGGACGAAGAAACTGATAGATGGGCAGTAGAAGGATTGATCATTAAGAAGCGTGAAGGTACCGCTGCAGCCAATCTGCAGAGACAGTACGAACAGGTAGTCGAGGCCTACAAGCGAGATAAGAATGTCACCTTGACTATTGAGCTGGTTGACAAGAACCCTTTCGTTTGGTGTATCGCATACTTCGGTCGGCCTATGACAAATTTGGATGGAGGCTTGTTCCGTATCAAGCTGTCCTTTAGCCCAAGATTCCCGGACGAACAGCCCCGAGCCAAGTTTGAGACTTCGCTTTTCCATCATCGAATAGCGCTTGATGGTACACCATGCTATACTACAAAGCGTGTCGAGGATGCAAAGTCACACATTGAGGCTATTATTGAGGCGTTAGAAGAAGAGTCCCCTCCTTACGATCCTCGAACTCTCGTTAATCCTGAAGCTTCGAAGCTCTTTTGGGGCTCGGCTGATGACAAGAAGATGTACAATCGCAAGCTTCGAAGAGCGGTGCAGAGAAGTATGGAGTAAGTGTAGCCTAGTCATCCGTTTCTCGTTAAGGCCCTCTTTTTCTAACCAAGCTAGGGAGTAATAATGATATACGACGTACCCTTCGGCCTTGTTTTTATTTTTAATTTTCGACATACACAATCGCGTTCTCCGCCCTGAATATTAGCGCTACTTTCTTGAATGTTTGTTTTTTCGGCTCCAGGAGTGCATTTACAGATATGCGGGCGTCTCAAAGGGTTGCTTTTCTCGGGTTCCTCATTGCAGGTAGGCAGGCATGGCCACACATGGAGTTCGACTGTGGTTTTGCAATTAAGCAATGGCGATGGATGGACAGGACGTTCAAGGAATGGGAATTTTGATATCTGGGATAGGGAAAGAGACTTACATGAATTGAACTGGGTACTTACCTCTTTGAAATTTGTTCTACACACTGAAGTACAGTGACTGCACATGAAATTATGTATTAAAGTTTTTGCTGTTTCCCTCAGTGGATAAACCGTAACTACCTCTGATATCGTACAAGCCTGAAAATGTACATGGCAAGAACATTCCTGCTCCGATATGAATCTACTGTCCCTTCTTCTCGCCCTCTTTTGCCTGCTCATCCTCAAACCACTTGACAGCTCTCCGAATTCCCTCTGGTAACGATACAATTGGCTCATAACCCAAACGACGCTTCGCCTTGCTGCAATCATAATACCTCGTCATACAACTATACCTGACCTCCCTCCTCGTCAACTTACTCTTCTTCCCAATCATCCACATCCCCCAATCCATGACGGTCCCCAACACATTTCCCACATCCCTCGAGATGACCCACACACCTTCCGTCCCCTTCTCGTTCCCCTGACATCTCCATACCGCTCTCGCGAAATCCCAGAAATACACAGGCTCGCAGTTCGTGATGAAGAAGACTTCTCCGTCTATTTTCTCGTGGTCTAGGACGGGCGTGGAGATGGCGTGGGTCTGGAGGAGCGCGAAGGAGGCGAGACAGTGCGCGTGGGCCACATTTTGGACGTAGGTGAAGTCGAAGAGGTTTGTGTTGTCGCCTAGTTGAAAATTGTTCTTGCCGTCTTTGTAGACTTTCATCATTTGCGGAATCATTTGGACGTCGCCTTCGCCAAAGATTCCGGCGGGACGGAGGGCGCAGGTTAGGAGTTTGGAGGATGAGCGGTTTGCGGATATGACGAAGGCTTCTGCCTCGGCCTGGGTTTTGTGTCAGCTATCATGTTCTGCTAGATACATTGAGGGATTATTGGAGCTTGGAGTAGAGCTGGGAGTTTCCAATCGAAGATAGAGATGTACTTGGAAGCGGAGAGTTGTCATGATAGTATAGCATACCTTAGTTTGAGAATAATACTCCGTCTGCGCAGCGGGAGGAATAACTGGCCATCTCTCATCCGCATTTACCAGATCCGCCACCGTATCCGAAATCACACTCGCCGAACTGGTATACACCAAAGCCTTGACATTTGTCTTCTGAGAAGCCTCAATCACACATTGCGTCCCGTCCACATTAACCTTCTTGTATAGCTCCCTACTTCCTCCCGCCAGTGTCGGTGAAGCTGTATGGATCACCACGGCTGGTTTTATCTTCTCGAAAATTGGAATGAGGGATGAGAGGCAAGTGATGTCGCCATCGTAATAGGATACCCCGTCGGAGTCGGGACGGCGATTGCGCGTAGTACGGACGTCGAGCACGGAGACTTTGCACTTGTAGGAGAGGAGAAGATTAACTATGTGGTGGCCGAGAAAACCGCACCCACCGATTACGAGGACGTTGCCTAGATCTCTCTTTGCAGGATTTGGTGTCATTGTGAATGAGAAATCGAAGGGTTGCGTTGGGTTGTCAAAATCTGGACGCTCAATGGTATTCCTGTCATACGAGTACTCGAGTACTCTTACGGGTACATTATACAGCAGTGGGGCGGGATGACTTGGCCTGCTGGGGTCAACAGGGGTTGCGTCAAGGCTAGTCTCTGTTGGGAATCTTGTCCAACCCAAATTCAACTTCTACGAGACCATTTCTCTTCGAGCTCAAGTGAAGCTTAATAAAAACTTTCTCAAAGATATTCCATGCTGCCCTATTACCTTCTTTCGTCACTCGGTCAATTTGGTTGGTGGTTGATCTAGAAGAGCTATCTACCATAAGAGCACACCACGGGGAAAGCAAGCAGAAGAGAACAAGAATCTACGGTGTTGGATTCCGTGAAGATTTCTTCAAGCGGTGATGAATAGCAAAGAGATAGTACTACGATATTAAATCCGCCTAAAGTGTGATCCCTTAAAGCTGAAGTAATTAGGTCAATTCTCGGCACTCGCGTAATCTCACCTCTTATGAGTATACTCGGGTACCAAAAGAGGATATTCGGAGAAAGATTAGAGCCAAAGAACAAGATGAAACGGCAAAACATCATATCTTTCCGATACAAATTTTCCAATATGGCGCCCGGGTCAAACACAACTTTCGCTGGTCTTCATAGCTAGCAGCAAACTCCCACCTTATAATTTATAAAGCTGAAATCAGGTTTACGGGTGTTTTTAGTGAACATCACATCTTGGGCATAATTGTTGGATGAGAATTTCCGGTTTACAAACACGGTCAATGTTTGAAACGAGTCCCATCTAGCTCATCGCCAGTACCACCGCTGTGGTCTGAAGAATCTTCTGGGTATTCAAGAGCAGTTTTGATATTACATTTGTAACTCAAGTGATCTTTGTACGAAGCTTGGTACTCTTTTCCTTCGTTGCCAAGTAAGAGCACCAGATTCTGCTTCACGTAAGACTACAACTTACCATTTTAGTAGTGTATTGATCGTAAACGAAGGTAATAATAACCCTTAAAATTTTAGTTACTGTAGTATGGCCGTATACTACCCAATCACAGCCTGGGATCCTCATTAAGTATCGAAATGATTCAAAAAAAAGGTGGGGTTTCCTCCTCCTTGAGCAAAACAAAGATCTAAACACAAAGAAAAAAAAAAGAGAAAAAAAAGAAGTGAACCAGCGTAGCAGATCTGAGGTTTACTACCTTCCATAGACTTTTCTGGTAAAGGCCCTAGAAAGAGTCCTTTACCACCATGCAAGGCTGCTCTTTGGTAATTCGATCTTAGTGATTCGATGACCAACCTTCTGAATTGTGAATATATGCAACATTCTTTAATGTTGGAAAGTGTGGGCCGAGAATGGGCCGAGTACTTGTATCGCCGAGCGAGCCAATAGTAGTTTGAAGATTTGAATTCGTCTATATTGAGTGAATAGGAATAGGCATTTGGACCATGAGGCATGAAGACCGACCTGATTGACAGAATACGTTCGGAGATGGGGCGGTGTTCATGTGAGTGGAAGAATATCAGCTTATACCTAGCTATATTTTGTGCCTTTTACCTATCGTATATTGATATTGTTAAGCTTTAGATACCCACGGATGGTGAAACTACCAATCGAGATTTCGCTTCCAAGAGAATTGTGAATCCTAATTTAGGGGAATTCATATAGAATCGAATCATTCCATGTTTGATGACGCAGAGGCTTGGCTCAAATCATATGGAAGAAATGAATTGAAGAACACAAAAAAACAAGAGCCCATCGTATTTGCATAACTCACTGGCCACTTACCTTTTGCCAAGTCGAGCACGCATTCACATCCCTTTGAGTTATCTAAAGCAAATCTTTTTTACTTGAATAACTCTTGTGAAAACTTTCTTTCTCGCTGAATCGAATCACTTCTAGGCTTTTTTGGTTGAAAGAGTCTGTATAAGGATCCTTTGCCTTGGAAAAGATATCCAAATGATCAAATCCTTCACAAACTTACAAACCGACTATCCCATTACAAATTTCCTTACTACAGCTCCAGCCGCGTTTTCGACTTACTAGAATATCCATAATGTCATACGGACAATACACCCAAAATCTTTCCGAACCTGCAGCCATAGCTATTGGCGAGCTTCTGGCTTGTGACCCGACTAATGGCCCAGATTATGGCGCGGACGTTCTGAATCCGAGACCCTGGTCAGCAGATGTTCGAACATGCTGGATACAACTTCGCAATATTATCAAAAGAGAAGGCGCAAATGAGGTGGACTGGACCCCGGAGCAATGGAAATTGATGCGTGTGGTTCGAGAGTTGCGAGAATACTTCCTTTCTCTTCAGACATCGTCGGCTTCCACTGCTTGGACTGAAGATGAGGCAAAGGCTATGGATGGCCTTATTAAGCGCATTCCCGAGCCGCCATCTCTGGCTCTAGAGGACGAGGAGGATATTCGAAAAGAACTCCCTTTTCAGACCCTTCGACTTGGTATTTTCCTTGCGGACCATAAACTTCGCGAGTTGGAGCATAAAGCAGGACCAAGTCGTCGTTGATTCGATCACTTCTTAGTGGTCTTTGTAGGATGGCCAAGGCGAAACAGTACATGACAGGCATCAATGTACATGAGTTTCGCTGTGCTTCATTTACGTGCGAACACGCTCAATTAATCACTATCGTTCAAAGTTTATTAGATTATTTGCTTATCTTGTGCTTCTGACTCTCCATTCATTACTCAACTGCCGTCCTTGATTAACTCAGTATGACCGCTTCTTGTTACCCGATAGCATCCCCAAACTGTGACCTTTTACCTTGTTCCCGATCCTTACTAACAAGTATCATCGGCATTACATCAAGTACATGAATAACGCACCAAAACATCCACGATGTCAGACCTAGAAAAGACCGAGGATCTCACCGCGACCCTCGCCGAATCCCTCATATCAGTCGAAAATCTACCCGCAGTAGTTGCTTCTGCGACTGCTCGTCTCTTTGCCATACCTCAGGGAGTTCAAGAGAGCTGGTCGCAGGACATTCATGAGAATCTCAACAAGTTCTGTATCGTAGTTATGGGAGATCTTTACAACAAGTTAGAATGGAAATTGAATGAATGGGCCGCAATGAGTGCTTGTTTCCGGAAATAAGCAGTTTCATGATGACCATTCAACACATCCGGACACTTTCAGCGACCAATAGGTCAAGGTTGTGTGCGCTCTTAAAGAACACATTCCTAAGCCGCATAATTTGGCCTTGGAGGAGTTCGCGTTCAGACATCCGGAATCTCTGGAAATAAATGGCCAGGTGACCGTATGTCTGGTGCATGGTCTAGTGCGTGGCGTTGAACTTTCTAATTTCTGTTTCGCAGGGCGAATCGCATTATTCATCTGAAGCCAGATGTAGACGATCTTCTTGGTGAATCATCGCAGGGTATGAGGAGAAGTGGCGGATTCATGGTTACCGCCAGTCAAAACTTGTTTTCCTTTCGCTTAGCATGTGCTTGCCCATGGGTCATGTCCATTTTTTCGCTCTGCTTAATTTGCTTCATAGATCAATTCATGATTCTTACACATCTTCTACACTGTGTTCTTGATACCAACTTTGACCAACATCCTACTTGTTGCATTTTCCTCGCAAGCAGCAAACTTCCCTCAAGCTGAATTTGAGCAAAGAAGAACGCGTCGTTTGTTGGTAATGATTCATTGCAACTATTTTTCCATGTGTCACAAGAAAACATCAAAGTTTAAGTCACCTTATTCTTGCGGATTCAAGTCTTTATGTAATAAAATGGGAGAAATTCCAGTATTTCAAATGAGATTTATCTCTGTCAAAGTACAAAGGCTGAGAGGACAAATGAAATTGCATGTGCCTGGCAACGTATTTCCCACAAACAAAGGATGAGAGTAGTCACCAGCACCAGCGTTCTATATATAACTCAGAGCATGATACCAAATTCACTGTCACAATCGATTTATTCACATTCCCTCCACCGAGTCACCACGGAGGTAGAAACCATCCATAAAAAGGGTTCTGTTTGATCTTCCCCACTGACGTCGTCATTCAAACTATAACTACAGGCATGTCTCTCCTAATCTGTACTTTATTTCGTTGCGGTCATCCTTCGCTCGGTTTTGAGGATCCGCCGGATCTTTCTGCAAGCTCGGGTACATTCGATCAGCCGTCTCGGAATTCCACGTTTCTTGAGCTCAAGATTGTCGAAAGTAATCTTGTGTGCTCAAGCTGCGTCAACTCCTATCCCACGTTTACATTCGCGAAGAACGGATATAGCAACCGGATCTCTCGTCTGGCAGATTTGCTACGAACTCAGGTTGGCAACGAGCCTATTGACCGACGAGCATTTGATAAAAATACAGAGGATTCTATTGATTCCAAAATTTCTCCTTCGCAAACTCCATACAGTCATACAGACAAGCGCCGTCGAAATGCTCCTAGCCAGTCCTTACTTCCTCCTAATCAATCATTATCAGCAAACTATAAGGAATCGCAAAATAATGCATTACAACGTGTTCACGATTCTCGAGTCCGTTACAGACCCGGTTCCGTTCCCAGACCAATTCTCCCACGTCGTAGTAGAGTCATAATAATCGACCCCAGCGGGAAACAACTTCACTCTGATGTTCGTCGCCAGCTAGCAATACACGATATAAATCTTGTCGTTGTGACGGATCCGAATGGCGTATGTCGTATCGAAGCCTACTGGTTCACAGAGGGAAATGGGGCTGCCCAATACCGTTGGCTGGGTTTGATGTGAGAAAACTCGCAAGCAATTTCTGTTCTTTGTCATGGTGGGTTTGTCTTCTACAGAGTCAACTATGCTCACCTCTCTTTCTCATCCTCATCATCCCTACTAATTCTTGGTAAGCGACAAGTCTTGGGCTCTAGTGACAGTAAGTGAGTCAGGGAAACGGGAAGTGGCAGTTCATCAGGCAACTCGTGCGAGGTATTAATGTACCGACTAAAGGGAGCTCTTACAGGCATTTCCTTTTCGGACGGGGTTTGAATGAAATCGATTGAACTCACTCGCTTAATCTTCGTTGCTATATTGCTAGTCTTTTTGAAGACCCAGTGACCTCTTGCATCTCAATCATCCACTTCCTAGCGTGATTACTGTAGATATAGTCCACGTTGGATGGCTTACACGAGATAATCCATGTTCACGAAGCCCCGGATCTGTACCCGGTTAGTTGGGTAACTTTCATTATGGATTTTCAAGTATAGGTCGATGTACAGGAAATACCACAGAGACCCGATTCGGTTGTAACATTAATTAAAACATGAAATAGGACTGTAAAACATGGTACGTTCTCTGTAATAGCACACATGTTACTTCCCAAAAACCCACAAGAGTGCTTATCCATCCAGCGAATTGGCTACTAAAATAAGGACTAGTTATGTCGGATGTATCACAGGTGGGCTCATATAAGTAGAACCAGAGGCGCATTAAGTAGGTATAATAGACAAATGAAAAGTAAGTTGATTCTTAACTATAAGGGGACGTGTAAATTTACCTTGGGTAAACAAAATTACATCTAGCTAGTACTAAAATACATCGCTAGTACGGATTTGGATCTTTATATATAGACCTGTATACAAAGAATTCGAACCCTTCATTCAAAGTATAATGCCGTGTTATACTAGCTATATAATACATAGCAAATATCGCTTAATTTAAAGCAAATACAACTCCGACCAAGCCGAATAAAAAAGCAAAGAAAGTATAGTGTTACTAAATTAACACGTTATAATCGCTCTTTCGGACTCTATGGGGGATTTGGTAGACCTATTAGTGTTGGAAATGTTTGGGCTACATATTTCCTGATTAAGACAGCTCGGAAAAAATCATTCTACTTCCTGCAGTTTTCGAGCAATACAGGACATGACAACTGCTCATACTTTGGTCTCTTTATTTCTTTATTCTATCGCTCTGGTCATCGGCGGATCCAGTTACGCCTCTGCTTCAAAAAAGCACTTACTCCATTTGACGATCTTTCTCGTATGGTCAAGGAATGCGTTGTGTCGGTTGTGGGAATTTTGAAGTAAAGTAAAGCGTCGCCTTAAGCTTGCTTCCGTGTAAAGTAATACACAGTAGTCACATGGATTGTGGATTAAAATACCGTATTTGTTGGTTTACAAGATAACATATTATATATAAAAAGTCTGTCCAGGGACTAATATGAACCTTATATGCTAAAAAAAAGTAATATCTTAATTATAAATTTTACCCTACTTTTTTAGGGTTTATGTTCCCCGCCACCCCCACCCAACCTTTATGTTTTACCCCCAACCTCATCTAATCTCCTAATTATTTAAACCTATACCATATGTATACTTTAGGTATATTCTTGTAGAAAGAATAAGGCGTGGAATAGGTCCTGGAATCGTTCTAAGAAGTAGCTATAGGGGGTTGGTTATAGATTAAGCGAGTGATAGGAATCATATTAACTCGTCTATACTCGATTCTTATAACTGAAATTACTTTAATATACTTCTACCTATAAATTAATTTATCCGCTATATCTTCTCCTACTCCTAAAACAACTAGTATTAATCCTCGTTAACCTACAATTACGGGGTTATATACGGGGTAACTAGGAATACTATAGCTTTAAAAAATATATGCTACTTTTTTTATATACCGATTGTTAAGTATACTTTTACAAGTTTAGCCTTGAAATCTCGAGTCTTTTAGAGTATATAGTAGTACTAAAATAAGTGTAGAAAGATTAATATAAAATTATCGATTTATGATTCTAGCTCTCTAATTAGTCAGAATTATAAGATACTAATCCCACGAACTTATAGAACTATATACGATATACGTATTTTATCTTAACGAGGAATGTTATTTTGTAATCTAATTAATACAGTATGTCAAGTTTGCAAATATTTTGGGTGAAATAGTATTAATTTATATCTTTTGTCCTCAGGGCTTGACTTCCACTCCATTGTCGATATTATCGATGTTGAAATGTATTGGGTCTGACACGCCGAATTGAATTTCGAGACCGGCGCTAGTGAAGTTTAACACTTTCTTTGAACTATTTATCTCGTCAGTATTTTTCTAACTCGTATATATACGCATATCAAAACGCTTACCCTCCTTCCTCGAATTGGAGACGACCTTGTACTTTAAGAGTATTGTTAAACCTTGCCTTGTCCAATATCCTCGTAAAATATTTCCTGCTACTGGATCCTTGGTCAGTGATGTTGCATGCTTCGAATACACCTTCTTGTCCCACGTCCTGGAATGCCTTGGTGTGGGTCCCATTGCATTCGCCAACGAATGCAGGAACGCTTGCGCCGAATTTTTCTCCCTCGACTTTATATCCTGGGATTGATGTTAGTTTCGGAGGCACGTTTTATTTGGATGGTTCTCCTACTGTAACTGCAATCACCCACACATTCAGCGAAATACTCTGTCACTTTCCAGCGGTAGACACCGTCGTCTGGAAATCCGGTTGCGGGAGCTGCAAGTGGGGATGCTGATACCGATGAAAGCAGGGTCGGAACTAAGAGGAAGTTGAATATCATATTGATTTTGCGTAAATTTCTTGAACGAGAATGTTGGTTGGCTAACTTTGAATAAAAAAGATTGAAAGAGTGACGGTCGGTGAATGAGGTTCACTATATATGGTTGCAAAGTCCAATTCATATTTTTTACTAGTACTATATATAGACATGAGGCCAAAAATTGCTTTCGGTGCCATCTTCAGTATAAGTTGCTTGAGTAATATGATACACCAAAGTGAAGCAAGGTGTTGCTGGCAAGACGTTACAGAAAGTACAAACACACTGTCCAGCTCTTGGCAGTAACGCCGTGTTTAACTTGGAAACCCCGACCGATTTCACTACATGTCAACAGCAACATCCCGTGAAATACCCGATTGCTTTTGTGTAATTTCTCTAGATTTACCAACTCTCATTCAAAAATTATCAGCAATATAAATAACTCTTTCTAGGCGCCCGACATGCCCGCCTTGACATATGATAGCGGATTTAATGGCGTCAATCGATACAAGTAGGAACATAAATCTGTTTCCGGCATAAGGATATTCTTGCAAGTTTTCCGTTTTACCTACCTAGCTGTTGATCATTAATTTGCATGTTAATCCCAAAGTCCAATCTTTGGCAGCATTAAGTGTCACGTTGCTCATCCCGCCAAGGGTTCTATAGTACCTAATCAATGAGGTACTTACGGAACGCCGATCAGATAGTACGGAATGCCGAGCAGACACTTCTATTAAAGTAAAAAAGTAAAAAAGTAATATACTTTATACTTTTATTTACTATACTATTCTTTAATAGATAGGGCTCCCACCTAAGTAGAATACACGTTAGGTATTAGAAATCTACTACTTTCCTCTTCTAATATTTATATTTGTACCAACAAACGTGCCCACAGAAGTACCTAGGTATATAAGTAGAGTACAATAGGTAGGTATATAGTAACAGGAAATGGACATATAGAAGGGTAAAGGGAGGAAGAAAAGTAAGAAGTTAAAGCTATTCTAAGGTAGTAAGGGAGGAGTTCCTTAGTGTCGGTATAATATAATCGGGTATATTCACTCGATTATATACTATACCCGATCAGGCAACTACATACTATACCCGATCAGGCAACTACACTCGATTAGGTAGCTACACTCGGCCGTACAGGGGTAGGGCTTGGCACTACTATATAATAGTGGTGCCCTAGCCTACTACCTTTACTCGGTATCGAAGTACATTAATAATAGGAATAGTCTAATACTAAGGTTTAGCCTCTTCCTATATTACACCTTATATTTGACAACAAGTTAAACTAATACTTAGAAATATAACTAGATTCCTCGATTCTTCTTTAGGATCTACGTAGCCTAGTAGTTTTAAGCTATATCTTAGTAATCTTATCCCTTTAATAACCCTGCCTACGCTTTACCTTACGATAGCTTTACTTCTTACTTTCGCTACTATTCTACCCTATTACCTACCTACTACCTGCCCGCCTTATATTATCCCTTTGCTCTATTACTAGGGTACTATATCTCCTCTGTAGTACATGTCTTGCAAGGAATATATCTGGCCTAATTAGGGGCGTGTAAAGTGGTTTCTCGTAAACCCTATTAAAATATTCTAATTATTATTATATATAACTTACCTATAATTTCTACAAAAGTTAAGAGAAACTAATTTAAATCTAGTAATGTCTTACTAATATGTAGTACTACGTTAGAATTAAAACTCCGACCGTGAAAATCTTCCAACTCTCTATATAAAGAGAGACGCGTTTGAATCGGGGGCTCGCTAAACACGGAAACATCTCGCTAGGGGACACGTGCCACGGAGGAGATAGGGGCGATAGGGGCGACAAGGGGTACGGTAGTAGAAGTAGTAGGTAGACTAGTAACAGGTTAGTTAAGAGGAGTATAAAGGGTGGGCAGGAGTCTAATAGGTCGGGAAGTACGGAAAAAGCACGTATTTAAAGCTCTTTTACAGCAGTTGGTTTTTCACTTGTTCACTTTTTCACTTTGAAAGGAGTGTCTGTTCGGCGTTCCGTAGGTACTGCATATACCTACCATAGTCCGCTGACCGGCTCATTAGGCGAGCATTTTCTATAGAGGTACTGAATTACAGTGCTCAACTCTTCTACGGAGCATAGAGTAATTAACCGCATTTGGACAGCTCAAATCTAGCGAAAGCCACAGGACCTCAGGTGGAAACACGCCCAGCTCAAAAGTCTGAAGATACAATTGACTCCGTCGCAGACACTTTTATGTCTACTTAGCACCCATGCAGAAGTCAGATCTGGCTAACTACAACTCTCCGAATTGACCTCTGATATATAATATGTCGATGCAAGAAAGCTTTCGCTGTTGAGGCGCTAAGCATATTTCATTCTTGAATTTTCTCGTCGTTGGTATTGAGAATTTCTGGGCGGATGAGTGGCGTGCATTTAAAAGGAGTAATTCGATGGCTTGTATACAGAGGAGGAGGAATGGTGACTCGAGAAAACCATCTCATTATCTTAGAGATAACCTCTTGTGTTTTACCTTCACAACGTATACAACGATCAAATAGACACCATATCAGATAAACCTAGTTAACAGTCCCCAATTACCTCACATCTCCAGCTTCCACATGCAGTAACCCGACTCACTACTGTATTCATCTATCCATCACAAGCCCCCTTTCCCCTTCCCAACATTTCTTTCTCTAAAACTTCCTTCTCACACTCCCCCTCTTCCCCTTCCAGCCCTGAAAGTCTCGCAACCACTTCTTCACAACCTTAATCTCCCAAACATGCGCCTGTTTAATGAAGAGCGGCTCAGCATTGATATCCAAGATACCCGATGAATCCCAATGATGTCCAGCTCCAGCAATAAGGTACTCAGGATTGAGGTCTGTGGATGTGCGAAGAGGCGCTTTGGTGGAGTGGTAGCAGAGATCTAGCCAGGGGTCGATGCCTTGTGGTCGTCAGTAGGCTGTTCGTAAAGGATAAGGGAGGGAGGGAAAGGTGAAAGGGCGAAACATACTTCCATCGATAAAAGCAAGACGATCTGCTTTGATGTCGAAACCGCCGTACTTGTTAAATGCGGAGAGGTCGGGCGTGGGTGGGATTTTGGTGTATTGGCCATCTGGGAAGGCCCAGGTGCACCATTGTTGGGTGTAGTCTACTTGGAGCACGTTCATGATTAATGATGGACCTGAGGCTGGGGCTGCTTGGTAGGCGCCGAGTTCGGTGCATGCTACATTGTCCGGTCAGCAAATCGTAGGTGTGTTTTATGTGGGAAAACGTACTTGTCCACAAATAAGAGCGTCCTCCTGAATTTGATGGATTTGCCCGGTAGGTTTCTGTACATAATATCAGCACTGTTTCAACTCAAGTTGTTAGACATACCATTTTGGGTTCCAAAACATCCTCCGATTGAACTGTCATAATCCCCACTCGAACATAATGGTAGGAAATTCTTCTTGAAATAAGCGGCGTAGTTCCCAAGATTAACCCAGGGTTCTCCATCCGTGTACTTGGCCAGAGCGTAATCAACAGATGTAACATTTGCTGGTGCGTCGATATTGGTAACGTTGTTACAGAAATTGAAGAAATTATCACTATTGTATTCTGGGTACCAGTTGAGTTCTTGCCAAGTGGCTGTGGGATAGTTCATTGGTCCTCCAACTTTGAGAGTGCTTTGTTAGTCACCATTCTAATAGTCCAAATGTGCGGAGGCTTACTAGGAAACGCAATAGTCATGGCAAAATCTCTGATATCCTTCAACTTTTCCAGTCCAAAAATTGCCTTGAGCTCTTGAACTGCTTGCGTATTATTGGAACCCGCCAATTTATCAATCTTAGCAATAATCCCATTGATACTCGTTACACAGTCTTGCGGTCCGTATCTTTGTATTGGAGCGTACCTAACAATATATTTGTTAATTGGATGCAGGGAAAAAGAGAGAAATGACCAATTTCACCATTCAGGATATGCCAAAACAACTTCAATAGGAGCACTGCTTGCAATCCCCCCATATAAGAGCTCAGGATATGTAAAGATAGAGTGTGCAGTTTCGCCACCAGCAAGACTTCCTCCATAGAGAATCCATGGTGTTCCTGGTGCAGTCAAGTTGCCGGCGATACCCGAGAAGACTGCATATTGTGCAAAATAAGCATTATCGGCAATGGCTAGGGACACATTAGATATCACATTGAGTATATAGAGGAATGAGCGGACATTGATCACTAGTCAGAAACCGCAAATTATCCGTGGTGCTTGTGGGAAATGGGTAGCTTCGACCATAATATCGGTCTTCCAAGATTACACCCAATCCATTGGTTTCTTGCATCAAAATCTGTATTACTAGAAAATGGTCAATGATTTTCCCGGCAGGACGAAAGTGTAGATTTCCACTTACTCCCAGTTCTCAGATTCGAAAATCTACTTTCTCCGGATGTTTCTCCACTGATGTAAAGATAAACCGGTCCCCCAGGCTTATAATACGTAGAATCAAAGAAATATCTCTGTTTGAACGTAGTATTGATATGCGGTAAATACTTATCCTCATCGTGTAAATGATCAATCTACATAAACGCAGTTCAGTGACAAAACGTAAAACGCGGAAAAAGGTGACAGACTGGCATATCAATAGTATTCGCGGGGTAGGGGTAAACTTGAGCGCATGTCAGCCCGAAAAGACTCGCTAAGATAGAGAGAGAGAGCCGCATCTTGGCAATTGGTATTAAAACAATAAGACTGGAGAGATGAAGGATTCGGAAAGAAGCAGAGAAAGTTTCTTAGGGAAATATACGTGGTTAGTAAGGCAAATGGTCGAATAAGAACTAGTCTGAATGAGGAAGCTCGAATGATTTCTGCATGCATATTCGCTAAAGGAGGTTCCCATCTTCAACCGCGGATTCCCGCTCATAGATGGATGTGAAGCAAAAGTGGGAGATTAAAAAAAAGAGACTGGCGCTGTTGTAGAATTTGTCATTATATTTTATTTGAAGATCTCCATTTGGAGGTACTGTAGAGACTACAGTATAAGAAAGGAAGCTGCCATCCGCGAATACGGTAGAATGGATCCCACCTACAGATGCCGGAACGGATCGCCATCCCAACTTTCCACCAACCGCATTTTCAATTACGCAGAGGACTGAAGATGGGGTACCTATGTTGAAACATAAACTGATAATTGTTGCAAGTATTGAGGAAAAATCTCGAAGTCAATATATCATGTTACTTATCGTTACAATAGATTCGGCTGGCCACCTTAATTAAAAATGCCTAGCACGGTTTAGATGATATCTTCAATGCCGAAAATATATGCATACGACTACATTGTTCATACGGTGTGTCAGTAGGTGGTAGAAGAAACCGAACATAAAGTGGCTAATGGTAGATTGAACTGGGAGAGAGGAGCGGCAAGTCTATAGTCAATCGTTGTTGATGCTTATGGCTTGGAGGTATATCATACCACTCTAGAATGCTTAGCATTTGACCCCCTTGGCTTACTTGCAACCATACCCGCATCAACCTAGGTCCCCTTCAACCATCTCTCCAACCACTTCGGATTCCTGAGCATTCAGAACCCTCAGCTTACTTAGGACGACATCCGTATCAATGTAGGTTCCTTTCAACCACCTCTCTCCCCCCTCGGCATCAAAAGCCTGTCTTCCATGTAAAATCCTGCGGTTGTTAAACATTACGCACTCCCCCTCATTGAGCTTGTAGCTAAACACGTTCGCAGGGCTTTCAACCAGTGAGGCAAAATCACCCAATGCCTTGAAGAAGTCAAGACGCCAAGAAGAGTCGGTAACACCATCGTTCATGGTTCCTCGGAGAGCGTAAGGTGCTTGGAAAGGAGGCGAATAATTGAAGTGGCGGATTGTCAAATTAGTCTTTGCACTCCTGGGATACTTCACAAGTTCGAAGACCGGATGAGAATAATGGTAGTGTTCCCCTGCGTTCTTGTAATGGTATGCAATCGGGACTTCAGACAAAACTTGGCGTTGCGGTCTTTCAAGAAAGTTGGATGCCCACAAACAATCCGAGAAGATTGAGTCACCTCCTTGGGCCGTATTCTTGAGGCAATGCAAAAGTTGAAATCCAGGAGGGTTAGCCATATAAAGCAAATCCATATGCAAGCCTAGATATCGAGATGTGTATGCCACATTCTTCGCCTCGGGAACCGACTTGACATCCCATGTCCGTCCATAGAATGTGTCTCGGATGGTCCCTATACGACCAGCGACATCTTGGACCGATTCTTCCGATGAGGGCATCCCTCGCACGATGATCAATCCGTCAGAAACTAGGGTTCGGAGAGCTCTGAGCAAAGTATCTTCTGAATTCATATAATCCCGGTAGTCAAAAAACCCGAGACGCTCCTTGATCATACTGCCGTTCCATCCTGCAACGGTGCCTGCAAACAATAGCCTGGTCTCGTCTTCCTTAATCAGTGGAGGAGGCAAAGGCACATGCCAGGTGCGCACTTTGCCCCGAACGAAGGGTTTCTGCTCCTCTTTTTTCTTCCTAAGGAAGAGGTCATTGGGAAACGATGAGACATGGTCGTCATGCCATGTAATGTTGGTGTGTGTGTCACCTAGATGCAGGCTCTTGACTAGGTGAAGCTCCTTCGCCAACGCGTCGGTTGTCCGGAAATTCTTTTGCGTCGTTGATGGGTCCACGCACTTGGGACAAGGGCATGCGTCTCGAAGCAATACGGGATGGAAGCGCTCATGACCGATGAAAATTGGCACATAGCTAGTGTCTGCGTCGCTGTGTAGCCTTCGAATGTGAAGCCTCTCACTCTTCATCTCTTGGTGTTCGGCATCTTGCTGTTTGAGTAGAGGTTCTGGTAGTGCGCTCGAGCTGGCTGCCATGCTTCGTCGACCATATGCATATACATATAAATTGTATGTATATGCATACTTTTGGATGCCGGTCGACCTTGCGAAAGCACGTTGCCGAAGAGTTAACATTGCACTTGCGCCTGGGATGGGCATACAAATGGATGACTTGATGACTTTGCAGCTGGAGTGGGAGTGGGAGTTGGTCGGGAGCGTCGAGGTTTCAAGAAGGCCTCGGGAGCCCTCAGGGGGGTAGAGTCACGTGTCGTCTGTCGTACAGGTAAGTATAGGTACCTACGGAGTGTAGATACCTCCAGCTAGGTGTCTATACGGGCGGGGACTGGGGCACCAGTATATCCACAGCAGTGATGTGATTGGTGCAAGGAACCTGATTAGTAATCACCTGAGAGTGTTGAGTATCTACTCGTAGGTACTTGTACTTGAGTACTCAAGTAGATTGAACTGCTCAGTAGGTACCACCGGTACGAGCTCAATGGAGGGGAGTGGTTGGAGCGTAGCGAATACACCTGCAGCCAGCCTACAGCCTCCACGGCAGTGGCCCTCGGAGAGCCAGCGGAGCGTCATTACGGTGAGGGCGCGGGGGGCGGGGATGGGGGTAGGGTGGGGGTGGGGGTGGACGGGAAAGCTAGCTAGAAGTAGCTACGAGTACCTTACAAGTACTGAGCTTACCTGTACCTAGCCTAGGTAGGCTAGGTAAAGCGTACTTGTAGACCCGCACAAGCTGGGGAATGCATTCCCGTCAACGGGTCGGGGAATGGGAATAGCTCTTCCTAGCTCGCCGGGCCAAAGGAAGGCTGTACGAGTACCCAACTACCTATAGGGTACTCTCCTCGAGTAGTCTACCTAGGTACTCACGTACTGCCATGTCAGAGGAACATAAGGCCCAAGTGCCCTCCAGCTAGTGCCGAGTGCGAGTGCCAGTACCAGTGCTAATGCTAGTAACTACCTAGTGCTAGTGCTAGTGCTAGTGCTAGTAACTTGTGCTTGTAACTAGTTCGGGCTAGTAACGTGTCCTGTCTTATATGACTCCAGGTCTGCCTTTCCCGAGGTTCTCGAAGGATTGTGAAGTCATTCTATCCTTTTTTATAAAGCGTACTCGTACTCATACTCACACACTTCGACAACACCACGATCCCCGTCTATAAAACTATCCTAAGCCTGTCGGCCTCAGCTCCTTCAACCCCGCCCCGCGATTTCCATTTACATGTGATCCGCCGTTGCCCAGAACCACCATCCTCTTGGGCAGGCCTTAGGACTTCCCCACGCCTATTGCGATTGCGACTGCGACTGCGATGCAACCACCAATCCATCCGCCACGGACTCAAGAGCTTCTAGCCCCTCTGTTAGGCGCACTGCCGTCAGCCTCCATCTCGAAAGATGCTCCCAGTGCTCTCCTACCCCTCCTCTCTCCCATACTGCGCCAGCGGGTACAATTACTCTCCTCGGCCAGCACGGAGCCGTGGCTCTCCCTTCTATGCTACGACCATGCGAAGACGCAGAAACTAGAGCAGGCGGCGAAGAGCGAGAGCTTGGAGGCACACCCGGTATCCGGTGAGGTCGAGGTGGATTGGGAATACGACGTGGATGTCAGATACAAACGGGTGGACGAGGAGACGCTGCAAGCTCTGGTGTCGCTACAGCCCTTCGGTATTGAGGTGAAGCTCATCTGGTGTGTCAACGACGAAGCGGGGGGTGGTGATGGTTGGAGGATAGGGGAAGTGAGTGTCCCCGATGCGGATGGCGTTTGGGGAGAGAAAAGCATTCGAGATGCAGAGGACCAGTTTGAATCCCATACTGCTCGGCAGGAACCCCGCAATGGTGGCACGAATGGAGGCAGTCTTCTGACGCCGGATGAGGAGGAGGGCGACGATGACGATTACTGGGCGCAGTACGATAATACGCCCTCTCAAACACCAGCCGCCAAACACTCTCCTGCTCCTCCAGCTCTCGGCAACCATCTCGGGTCCAATGCGAATGAGGAAGATTACTATGCACATTACGGAAATGTACAGCCGGCAATGGATAACCACGATCCAGACGAGGCCCAGCAAAACGGTGACATCGAGTCCTCTCTCGGACGGGACGAGATAGCAAGAGAACTGCAACATCAACTCTCCGCACACCCCGAATTGACATCTTTCCCACCCCCTCTCCCACCCTTTGAACAAGAGAAATCTGACTTCATCATCCACCCCAGAGCCTCATCCAGCACGGGGAGTTCTGGGAGTGACACTGTGGCTCGATTAGAACGCCGGGCTGCCGCGAACTCCATGAGTGAGCAGAGTGAGACGGCGATTAAACAACATATCTCTACCACCATGAAGAGTCTTTATCGTTTAGCTAAGGTTGGTGGCATTGATCGGGGGGAGTTTGAGAGATTGGTTAGGACCGAGTTGGATTGTCTGGGGTTGATGGATGAGGAGGAGTTATGATGACGACGACGATGCTGATGATGATGATGTGTTTGTGTATGCGTATATGACTGGCTATTTGGCATGAGGAATTGCATAAAGGTATTGGGATCTTTTACTTTGCATCGGGGCTCTTTCTATTTTTGATGATGTGTTTTGAAACATAGCTAAGGAGTTTCCTCTGTGGTTTTTTGGGGTGTATGGATAGCATAATCATATCTTAACTTTTAAATGTGATAAAATGCAATACATTTCTTCATTGGTATTTTTGATGAGCGGTTACTGGATTTATATATGCTTGAGAAGCTCGTTGGTGAGGGTTGATACAGCTTCTGAAAGGAAGATTTGGAAAGGGAAATGAGAGCGGATCCATAGGTTTTCATTATATGCTGAAGTTTGTCTTTACCCTTTCAGACTTGGTTTGCTACATGTCTTCTATAGGAGGAAACTTTCCGCTGCCCATGTACTTCTTGTTTTCTTAGCATGTGATTGTACGTGAATGTATGTCAGGGGTAGGGGTGAGGTAGAATCTGCGTTTTCGTCTAGCTGGGTGAACTTGATCATAAGCTTAGAGCTGTTATTTGATAGCTGGGTTTGGAAGTTTCACATGTGAGGTGAGTTTGACTTGAGGGTGGTGTATCTTGAGATTAGTGGATTTCTGGATTTCTGAAGGTGTTTTCTTGGAGTTGAGTGGCGGCTAAGGTTGCTTTGGTTGCTGTTGGACTTTGGGTGTGGGTTCTGTTTTCTTTTCTTTTCTCCTCCTATATATAATATGTATCCTGATATATCTTGCTTCTGACTTACTCCCTCAAGGATCCTGTTTCCTAACCTCGGAGGTTATTGTAAGCTCGTAGCCTATTTTAGACCCGGATTAGAATTGGGCAGCAAGACCTTTGAAGAACTGTGTCTAGATTGCTCACTTCTTTTTATTTCTAAGTCGGTAAAACGGTATAATTGAGCTAAATTCGCTGACGTAAATGAAAGTGGTTCATTCTAGTTCTTCATGCCGTTTACTGATGGAATAGAAAGGAAATATGGAGGCTACTAGTACCTTTCTGCAAATCTGCGGAATTGTCGTTCCGTTGGAAAATGATTTACAAAATATCTGAAGAGTGATTGTTCTAGAGCTAAAGCAGCCTTTGTCCTCTGGTGTGCCTTTTTTCATATTGCTTCTTGATGATGCTGTGCGCTAATTCCTTCTATGCTAGAATTAAAATTTATAGACCATTTATCGTCCATTCGTCACCTTGCAAAAGAGGCTTATTGTTGATTTCTTATATTACTAGCTAGCTTCAAATGCTTAGACTTCTCACATATTATAGACTAATCAGAAGGCTCTATTTAGTATATTAAAAAGAAGTATCAGCATCCTAGGCCTCGCTACCTATAAGGTATATAACTAACTAAAGGCAAGACTTAGCTCGAGGGGTATAAAGGCGGGTTAAAAGAGCTAATAATCGTACTATATAGAATAATAAATGCAGTATTATTAATAAAAGAGTATACTTATATATGAGATATTTATCCTACTAAGTTACTTAGTAAGTACTCGCTTATTCATAATAAACTACTACTATTTATTATCTATTTGTTATATTATAAAAGAGGCTTATTATCAATTTCTTATATTACTAGCTAGTTTTAAATACTTAGACTTCTTATATATTATAGACTAATTAGAAGGCTCTATTTAGTATATTAAAAAGAAGTATTAGTATCCTAGGCTATCTTTAAGGGATAAAAAGAACTAGCTACTAAAGAAGATAAAATAATAATAAGCTAGGAGAAGGAGATTAACTAATTATAATCCCTATAAAAAATAATAGCTTAATTAATAATAATTTTATAAACTAAGAGTAAAATAGCCCTTAAATGCTCCGGAGGACTATTTACTAAGACGTTAAATATTAGAGTCTAAAATACCTAAATCCGAGGCTCTTTAAGTAGTACCCTAGTAGGGGCTATAACTTATATATCTTATATAATTAGGCGTACTAATTTAGTAAAGGCGCCCTTATAAGGTATTAATATAGAAGTCTCTTATAAAAGGTCCTTGTTCCGTATAAAAGAGTAGAGAATATAAGAGTTAAGAATTAAGGTTAAAAAGTTATAAAAGTACTATAATAGGGTATATATTATCTAGGGTCTATTCTACTACTATTTTAATACTAGAGTAGTCTATATCGCTTTTACTTATTCGTAAGAAAATAGTAGTATATTTATTCTAAGAACTAAATACTATATCTTATCTTTATAACTTAGACTTCTTAAATACTAGTTTATTCTACTATTCTAACTCGGAATAAATAATCTCTCTAGTATATAAGAAAGCCGCGAATATGAGCTTTAGTACTGCTTTAAAATTTAAATAATTATACTATCCTAGTAGTACTTAATAAGGCTTCTTTAGAGTAAAAGTAATAGAGTAGATTTAAGCCTAGGAAATAGGCTTAGCCTTGTATATTTGTTATAGATCTTAGAGCGCTTAAATACCTAATAAAACTTGTTATAAAAGTAGGTTTTTAAATATTTATAGTATATATCTATTTTCTATATAATATAAACAAATAGTAGAAAGGCCTACTTAAATTAGATTTATATATAACCTTCTAGTTATTAAAAGACTTTATTGTCACGAATCACGTGTTGTCACGTGAGAAGTGAAGACCAGGCGGCGTCCTGACAAGTCAAGCACTATTTGAACGCTCTTATAGCAAATGGGATCGCTTGGGCCAGCTAAGCGATCCAGGGATTTCCTTCGTATCTTATCACGTGACTAGTTGGACCGACTGGACCGACCAGCGGTCCTGGCAAAGTACAGGAAAGTGAAGGGTCTATATAAGACTGGCACGTCTGCCATTAGATAGGAGCTTCGTGCTCAACTTAGTTATCAATCTTATCATATTAGTTTGACATCTTTGATACAAGTAACGAGTTCACTTCCAAGTGAACAACCCGATAGTCTTCTTCTTATCATAGCATACCAACCAGCGAACACCCAGCCAAGTTTAGTTAGCCAGTGTGAGTATTCGTTACATTAGGGAGTAGAAAGGCAGCAGAACTATAAGTGGATCAAATAAGGAAGTGGAGCAAAAGAGAAAGTAGACCCAGCACAACAGCTAGTTATAAAGGTTTTGTTCTACCTATATAAACGTATAATTACCTACTCTAGTAAGATTTATAGTATAAGCCCTTTATAATAAGTTATACGTTTTAGAGGTTTCGAAGGTATAATTAAGGCTTATTATTTTAGATTAACTAGATCTAAAAGAGCTAATAATCGTACTATATAGAACAATAAATATAGTGTTGTTAATAGAGGAGTATACTCGTATATGGGATATTTATCCTACCGAGTTGCTTAGTAAGCACTCCCTCATTTACAATAAACCACTGCTATTTAATTAAGACCACTATAAGTTTTGCTACCCTATATCAGCGAAATTTCCCACTTTAACTAGTCCTCGCTAAAGCCTTGGCCAACAAATAAATCCCATACCCCCTTCTCCTCTATATAGTCCGAAATAAGTGGCAAATGGCAAATTTATTCAAGGATGCAAAAACCAAAGCAAGGATAGCGGGGAGGCGTCAGGCGTGGCGTTCTTACCAAAGCTGTATTGCGTGGGGATTGAGGTACGATAAGGATTAGGGAAGCAAAAAGTTTGACTGAGCACGGGCTGAACCTTTTGCTTGTTTTTATTGTTGGTTTCTTGATGGTATGTGTTTTTTGGTAATGTTTTTGGGGAAACGTTTTGAGTTTGTGGGTTGAAAGGGGAAGGGGGGTGGTGGGGCTGGGATTGTTCGTATATAGCAGTATGCTTGATGCTTAGAAAGTTCTATTCTATGAGTGATATTCGTGACAAAGTGCCTTGAACTATTTGCTATCGTGCGGTTCATGTTAGTCCATAAGTAGTTCTTGGTATGAATCGTTATCTGGGAGTAATGTCGTTAGCTTGCCAGATTGCCAGATGAAAGCTACTGCCATCTCACTGTTGGTGTATCTAGTTTGTGTATGATAGCTTTGGATTTCCTGTGTGTTTTACCTGCCACGTATCTCAAGGCAGTCAGCAATCAAAGATGACTTTAGCAAATCCGCATCGTTTCCCTTAAGTGGTAGCAAACCCTCGGGAGAATTCAAAGGTATGCGGCATACGCTATTAATATTTCTCCTTTGCTTGAAACTTCTAGCCTGATATTCTGGTATGAATTACCCCTGCCCTTTAGAGTAACGAGTTCTCATTGCACAGATAATATCATATTTAAGTTCTTGTTAATAGCAGTTCAGTAAGTGGACACACCTGAACGCTCGCTAATCTAGTCCTAAGTTCGCTTGTCCCGAAACGCAAGAGAGATTATTATACCCAGAAAAATAGACAGACGAGATAGGAATACGTACAACCTCTTAACACTCTGAATCTATCCGCGATAATCTTACTTGTAGCTCCTCTGACTTTTGAGTCTACGTATAACTAGTTGACTACTAGAATAATTCCGGTAAGTAACTAGATCTACTATATAAATAAAGGATCTGCACAACCTAAATCCTAACATTTAATCCAGATTTCAATCTATACACTGATACATATTCTACCGACTCCCCTTCTGCTAGCTCCTTTCACCATCGCTCTGTTATAATTTTGTTGGGGTGGTGATTCTGCTGACACTTTTTCAAAACACTTGGATGCTTAACGAACTTGGGTGGCAACAATACAACAATCTCTACCAAGGTCTCAAGTTTAGCGCTGAAGCTCCAGGCTGGAAAGAAGGGGGTCAGGGATCAAGATGAGTTGAACACTAGGCTTTCTGGGTGAAACTTTTCGCTTAGTTCTCCTAAGCGATGGTTATAGGCGTGCGCCTCGTCTATTAAATTATTGGCTGGCAGATGGCTTAGTGGCAAGCCTACTTGAATAGTATATTAAAGGAAGTGTCTCAGCATTGTTTACAAGTATTCCGATAGCATATACTGTCTTGTTGTTCTTGGCAGGCTTTGAACATTCGTTGTCTGGGATCTCAGGAATTAGGGAAGTTACACAACTGCGTCACAGGAATACCTTCTCCGAGGGATTGTGGAGCAGCTACCGTACTGACATGAAACAGAAGAGCCGTCTGCCAGGCAAACGTTGGGTCATCTCGGCAACAGCTACTAATTGATGCTCAATCTAATACCACAGTGATCAATGAAGAGGAGCAAAAGAACGTCCAACTCCAGGTATTTATGATGGAAACGAGTATGCCAGGCACCCTAACTCCGCTGTTTAACAGAGATTCTGGACATGAGAATGACAGTAACAAGAGTCAGCACCAGCAATCACCTCTGCAGGGGCCATCAACATCATTTTGGAGAATCTTGATATTCACAAATTTGTTGTCGCTACGTTTGGTGTTGTCAATACAAACAATGGGTTCTAGAATGCAAAAAACTATTTGGGAAGGGAACCATGTACAATCTTTATTTGGGGTATAGTCATTTCACCTAGCGAAATTCGTCTGAACAGTTAGATGATTGAGATACTCATGGTTTGTTTACTCCAAACTATTAGAACCTGGACTACTAAGTGATGATTTGTCAGATTCCTTATGAACTGTACTATATAGGCGTTTTTCAATAACTCAGTAAAAGTTCAATAACTCACTCACATTTATTCTTTGAATGGAGTACACCATAACTTTGTTATTTTACATACTGTCCCTGAGCGAGCGGATCCAAACTTTCTACTTAGTTGGAAAAATCTGTAACATTCACCTCTCCTCATTCACCTCACATTTTGGTTAATGACATCCGGAATTATCCGCTATCCTCTGGTATCATTCAACTTCACTGATCAAAGTCGGCAAATCTGTCTATTTCCTGAACTGATAATATGTCTGTACCCAATCGGAACACCTCAGTACCGCCAGGAGTAGAACTATCTTAGGATGTATTATACCGAAGCAGCAGATGTGTTTTAAGTGTGATTTGTCTATAAATATTTGCTTCTGACACTCTGGTGTCTCTTCTTCTTTCAATCCTCCCACCACCAAACAACCAACAGTGACTGTGGAACAAGGTCACAGCGTCCAGGGAGGTCTTAAGTCTCCAGACTTCAGCTTTGAGAGTCTGTTAAAGAAGATTGTAAGTGTTTCTTCTGTGATTGAAGTGAATTAATACTAACTCCTGCAGCTATTCAATTAAGAGGTAAAAATGGCCTCTCAAGACCAAGCTCACGACTTTGAAGGGCTATTTACAGAGGAGGAGTATGTGAACACTCCTCCCCAGCCCCAGACTGCCAATATTTCTGTGGGACGTCGTCCTGGGCCTCAACCGTCAGCAACCGTTGATCTAAACTGCGCCCTACGAACCATCATGGAGGCAGAAAAGCGGAGAACAATCCATATTCTCAACAGAAATCCAGGCGACCTGATCAAGGAGCCAACATCCACCGACCCAGCAATGGAAATGGCCTACATCGCACAACTGGGTATCATGAACGCTGATGATTTGCAACTGGAGGGTGACATCAGCCACTATCTCAAAGAAAGATCTGAAATAGGCACCAACCTTCAGCCTCAAGTCCTTGTTTTCCCCGATGGCTCCCCTGCAAGATATACTTGCAGACCCCATGGCCTGGACGTACACATGTTGGCTCCTGAAGTATTCAAGGCTTTCAAGGACCAACACGATGAGCGCAGCAGAAACCTCGAATCAGAATACGAAACTCGGTTGGGACATTTGAATGTCGCCCGCAAGAATCTAAATATGCCTCTCCTAGCAAGAAAGGACCTCACTCATCCCATAAACTCCTGGTTTGCGGCCGCGAGCGCAGATTCCCGGGCACAGCTTCTGAGCGACTACTTGGAGCTCCTGAGAGATGCACAAATATCTTTCATCACATACATTGTCTGCCCAAATTGTCAGCGCCATCATTTCGATCTCAAAACGCTCCAACAATGGGAGATGCTGAAGAATGCCTGGACTGTTTCGACGACCGACGTCGGAGATGGTTTTGAAGGAGCGGAGATTTTCGCCAACTCGATTACAGTCGACAATTGTAAGCGGAAGCTCCTTCGTCTTGCGGGGAGACACATCTCGGCTGTCGACGGAACTCGATGCCGTCGTGCCCAAGCAGGTAGGGGTTATTACCTGTTGTAATTGGACAACATGGAATTTTTGGTGTCTGGAAAGATGCATCTTGGCAAGCGTTGCTTGGCCATTGGATAGCTTGGCTATTTTCTCGACACATAGTTGTTTTTGTTTGTCTATGAAAGCAGAATCCGGATGGATATCCTTCCCCGATGTTCTGGTATGCTGGGGGTGGTCCATTTGTGTTTTCAATGAAGGATGGAACGAATAATGACGTGTAAAGATACTGTACTAACAACTGGGTTTGGATTCGGATTGGGGTTTCTGGTGGATCTGTGTGTTACTGGTGGTTGAATTTTGATGGGAAAGATGAATGGTGATATTTTGTATTTATGGGGAAACGGAAGAAATAAGTCTGGACAGAGGCCTTCATTGACGAAGGCATATTTGTATGTATTGGTCTTCTGTGTGGTGGAGATACGAGTAGTCATGAATGAAATGATGCAATGTGTTCGTAGACTGTCGTTGTTCAATGCACACCTGCAGGTACAGTTCCAGCCCCAAGCTCCACGGGATTTCAGAAATGTTAATAATTAACGATGAATGAAATTCCCAGCGAATAACTAGGAGGCATCTCCACTAGGATTTTTCGATTACTTCTTCATGGCAACGCTACGCACTCAATCTCAACATCAACACCCTTGGGCAACTCCTTGACCGCGACACAGCTCCTCGCCGGCTTGTGTCTGATGATTTTCTCATACTCGGCGTTCATCTCTCCAAAATCCTTCATATCAGTGAGGAAGATTTGGACCTTGACGACTCTCTCAAGTGAGGATCCGGCTTCTGTGAGAACAGCGGAGAGAGCATTGAGGCACGCCTTTGTCTTTTCACCCATACTTCCTTGCACGAGGTTTCCTTGAGCATCAGCTGGAAGTTGACCTGAGCAGTAGATTGCGTGCGATGTTTTTATGGCTTGGGACTGAAAATAGTCAGACTTGGGTGCCTAGGTATGCTTATATGATGACGAGTCTCACATATGGTCCGACAGCTATAAAAATATTAGCTTGTGTTTTAGACAGGCAAAACTTGGGCACAAACGTGGCATGGCTTTTTCGCTGAGGATGGGTGTCATTCCAGGCATGATTGATGGCGACGAATTGGAAACGAAACGTCTTTTGGCTTGGAGCGAGCTTTGCCTAGTTAATCGGAGTGTCAATGTACCCAGATTGCGTAAAGGATTTGTAAGCCTCCAAGTATTCATTGTGGTGGTGGATAGTTGTTTATTAGTTGAGAGCAGAGGAACGATGTGAGCTCGCCTCGGTGGTATCACCAGGTATCCAGGAGGTGCTTAGTCATGATGCAGGAGTCTCCATATATACACAGAACCTTATTTGAATTGGTATCTTTTACATTGGAAATTTCGATGCAATTTTGCTCTCCCTTGACCATATATATACAAGATGACATAGGTATGCAACAAACCATAAACACTTTCTATAGAAATAGACGCTAAAGCACTATCCCATGTATAGATACTTCTACGTATAAGTAGTTACTTATAGTCACTTGCCATCACGTCACTTAGGGATGGTTTGTAGCTGATCTCAACCTCAACAAGTACAAACAAGTACGAGTACGAGTACCTACGGGAGCAAGCGAGGCTAGCTCGCTAGGCTGATGGTGACAGGGATTGTGGAGAAGAGTGGGGCATGTGCGTAGGCGTAGCAGTAGCGTACCAGTAGCTGCTGATGACACCGTGTGTCCGCCAAAATTCCGTTGCACAGAATGTTTCCTCAACGCTCCCTCGCTCCTCGCTCTTCCTCCACCCTCTTATCCAGCTTGAGGAGAACAACCACATCACCTGTTGATCATTGCCCACGATCAAAGGAGAAAGATCAATCCAGCTTTGATTGACGATAGTTTCTCATGTACGATCAAGCCATTCCCCCAATATCTACCCAATAGCTATAACTACATCTACACGCTTCCTCTCCCTCACAGCCCCTGGGTGCCACAGCTAACAATTCCTCTTTTTCTAGTGTTTTTCTGCTGCCACCCCCTCCACCATGTCCTCACAGGGGGGATCCGTGAGAAAGAGGAGAGATCACTCGACTCCCGCAAAAGCGAAGGATGCATCCGCAACTGGCATTGCAGCTCCTCGCGACGCCGACCTGGACGCCCTGGTCAAAGCCAACCTCGCGAACAAGAGTTCGGGCGTGGAATGGGACTATCGAATAGCTTGTACGGTCCTGACAATCCTCGGCTTCATCACCAGATTCTGGGGCATCAGCCATCCGAATGAGGTCGTTTTCGACGAGGTGCATTTCGGAAAAGTATGCATTCCGATACACATCCAATTCGAATCGCAGACCACAAGCTAATCTGTAAGCCTTTAGTTCGCATCCTACTATCTCGAGCGAACCTATTTCTTCGATGTCCATCCTCCCTTTGGAAAGCTTCTCTTCGCCTTGATGGGTTGGTTTGTGGGTTATGATGGACATTTCCACTTCGAGAACATTGGCGATTCGTATGTCGACAACAAGGTGCCATATGTCGCCTATCGAGCCTTGCCAGCAATTCTGGGCGCGTTGACGATCCCCGTCGTATTCGATATTATGTGGGAGTCCGGCTATACCCTCCCTGCTTGTATTCTCTCTGCCTGTCTGATCCTCTTCGACAATGCACACATTGGTCAAACTCGCTTGATCTTGCTCGATGCAACCCTGGTGTTCGCCATGGCCTGCAGTTTGTTGTGCTACATCAAGTTCTATAAACTCCGACACGTTCCTTTCGGGAGAAAGTGGTGGAAATGGCTTTTGTTGACCGGTTTCTCCTTGAGCTGTGTAATTTCAACAAAATATGTTGGCCTCTTTGCCTTCGTCACAATTGGATCAGCAGTCGCAATCGATTTGTGGGACCTCCTGAACGTCAACAGACGACAGGGTCCATTGGATCTGCCTGAATTTGGCAAGCACTTCTTGGCGAGGGCGACAGCTTTGATTGTAGTTCCCTTCTTCTTCTACCTTTTCTGGTTCCAGGTGCACTTCATGATCTTGAAAAAATCAGGACCTGGAGATGATTTCATGTCGCCAGAATTTCAGGAAACTTTGAGTGACAACATGATGACGGCCAATGCTGTTACCGTTGATTACTTTGACAATATCCAAATCAAGCACAAGGAAACCAGCGGTTATCTCCATAGCCACCCAGACACGTATCCGCTTAGATATGATGATGGAAGAGTTTCCAGTCAAGGGCAACAGGTTACCGGATACCCATACGCAGATGCAAACAATCACTGGCAGATTATTCCCAATCACGACGGTCAGGAACTTGGACAACCGGTTAAGAACAATGACGTTGTTCGCTTGAAGCACATTGTCACCAACACCATGCTCCTCAGTCACGATGTTGCATCTCCTTATTACCCAACCAACCAGGAGTTCACTACTGCTCCAATTGAAGAGGCACTAGGTGATCGCTACAACGACACTCTTTTCGAAATTCGAATTGAAAACGGAAAGGCTAGCCAAGAGCTGAAGAGTCTTTCTGGCCAATTTAAGCTCGTTCATCACCCAAGTAAGGTTGCCATGTGGACCCACACAACCCCACTCCCAGACTGGGCTTTCAAGCAACAAGAAATCAACGGTAACAAGAATCTTGGTCAAAGCTCAAATATTTGGTTCGTGGATGAGATCCCATCGATCCCAGCGGATAGTCCTCGATTAGAGAAGGAACAACGTCAAGTCAAGAGACTTCCGTTCCTCCAGAAATATATCGAATTACAGAGAGCCATGTTCTACCACAACAATGCTCTCACCAGTAGCCACCCTTATGCAAGTGAGCCTTTTGTCTGGCCATTTCTATTGAGGGGTGTCAGCTTTTGGACACAGAATGATACCCGTCAACAAATCTACTTCCTCGGAAATCCTCTTGGCTGGTGGTTGGCTAGCAGTCTCCTTGCAGTTTATGCAGGTATCATTGCAGCTGATCAGCTTTCGTTGCGCCGCGGTGTTGACGCATTGGATAGACGTGAGTACAATATCTGTGTCGCTATATAACCTTACTCATATTTCTAGGAACCCGATCTCGTCTCTATAATTCTACTGGGTTTTTCTTCCTCGCGTGGGCCATGCACTATCTGCCATTCTACCTCATGGGACGTCAATTGTTCTTGCATCATTACTTGCCAGCTCATTTGTCATCCGCTCTCGTCACTGGGGCTTTGCTTGAATTTGTTTTCAATGTCGAGCCCGTTGCTGACGAACAAGCTGTTGCCAAGGGCGGTAAGAAAGCTCAGCAGAAATACCTACCTGCTCGTGAAAAGCTGGCTGGACAGAATTTGCTGGCATCATGGGCGGCAGCAGGCGTCATTATTGCCGTCGTTATTGGTGGCTGGTACTACTTCTTGCCTTTGACCTATGGATACCCTGGTCTTTCCGTGGAGGGAGTTCAAGGCAGAAGGTGGCTCGGGTACGATTTGCACTTTGCAAAGTAGAAGATCTCGTCGATTTAGACGTGTAAGAACAAAAGTTTTGGGTGGGAAAAGGCTACTTGGGGTCGGTTCGCGTTTGAGATTAGCGTCTGCGTATGTACGATATCCCTGAGACTGTGAAGATATTTTGGAATGTGATTTTCTTGTATCGAATTCTTTTGATGCATATATTTGTTATAGCCATGGTTCACGTGTAAATATTGCATTTCCTTCCTACAGTATTCACAATATTCCGCCACGTCTTACTGACACGTTTGCCACACACAGCATCCCTTGCTTCATATCTACGCACCTTGTCCAGCCCTATTCAATTCTTCTCACAGGTCGGTTTTACATATCCAGTAGGTCGGGAAAATCTCTTCCAAGAGCTCTTCTTGCCTTGAAAGTAGTCCAGAGTTTGTTCCAGTTGTCTCGGCTCACGACTCCCTCGACGATCTCTAAAGTCACAGCCCGCTATCCATCGTCGTCCCGGCGGCAAATACAACCTTAATTTTCGAAGCCAGAGTCGACCTGGTGCGAGACTTTGACGAGCAAGAACTCGAAGTGTTCGGGCAGTATGTCCTTCCCGTCACCCCGGAAAACATGGACATCCATCGGGTTTGTTATGTTGTAGGTCTCAAATCGACGCCCAAAAGGCCAGTCTCGTGGAGGTGAGGGCTGATGCTAGGACGTCCATGGCGTTCATAGTAATGTAGTGGAATACCGAGATGTGTCGAAAGTTTTCCGACGTTCAAAGTACCTGAAACACTATGATCCTGCGGGTACGTTGTTGCGATGTATCGAGACGGCTGGTCAAACTGGTTCACAACGTGGACGCCCATGATGTTTCTGGCTTGAGCAGCACATTGTTCCATTGAAGTAATGTCAAACCAGGAGCGGCCATTATTCGCGTCGTTGATGAAAACTGAGAGGTGGTCGAGGAGGTTGCGGAAGTCACTGGAGTTGAGATATGGGTAATGTGCTCCTTTCTTAACTATGCAAACCATGTTTCCAACCCAAGTATGGGGACTTCATCCTGGTCAGCATCAACTCAAGTACTGATCTTTGTTGGATACAACTCACTCGGTCTTCGCTTGAAATAAGATGTAGCTCAATCTTTGCAGCAGCTGGCGATGGTACTGTAGATGCATTTGTTCTTTGGTTGTGTGTCGGTGTTGTCTGGTCCTTTGTGGGGAAACAGGGTAATCAAAGTGTTTTTGAGAGTTCAGTTGCGAACTGGGTTCGTAGTGACTGGTACGGCATCATGGAGATGACCAATATAGTTAGACACGTTCATCGTTGTTGGTTCTTCTTCATTGTCGTTGATTTCAGTTTTCAACCAGATGTATTGAGGCTGGTTGGCATTTTCCTTAAACAGGATCGCTCAACATAGGCTTGGGGCAGGTGGCGTGGCAAATGCCACAAGGGAAGTGCATACCAGCTGGTGGCCTTTCCTGTCAGTCTGTTGACATTCTGGAGCGTAGTACATGGCATCCTTGCATTCTGCGCAAGTGAGAGTAGTTGGACACCACAAATCGTGCAGTTCATTGCTGAGATAGGCTGAGCGCCCCCAGCTGCTGCCATCGTGGGGGTGTGGAGGTGTGGAGTCGTGGAAGTTTAAAGGTGAAGTGGAAGTCGGTAGAGGAGGAAGAGGAAGAGGAGGAACTGGCAGAAAGGGAAGGCAAGCGAGAAAGGCCCCACAAGGCTACAGGAGAAAGGCTGAAAAGCTCAGTTGGAGGTGAGCATACAGCGTGTAACTGAAAAGCCAAATAGCAATATGTACTGATACTGTACGATGGGCTACTAGTATGATCTGAATGATGTATCAACCTTCAGATTGGCTTTAAAGAAGTCTAAAGAACAGAGTTCTTCAGGGTTCAATTATTCCTAGGTAACTTTTTCTTCACAATTTCGCACTTTTATATTTGAATATATCAGTCATTTGGACATTTCGTTCTGGCTGTTGATTCAGTTGTTTTTTCTTAGCTTAGTAACAAAGTGAGTTAAGCCAGATTCCAGTGGATGAGTGGCTGTCCTGTTTTTGTGTTAGGTAATCGTTGAAGTGTTCTGATGTCCTGTTCACATACCTCATATCTTGACCCATCTGTCAATAGTCCCATCATTCACCCAGACAATGAAGTGCTATTTCAAAGCCTAGAAGGTGCCATAGCTAATAGAAGCACCTCTCAAGGCCATCTCACTGTCCGTACGATTGTTGTTGTCCTCATTCTCAGTTTCGCCCTTCTCATTCTCAACATCCTGCTCCTCATTCACCGCAATAATCTCAGGGGCATTTCCTTCAACCTTCTTATTTCCTCCCCATTTATTCTCAAGGTATGTGGCGGCAGAAGTACAGGCCTTGTCCAACATAATGAAGCAGAAAATAACTGTGAGGATGGTACCAGCCAAGAGAGCGTACACTATGAGGATCCCAGTGAAGCCCTTGTAGGGGAATTCGGGGAAGTCGTCTCCTTGGGAGGATTTGTTGGTTTTGATGACTGGCATTTTGTAGATTTGAGGACGTGGAGTTTGCTGGTCAGTCCAGATGTGTGGGTGGAGGTTATGGTTCGCTGGTGGTAGGGTGCAGGAGAGTGGAAGTGTTGTGGTGGTCTCCAAGAACAGCATTAGGGCATCAGATCGGAGTTAAGTATGCGATGCCACCAGACCAAGGGCTAGTGAATGACAGAACACACCTGGTCATCTAAAAACTGCTCTACAAATGTCTACCTGAAATTTGTACTATGGTAGTAGGAATATACAAGTTTTCTCGCCGCTTTCAAAGTAGTTGTAGCAGGTTCTAAGTACCTATCTCATGCAATAACCCATTACTGTATACGCAAACAAGCATCTTCTTTCAATGGTATTCATTTTGATATAACTGAGTGTTCATACTAACATGTATCATGATTAAACCCATGCATACAGTAAACCCCCTTTAAGAATTCACATGTAAATCCACATAGTCCCTACCTTTAGGTTCTCCTTGCTACCAAAAACGCGATATTAGCTAACTGTACAACGGAAACATTGCTTGGAAATTACACCTTGAATCTTTTGTATCAAAATTTCTATCCAAGGGATCTGTAATAAGATAGTTTGGTACTAACTACATGGTTTTAATGACAAAATAAACACACTTCATTTCAAATGGGTGAATATTTCTTATAAGTTATTTTATTTATACTTCATGGGCGAAGGGACTACAAATATCTTGCTCCAATATGTGGTATCTTGAATGTTTGTAAGCCAAGGTTCCATCGAACTTGATTACATTGTCTAAATTCATCCTGATCTTCGCTCGTTCTAGGTATTTGCCTATTTAACTTTACTTGTATGAACAGTCCAACCCTCCTACAAAACTCCCACTACGTTTTCACTTAAGCATAAGTAAAGTAGAAATTAATGTCTAAAATGCTTGATCCATTACCATCATGTGATTCTTTCTATCTCATCACATGGACATATATTTAAATAAGCGAATGCATGCTATCTACATCCAAGTCGAGCTAGCTGAGCTGTAGAATCACAAATGAATTGCTAACACCAAAATAGAGGGAAAGATGCATCACTAAGTTTTTTCATTACAATACTGAAGTCAGCACACGCATCTGTTAAGTTACTGATCCGTCCAACCAGAATTACAACAACACATTGCAGGCGAAGAGACTGCATTCAATTATAGTATATAATGTACACGACAAGACAAGAAGTTTCAATGCCAAGTTCATCACTCTTCGAACGCCTATTTGAGAGCTGCTCGCATCTGGGGAAATATCAAGCCGCCTGGAGTGCTCTGGACAAATTAGCCTACTTATTCGACATCTGGGCACTTGACCCGATAGTATCTATCGTAAAGCTAGGTCTCGAATCAGGATTTTCTATTGTTAACTTAGATGGGTTATTGTCGTAAGTTGAATTCTCTTCTTACACACTCATACTACTTCGTAAAGTTGAACTTGGGTATTATTATCATTTGTTTTTTGATTTGCGAGTTGCCTCTTTTGCTCTGGCTAGCATCTGTTCTTTATGATAATCCGTAAAGCCCTCGTTCCACCATGTCAAATTATAGATGCCAGAAATCATAGCAGTTCCCTCAACTTCTCGAAATCCACATTTGAACGTCTTATGGCGAACTAGCTGGTGCCTCCCCCACTACGCTTTTTCTCCCTACGCTCCTTCTTCCTTTGCTTTTTCAGTTCCTTCTTCAGTTCCTTTTTTCTCAATCGCTCTGCCTCTTCCATATCACCATTCGCCGGTGTGTCGACCTCCATCTCATCAGCCATAGGAATCGTGATCTTTGCAACACCAGTTGAGACTGGAGCTACCCTTGGGAGTGAGCCGGGAATGGAACGACTGGGGAGTATGGGGATACCCTGAGGTTCACGCTCGGAAATACCAGCCGCGCTAAGCTTGGATTTCTTTTTCTTCTTCTTCTTCTGCTTCTTGATAAGTTGCGACTCTCCTAGGATCTCAACTGCTTCGTCTGGTTCCTGGTCCGATTGCTTCAACTTAAGATCCTCCACAGCTCCTAGATCCGCCGCTGGCTCTGAATCCTCCTCATCGAATCTCATCCTGCCCTTGCCAGCACCGGGATCTGCCAATGCTGCCACCTCCTTGACCTTTTTGGAGGGTTCGGGAGCAAGCTTGGTCTTCTGCTTCTTTGCTCTTCCCAGACCAGATCTACCCTCTTCTTCGTCGCTACTCTGCTCTCTCATACCTCGCTTCGCACTTGCAGCCTTCTCCTCGGCATCCCGAGCCTTGCTCGCCTTGAGACCTTTGGAGGGGAGTAATTTGGCGCGAAGACTTGTGTTGCCTATTTCGGCGTCGCTCTTCAGGAAATGCGCAGGGATCGGGCAGCCGATTCCAAGTCGAGGAGGTTGAGGACGGAAGAGCTCAGCATCTTCAGCTTGGAGTTGTTCGAGTGTTTTTCTCGGTTCCTTGCTGCGCGCAGATTGGGCGATCCAGCCTTTGACGACCTCTTCGTGCCTTGCGATCGCGACAGCGATTTTGTTGGTGATGATCTCATATTCTTCTTTGGAGAGTCCGACGGACTTGCCATCTTTCTCTCCTTCCTCGGTTGTGGCCATCGAGGGAGGTGCGGGTGTTGCGACGTTTGTAGCAAAGTGGTGGTGGTGGTAGTGGGGGTGGAGGTGGGGGTGGAGATGGTGGTGAGAAATTTAGTATAAAATAAATTTCAGCCTTGCGCCCAAGATATTTGGTGTTGTACTGCACCGAGTCGAGTAGGCTGCACGGACGGGCAAAGTCGGTTCGCTCTGCCAAGCTCTCCGCGAATCCGTCCGACGCCCGCCAGAGGACAAACCCTCTAGGCCCTCAAAATATCAACGCTACTATTTTTCCCTCTCCGACCAGTCATTGACACTCCCCTCCTCCTTCTACACATTCCCTCTCCTCCTGTCAGTATGTTCAAGCTCGCCCGTAGCCGGCCCTTCGCGGCAGCTTTCAAAGCTCCTCTGGTAAAATCCTCGATGCCCTCTGCAAAGCCAAAATCTGCTCGACACAGCTTGCTGATACATAGCTCCAGGTCAACTCGCCGTCTCGTTTGGCGGTTGTTGCACAGCAAAAGAGAGCTCTGAGTATTCACGAGTACCTCTCCGCCGACCTGTTGAGAAAGGTACATCCATACACGCCCCAGCCCGCGATGGTCGACGCAGAACTGCACTAATATGCGACCAGTATGACATTGGCGTACCAAAGGGCTCCGTCGCAACCACCGCTGCCGAGGCTGAGGCAATCGCAAAGGACATTGGAGGCGATGACATGGTCATCAAGGCACAGGTTTTGGCGGGTGGACGAGGAAAGGGCACATTCGACAATGGCCTCAAAGGAGGTGTTCGCGTTATCTACTCTCCAACTGAGGCCAGAATGTTCGCCGACCAAATGATCGGACACAAGCTCGTCACCAAGCAAACCGGGGCCCAAGGCCGTCTCTGTAACTCCGTCTACATCTGCGAGCGCAAATTCGCCCGCAGAGAGTTCTACCTCGCTATCTTAATGGACAGAGCGTCCCAAGGCCCAGTGATCGTCTCTTCGTCGCAAGGTGGGATGGACATTGAGACCGTTGCCAAGGAGAGCCCAAGCGCAATCACAACCACATATATCGATATCCACAAGGGTGTTACTGATGACATTGCCCGCAAGATCTCAGTTGATCTTGGCTTCAGCGAGCAGTGCATTGAGGACGCTAAAGACACTATTCAAAAGTTGTACAAGATCTTTATGGAGAAGGATGCCACTCAAATCGAGATCAACCCTCTCTCCGAGACCTCGGACCACCAAGTGCTTGCTATGGATGCTAAGCTTGGTTTCGACGATAACGCTGAATTCCGTCAAGGGGACATTTTCTCATGGAGAGACACTACCCAAGAGGATGCCGAGGAAGTCGCTGCTGCCGAGTCTGGTCTTAACTTCATCAAGCTCGGAGGTGATATTGGATGCTTGGTCAACGGTGCTGGACTTGCCATGGCTACCATGGATATCATCAAGTTGAACGGTGGAGAGCCAGCCAACTTCTTGGATGTCGGTGGTGGAGCTACTCCCCAAGCTATCAAGGAGGCCTTCACTCTTATTACCAGTGATCCTAAGGTCACAGCTATCTTCGTCAACATTTTTGGTGGTATCGTCAGATGCGATGCTATCGCGAAGGGTCTCATCAGCACAGTTGAGAGCATGAACCTCCGTATTCCAATTATTGCAAGATTGCAAGGAACAAACATGGAGGCTGCCCACCAGCTGATCAATGAGTCTGGGATGAAAATCTTCTCCATTGATGATCTACAAAGTGCTGCTGAGAAGGCAGTAACCTTCTCAAAGCTCGTAAAATCTGGTATGTTATTTGATTCTTCTTCCTTTAAACCCCGAACTAACGTGTCTAGCCCGAGAAATGGACGTTGGTGTGGAGTTCTCCCTGGGTATTTGAGCGAGCATCATGCTGCTTCGCGTCTCTCTGTATTGATTCCCTTAACTCCAGATGCCTGGTGGAGTATGTATAATGCATTGTGTTTTAAAGTGCCGGGCTCGTTGGTAATTTCGTCTCCGGATTCCTAAAGTGGATTCAACGCGAGAGCAAGATATCTTTTTCATCAATAAGATACACAGGCGTAAGCCATACTAGAGAAATCATGCTCTAGGGCACCCTTCAATCCCAATAACTGTCGACTTGTTTCCCGCGTCTTTCCATACACCCCTCTTTCCTCGCAATACCCATCTCAATCTTATTTTTAAGAACTTTGTTCACATTCATGGTAACACTATTCAGCAACAATTTCCTAACATAGGTCCGGTTCCTGTGAATTGACTTAGCAGGTTACTTCTAGCACGGTAGGCTAACTTACTCGCCCATTCTTCCTTTGGGATAAATAGGACGTACAAAGGCTTTGAGGTGTGCTGCTCTACTTCTTCATCCAAAGCAAAGGCCGGCACCACGACTTTCACGACCTGGAACGATATCATCAACCAGAAGATGGCATACCAATTTATGCTTTCCCAAACCCACACAGCAACATTAACAGGTGCTCGAATACCTTCAATAACCCAACCCCAAACAGAACTCCAGGCTTTTTGTAATGCCCAGATCGGCACTGCAGCATTGAAGGAATGCCAAAAGTACACCCACTTCGACACTCGCGGTTCTGGCTCTGGTTCGTACACCAACTGGGATAGTGGTGGATCGATGGGTAATCTGCTCACGACATGGTGGTCAAGATATTCGTTTGGTAGGAGGATTGGTCTTCTCTCTTGGCTCGCCATGTGTGGTGGTAATGGTGGACGTGGGATTGGGAACCGATAAAGGCTGCGATTGGCGAATGCTCGGTCTTGTCTATATAGGTATTCCCAGTTCAATCCCCATGAATTCTTGTACAATGCGCTATGATAATATGGTAGCTGGATTGGCAACCTCAGAGCGGTCTCTGGGGTATGAGTCAAGGCGTTGAGTTGGGTGGTGTGAAGAGACATGTTTTACTGGTGAGTAATGGATGTTACGAGATGCTTCGAGCGTTCTGTTCGGTATTTCAGAGGAATCTGCTCTAGCACCGAAGGGCAGTTGCTGCGAGCCAGAGAAGTGTAACTGCTTGTTCCTCCTTACTCTTGTACTTGTTGAAGCTGGAAGGGTTTGCTTGCTCCTTGAGCAACCAAGTATCTGCTTCTGGAAGAGGGCCAGGAGGAACAAGCGGCCCCTTATATACTCCTGCTCAATTGCAAGTGTGCCTTTCGCTCCATGCAGCAATATTTTCCTATCCTTGTGGTTTTTGAAAGGAGCCCCTCTCGCGCCTTCGCTAGATTTAGGATGATGGAAGCGAGGATTCTGGATGTTTCAACTTTCGATTCTGTTCTCCTCTGGCCATTGTTCTAAAATTATTGTCTTTTCAGACTACAAACTGCAGAGTTCTAGTATTTAATGGAATGTTAATATGCAGCTTGAAAGGTACAATTGAGTCAGTGGTTGCCTAGTCACGAGATTTAGGTCAAGTGACCTTATGTAAATACAAACCTGGGTGGGAATTGCGTTTGTCTACCTGTTTCGTGTCATTCTAGGTAATTTTATGAGTCACTTGCTGGTTGTTATTTCTGGATGCCTCAAATTTGCCATTTTGCGCCGTGGTTCGATGCAACTTGCCTACTACCTATAGGTGCGATGTTCTCTTCATGTGATCTGGTTCTCTGGCCTTTGGTTCAATGGAGATGAAATAGAAAGTTGCCTAGTATCTATATACACTCTCATCATACTTACGAATTATTCTCTTTATCGTTTCCTTCGGTCAAAATCTCAACAGCTAGAAACCCAGCATAAAAAACCAACATAACCCATCCCATCCAACGTCTTCCCCCAATCATCACAATCGCAAATAAGCCCACCGCACATCCCCAAATAACGCCTAGTTCCCAGCCCTGAATGCCACCTTTTAGCAGATCAAGATCCCCTGCTAAGAACAAAACTCCCGCACACAAGGTGACGAGAAATATGTTTGAGCCAACGGAATTTGCCACCATGATTCCACCTTGCTGTCTGGAGCCTGAAAATACAGCAATCATCTTTTCTGGGAGGGTAGTGGCTATTGAGAGGATTGTTATACCGAGAAAATTTGTTGAAAGATGGAATTCGGTAGCGAGAGTTGTGAGGGTGTGGGAGAGGAGATAGCCAGATAATGAGAGGGCCGCCAAACCAAGAAGGAGGTGGGCGATGTGGTAGATGGTAGAGTGTTTAGGCTTGGATTTTACGTGTCGTGCATCTTCTGTTTCGGCTTCATCAAACAACAATTCTGTCAAGGGAATGGAATCCTCGTCCTCGTCATGACCAGTCTCAAGGGCCCCTTGGGTCGAACTGCTGGACCTACTCTGAGAGCCAGCATTGGACGATTCGAAAATCTTCTTCTCATGGTTTTCAGACTCGGCTACTCTTTTGTATTCTCCACCAACCAATATGTCAGCATCCTCCTCGCTATCACTGTCTGAATCTGAGTCCGAATCGTTTTCTGGTGGCGTGACAATTCCCTTATAAATTGCCCATCCCACAGAACCAACATAAACTCCGAACGCAGCAACTAGTCCCACGCCAATCGCTTTTCCAAACTGCTCTAGAAAATTGGCGAGCAAGATGAACAAACTCGTGAGTACCAGTAATATCGTACAATAGATCTTTGACGAACGATCAAAAACAATTGGGTTCGGAGAGAATACGAGGCCTAGACTGAATGCTCCGAGGATATTAGAGATTGATGAGCCGACTATATTTCCCATTGCTAGACTGGATTGAGATTGAGAGACAGATGCTATGATGACGATGAGCTATTTTTTATCAGTATGGAATCGATCAAGAGATAGGTGGGATATTTACCTCCTCCCATTCTGCACCGGCTGTCAAAAGTGCGATAAGTGTTGAGGGCGCCTTGAGTCGCGTTGCTACTTTCGCTGTATGGTCGACAAATCTATCTGCACCGAACTCGAGGACAAAAAGGCCTGCCATGAAAGCTGCTACATTAAAGAAAATATTGCCGTAGTCGGCCATTCTCAAATTGATATACTATCGGTCTGGAGAGACGTCAGGTGGAAGTTTTGGAAGTTTCTAAAACAAGACGAGGTTAGCATGATTCATGATCTCTGGAGAGGATTATTCACCTGATCACCCCACCCCATAAATAAGGTTCTTGGTGCATACTTCGAGTTCTATGGTAACCAATGATAAAGGAAGGGGCATAGGACGGATATAGGAAATTTTCGAGGCAGGAGCTTTCGGTTACCTGGTCCCGAGATGGGTACCTGCATACTAGTGTTCCCGTTGTAGATACTGTAGTACCGACAAGCTTGTAAGATAAAATGAGATATGGTATTTTGGGCCAAAATGTCCGACAGCCCACCATGAACGTAGATTGTCGTAGATGGTTTTGTGGTACTGATCGGCATTCTGCGAGACGAGACGAAGTAGTGTATTTTCCGTCCAGGATTTGAGTGGCGTTACTCGCACATGAAATATAACTATCAAACTCAGTATGCTCTCCCATGGAACGCAATCTTGCTTGGGTGAGACAAGCGAAGCTCTGAAAATCTTGAGTGGCCGGTTCTTTCGCTTACATATTCTAAACAAACAAGCCAGATACTCGGTTCCTAGCAATGGTGCAAGCACTTTTGCGATGGCAGAAATTGGAATCGCCGGTCTCTATCCTTGGTCAAAGAGCAACTAGTGTAGTTGTGGAGAAGGATCCGCCATCCATAAAGCGCCTGCCGTGCAGAAGCAACCGTTTCCCCGTTCTGGCCAGCTCATACTGTGAGGAGAAGTCGTCGCCATGGAGGAACGAGTGATTTTCAAGTGGGAACGATTCACAGGCGCACTATAGCACAGTAAATATAAACCCATACTCCATAAGTGCTGCAAAACAACGCTTATCAATGGAGAGAGAATGAGGAAATTGCTGACCATTTCTTGACATTCCCAAAACAGTTGATGCTGCCCACAGTGAAGTATTCGAGGCGAAAGACGTATCTCCTGCTGAACCAGCGCCATTTGGGTTAAGGGGGCTCTATCGACGCCCCCGCCTTGATTTCGTATCTCATAAGGTACTAATTTACAGAGTTTTCGACCCTAATAGGCGGTGCCTGAAATCTCGACCAAAGCAGTCTTGGACTAACAATAGATCCCTCGAAATTGCAGCCGCCATTAGATTTCGATGCCGCCGACGCTGCGATATTAACAAGAGAATACTTGAATATTTCACTCATGAAAGCTGATTCCCGTTCCCAGTCCTGTGGGTAGTCCTGATTGATACACAGAGATTCGATCCAAATCAACTGTTCGCTAAGCTCACGAGTAAAAGAAATGCCATCTTTGAATGTGGTGGGGAGTTCGTCGAGAAGCATCTCCTTGTACATTGGTAGTAGATTTGACATAAGCAAAAGTGTCAGGGCAGGCTGTACTCAACAGTGACTCAAAGTTAGATATGGCTGTTTAGAGGATTCTTGTCCCGATTCATGAAGCCTTAGATGAGGAATTTGAGGAGTTCCAACTTCTGATATTCTATTCGCGTAGGCATGAAGCCCGAGTCCTGCTTTTCCTTCTGGTTGCATTCTGCATGAGAGTTCAAACACCCTCAAATCCAGCTAAGGGCGGTTTTCCAGGATACCTTACTGTTGGTAGATGATGAATCTTTTGGTGTTCGAGGATGATCTTTCTCTGAGCTCTCTTAGTTGTTTTCTGCGGAAGTAGACTGGATTCCCGCTTCTTCAACTATAACATGCCTTGAGGATTAAATGTAGGTTTTCAGAATTCACATAATACTCGGATATCATTTTACCTGTGTGTTTGTCTGTGAGAACTTCGCACGTATAACAGGTGGAGAATCCACCAGAGAAGTATTTCCATTTCAAGCGTAAAGCTTCTCGGTGTCTGTCTTGGTAGCGAGGCTTGACTCTCTCCGCGTCCAGGAAATCAAAAGAAAAACCAGCAAGTTGGTTACATACGTGAAAACCATTCTCGGCGGACATGAATAGAGCCTCGACACTTGTATGGTGATCTTTGAAATGATTAGGAACTGTAGGTGATACGAGCGCTCTGCACGCGTCGCATGAACTGGCGTTGATACTCATGCTTGCACTATGGGACGTGAGATGGCGATATACACGAAAAAACATCACAATTCATCCTGGGATGCTGATAGCTGAGCGGAGCGGGGTAGAATTATGTTGTGTTACATTGCTCAAGCATCGGTAGGGTATCTGAAGCTCGACTAATCAACTGTGTTCTCGCCTATGACGCCTATGTATACAAGGGTAAATTGGTTGAAAGGGGGGTCACATAATTACTAGCATAAAAATATACCCAACTCTAGCCAAGTCAATTCTCTAAGAGATATCTCAACAGTTCGGGAGCAGGTAAATCGATGATCCCCCCCGCGCCTCGCCTAATAGGTGGTCTAAGCTCGGGGTGCGTTATCCGTACTCAATTTATATTACTCCTAACACCGGGCTATAAAGGCCTTAGTGGACCCCCTGTTTTTACTGCAATAAATTTCACTGTTTCTTACTGTTTAAGGGATTCTTCAGAGAAAAGTTTTAAGTCAAAAGTACATTTGCTTACTTAAGCTTATAACTAAGCTTCCTCTAAGGCTTGATTTTAGTACGGTTAAGAACTAGGAGACTAATATATATAAGAAATGAAACTTACGCCTAAAAGTATATCTGTGGGCATGAAAGGCTTTTTATCTTAGTACGAGCTAAATACAACTAAATTGGAGGAGCGGTGAATTTTTAATATTAGGCGAAAGAGGGGAGGTCGATTTACCGCACTCCGGGGAGTCGATATACCTGCTTCCCACCAATCCTAGCTCTTAAATACTAGCATCGATTTTAAACCTGGCACTTTCATGTATCCCAATCACAAAAAAGGCAAGTAGATACCCGAAATAAAAAATACGACGTTACTGCTTCTCGTACAGCGCCTAGAGTCCTGTCTGTTAACATCTAACCTCTCGTAAATAACCTTCTTATTTTTCTAACTCTTCGGGAGAACCCAAATATTTAGTCCAGAAACTTCGAATAATTAAACATGTTGGCCTAATTGCTTGAAACAACCTTCTCATGTTTCCCGCGCCCCTGAGATACCCAAAACACACCCTGGGAAGGTAGAGCAGCATAAGTATTTACTAACACCCTTGGGTTCCATCAGTCGCTGCCCCACCACAATTTCAGTCTTCTGTCGCGTAGGAGGGTAGAAAGAAGTCTTTTGACCACTCGAGGAATTCTGAATTGGTCCAAAACATCAAATCATCCATGACCTTAGACTCACTCCCCTTGAAAACTGTCCCTTTCGCTCCGCATTCTTGTTATTTTCTTAAGCCTTTGGCCATGTCAGCGAGTGTTATGGAACTGGAATAGACAAGGATACCATAATGATCAAAGCCTTTAATCTGCAGTATATAGGCTAATACGACAGTATCGCGTTAAAATATTATGAATGATAAAAAGAAGTACACCCCTGTAAACTCACGTACGTAAAAAGACGTTGTATTTTGTATAACGATGAAACCCCAGTAATACTACTACATTTTACTTCTACATAGTCATCTCTAGAGTCTTTAAAATCTATACTCGATATAATCAAGTTGATTAAGAACATACTCTCTTACACGAATTAGAAGGCGTAATTAAGTCAATTGAAATATCTAGAGGTGGAATAGAAAACTAGTTTTACATCGACATACCTCCGTATATTTAGGTGAGGTTTGCTAGTAGTTAATATACTGAAATTCGCTGCTCATATACTACACTTGCTCCCGCTAACCTTAAACGATAGCGCTAAGGAAGGACGCACCGACCATTATCTACGGGGCAAATGAATCTTTTACCTCCTCCAGAAGCCGAGAAGGTTGGTAAGTGGAGACACAAGCTTATGCCAAGAGGGCTCAAGACTTCTTGATTTCTTCTCTAGGCGCTTACTGTATTGTTTACTCGAACAAATGTTCTGGAAAATATATACAGATATTACCGTACGGAGGTAAAATAACAAGGTATTGAAGGCAATTGTGTCGCGGCAGGAGTGCGGAGCCCCATTAAGTCTTTTTCCATGCTTCTTCCGTCCTGCTTCGAACAATAATATGTACAGGAGAACTTGATTTTGACGAGTGCGGCCCCCACCCAAACGGACTTGGATGTTCAAGATCACAAGGCCCAAGAAGCGGATTCATCATCAGAATCCCCGAACTTCGGTTGAAATAAATAGTCACTTCAGTCGCAGCCTATAGATGGATGATATACATACATATATACCTCTTCCTAGAGTAGTAAGTAGTAAACATCTGAGACTACTATAATATTCACCGCTTACAGCTTTTTACTTGCAATATACTATCTACCACCTTTTATATTCTCAAAATGTCTTCAGCTATCCACGTTATCGCAGTGTGCTCCATTGCAGAGGGAAAGGTGGACCGCGTATGCTAATCCCAATGATATATCAGACAATTTCCACGTGCTGACAATTTCGTAGCTCATTGAGCTTCTTGCAGGCGTTTCAAGCACCGTCTCCGCCAGCGAGCCCGGTGCCCTCCAATATGAAGTTTTCCAAACCTACGACGTGGAAACCAAGCAACCCAATGGCGGTGTCACTTTGGTAGAACGGTTTGTGCCTCCGTAAAATCCTATTTTGCCTTATATTCGATTGCTGATTCTCGGCTCTCAATAGCTATGTCGACCAGGCTGCATATGATGCGCATGCGGGCTCTGCGCATATGGCTGCTGTTTTCCAGACATTGGCCGCAGAAGGGATTATGAGTGCACCTCCTCAGGTCTCGTACTCGAGATCCGTTGGAGGGTTCGCCAAGTGTTGAGCCACGTTTTGATGATTTGATGAAAAGAAAGAGGGTTGATTGAGGCATTACTCTACGTAGTGGTGGAGTAGCTGGATCTTGGAACAAGTTGTTTACTGTAGATGGCTTAGGATGTCGCGTCAAACACTATACACATACAAGGCTGGGGCATTCGATATTATGTAGTACTGTAATCAACTTCATGAAAACTTTCTGTTCTGGCTATTGCTGATATCAAAACATTCGCTAGCTACAGCTTCCTAATTATCGTTAAACCAACCGAGGAAGTGGTCGTTGGCTGCGCCACCTTTGCTCACCTATCCACCATTAGCTACTCACAAGAATACTATCTGTGGGAAAGTTGATGCAGATCAAGATTTCAAATTCAAGTATTTACAAAGCTATTGAAAAGAAATACAGCTTTCCCGTCGGTCGTGATTGAATCTCGGTAGGATTTGAGTCGATTTACGGGAGAAAGGGAAAGAATCATTCTATGTTATCAATTGCGTAACTCACATCCTCTCCTATACAAGACTGTCCTAGGAAGTTAATCAAACTCCCAACTCCCAAGCAACTTCCCCATAAAGCCAATATGCTTAAATAATCCTTTATGAAGAGCGACCAATATACCCGAACGAAGTATCCCTCCCATTGAAAGCCCCCCGGTAATTTCTCTCTCTCTCCTCGCGAGCTGCCACCTCATCTTCTTCCGTGAAAGGAGGCATAGGGACACGCTCTGAAAACTGTTTCCAAGCCCTGACCTCATCATTTGTCCATATACCCAGATCCGCCTTGGCCGATAACACGAAAATTTGCTGGAAGAAATGTAACATCTCTGGAAGAGGGGTCATCCACTGCTCCTTTGTCCAGTTCATCTCATTGCTGCCTTCTCCCTTGACTGCATTGCAATATTGGGTAAAGCGAGTACGGACGTCCTCTGCCCACTTATCCTGGGCCTCTTTTGGAACCGTCAAGAGAGCGCGAACCGCAAAGGCTGCTTCTGCGGGAAGGTTTTCGGTGTATTTCTCGACAGACATAGTGTTTTTAAGGTGTGGATGTTCAGGCGATAATTCTTATGAGGTTGGTTGTTGGTATACAATGCGATGAGTTGTGACCGGATGTAGAGGATAACAAGAACTTGGCTAAGGTGGCTTTAACTAGACAAAGGATATGAACCGAGAGCCGAAAGTATACTAGACTACTTCGAAAGCTTTCAAGACTCGTTAAAGGCAGCTCATATGGACAAAGTGAGCACTGAAACTTTTTTTGAACAATTTATTTTACCGAGTCTAATTAGTAAAGTGTTGCTAGGAATATGGGAAGGCTAGGGTGCCAGATGAGCATCATGAGTTATATTCAGATGACTGAAGAGATAATTGCTGTGGGCAGGAACCTGGCTTATATATATAGCCTTAGCATATGCCCCTCTTATGCTGTACGCCCCTGTTCTATTCCATGCATGCAGGTCCTATGCGGTGGAAACCACTGGGTCAGATTAACTGAGAACGTAAAATAATTAGATTACCACGGTTTATATTACTATTCATGAATTTCCACAAATAATAATCGTAATTAATAAATAATCGTAAAAGTTAGTAAATAACTAATCTTCTTTGTCTTCTTTGTCCATGCCCATCCGAGGGGCAGATACACCAGGGATTAGCTCTTTTGTCCCCTTATATCAATATGATCAAAAAGACATTTTGTGGGCCCTATTAGTTGTTTTCCTAGGCAACCCCTGGGAATCTCCCCAGATAATGGTGCCATATCATTACCCCCACATACTTGTCGGTAACTAACGTGAAGATAAAACTCAAAATAAAGTTCATTATCTTTCAGAAGCTCTCCGTCACTACTTGTTCTATGAACCGTCCCTTGGTCTCTCTAGACATCTAGCGAGTTCGTGGAACCCAGACAGCTCTATCCATGTCAAGGATTCTTTAAGAAACGAAAACAGGTCTTCACTGGCTGATGGTACCACTCCTCCCGCTCTCTTCTGTGATTATCTGAATAGCCTGGTTAGCAGGCAGCTTATCTCCCTAGTCTTCACCACCAATCCCCAAACCCAACAACGTCAAAGTCGCAACATTGAGGGCCACCAAAACACCCCAAATGAAAAACGCCACAACAGTAGTGCCCCAATTGTTCGCCAAAGTCATAGTTCCCTCTTCCCTTCTCCCTAAACTCCTACTGACCTCATAACTCAAAATTCCATCCACGACACCCACCGATTCCCTGGTATCATCCACGTTAACACGCATGTATCGATGACAACTTGTATAACAAATCAGCGGCAGGGTAAGGAAGATCAACGCAACGCTAAGAACAACGTTGCATGCATTCAAGGCAGCAGCTAATCCTTCCTGGCCCGTGGACGCGGCAATGATGAGAGCTGGTATGCAAGCGATACATCTCGTCACTAGACGTCGCAAAAAGGGGTGGATCCGCCAATTCATCGCACCTTCGCAAACAAGCTGTCCAGCCATCGTTGCGACGATTCCAGAGCTCAGACCAGAGAAGAGAAGTGAGAGGGCGAAGATGGTACCGCTTGCGTGACCGATGGTGTTGACGAATAATTCATACATCCCTGGAAGAGTTGCTTCGATAGAATTGGGATAGAAGCGGGATGCTGCTACAATTAGGATAGCGGAGTTCACGAAAATTGTTACAATGAAAAGGGTGATGCATAGTTCAGCGATACTCCAGGACATGCAGGAGGCTATTGCCGAGAGGGTCGGGCGATAAATGGGCATCGCGTATTTTGAGTTATGTGAAGGGAGAGCGTCATGATAAGTTGAGTGTGAGCGGTCGAAGTCGCGCATTCGGGCCTGGACGAGACCAGAGCCGAGATACAAAGCATGGGGCATCAAAGTTCCTCCTAGGATGGCGCAAGATTGGTAGAGGCTTGTGGGTTCTGTGAGAATACTGCTTGATCAAGGGCCTGGGAACTTACCCCTCGGAGACAAATATCTGCCTTGATGGCAGAAAGCCTTTAAATACTTGTCCGACAGGCGCAGTGATCATAGAGAGCTCGATGCAGAAGCTGACGAAAACACCAATGATGAAGACACCAACAAACAGTTCGAAAATGCGTATATCTCCCAGTGAGCCGTCAGTTTTGTAGAAGAAAAGAATGAACAGGGTATCAGCGACTGCTAGAGCACAGCCTCCGACTAATGGTAATTTTGGAATCAGCAATTTGAGTGCAATTGCTGTTCCAATCACCTAGGGACAATTAGTACAAAGATCTTTTGGTGGGCAGTGATAATCAGAGGCCCAAAAGAGGGAGGCACACTTGTCCAATATCCGTACAAATAATCGCAGCTTCAGCGATGAAATACAAAAAGAAGTTTAGCCATGAAGGTAGATAAGCACGGTTCATCTGTGCCAAATCTAATCCAGTAACGCATCCCAGTTTTGTCGCTAAAGCCTGTCTCGTCAATTAGCCACACGTCTGTATTATCCTCACACATTCATAGCACACCTGAAGATATATAGCAATGAGATTAGACAGGAGTATCATCACCAGTAACCTGAACTCGAACTGGGCTCCAGACGTTAACGCGATTTGGAAATTATCAGGATCCACGTATGCAACACTGATAATGGTCCCCGGACCAAGAAATGTACAGAATTTGAGTAGGGTCTTGCCAAACGTTTTTGGGTTTTTGAGGACCGAGAAGCAATTGAAGTGAAGGAGTTTAACAACTGCGGGTAACTCGGAAGTGTTCACTTCGACGCTTTTGGATATATGAGTCGCAAGGTCGTCATTTTTTCTCACTTCTATCAAATCCAAAGCCTCCTTACTTGTGGACTGAGAGGGAATATAGTTTACTTGCAGTGTAGTGGAATCTTGAACAGAGGCCATGATGTCGAAGAAACGAGAAGAGCTCACATAAAAAACAGGAAAACTCAAAGACAAATAAATACTCCCTTCTATGAATCAACAAAAGAGGGGGCTTCGACGACCTTACAACCCAAGAACCCAAGAAGGAAATATCATCCCGCGGGCGATAGTGACACCCAAGGCCTGAACAATCCACCCAGCCCTTGCTAAATGAATCCTCAAATTTATTGATGGTTGCTTGTCGCCTGTCACTTGACCGAGCCTGTGAAGGTAGTTCATGCCGTGCGACCGCCAGCAACTGATAAACAGCCCGCGAAAGAAGAAGGGACTTTTTTCTTTCCGCACGATTGGTGTTTGGCTGAAGCCACATCCCGCCCCATTCGGAAAAATCTCCCGACAAATGGTAAACTTCCCGCCAACCATAGGTTCTGATATTAGGATGAAAGCCAAGAAGGCCAGAGGCAGAAGCGCAATAGGCGTAGCATGTTGCAGAGCGTTGTCAATTTACGCCAGCACCATGAATAGAGCGACAGCCCCAATAGGTGAGAGTAACCTTGCGTTGATTAGAGAGCGTTTCTATCCAACAGGTACAATTAACCATGCTTATGCATAGCATGCGAAACCCAACAACGGCACTTGCCGACTTTTTGAAATGAAAAAATCCAAAGGAAAGACAAGGTTGAAACATTATTTCGATTTACACATTCGTATCAACATACCAGGGTCCATCATACAGGAACCCTATTCAAACCGTCATCTCATCATGCCTGAGACCAACAAGCTACATGTTTCCTGGTATTTCCCAATCCAAGTGAATCAACTCTGACAGTAATTCCAACCCAGGAAGTTTTCCATGTAAAACGTCCAAGAACCCGAAGATTCTATAAATGACCATGCAGATAAGGTATTATCACGCCAGCTTCGCCCTTAAAAGATTATCCAAGCTGCCTCAAAACACCTAGACGTCGGATACTGAGATATCAAGACCACTCTACAATGCAAATGCCCCTCGCGCAAACCATGTTGTTCTCTCTCGTTGTACAATGAAATCAGAAAAGCCTCCCAAGTACCCCATATCCTATGACATGATGACACAGCAGGCACTGAAAATTATTCGCTCTTGAATGGTATCAAATTTCGTTCTTTGACGGTCTGTCGTTTTACTGTAATCGTTTTCTCTTTCTGTCTTCTTCTCTCATACCCTCCTCGTGCTCTTCGTCGCGCTCTGCTGTTTCCGCAGGGTTGAGTATATGGGCCATGCTACCTCTGCGAGTGGGGGGACCGGAACTATCCTTCAATAGCCCTGTTGGCGTTTTGTCTCGAGATGCTCCCCATGACCAAGAATTCAGGTACTCGGAAGTGCTTCCATTAGAAAAGGGAGGCGTTGTCGGCCGGGATATATCAGCCCGACTATGCGAGGAGGAAGCATTGGTCAGAGAATATGAACTGAAGCTATCTCGAATACGTTGGTCCTCATTCATCACAGTTGCAGTCCTTTTTGGTGAGGACGGCCATTGAGAGGAAGATTGACCTGAGGCGAATGGAGAAGTATTGGCTTGCCAGCCGGGCACATTGCGAATGTCAGCTGATGTGTGGCGACGGGCTAAGTTTCCAGAAGGCGATGTAGCCACCGCAAGATGGTGCTGTGGAGGTGGGGGAGGTGGAGCTTGAGGCCGAAGCGAACTTGGAGAGGATTGTGCCGTACTTGACGACATCGAACCATACCGTCTCGGAGGGTTGATGGCCAGTTGCGAAGAGAATGGAGGCTTATAAAAGTTTTGGCGTGGAGGAACGCCCAGAGTGGGAGGCCCTCGACGAGGGTCGTCTTGAGGCATTTGCCGCGGAGAGACAGGCGCATTGTCAAGTGAAAGATTCGAAAAGTATGGACGACTTCCGGAGAATGGTGGCTCAGGAGGGTCCTCCACCGACCTAATGATCTCAGCTTGCCGCTGAATCTCAGCCTGCATATTTATCACTGCGAGAGATTAGCGAAGAACTCCAAAGGGGACTGGACATGGCTACCATCTCTGTGGAGTGGTGTATCCGGGTTGGGGACAAGTGACAGAACAGCACGAGACATATCATGGTTCAACTAGAAATCGTTAGTGGCTTGACACAAGGGGTAATGGGTGATTGGTGGCTTGCCTGAAGCGAACGGGACAGTGCGTCCATCACGATCTGGTTTCTGACATGTAGAAACTGAGAGTTATCCTCGCTTCTCTGGAGGCGTGAGTGCATGTCGTAGAGTGTATGTTCGAGGTTTGTCAGTCTTGATTCGGTCGAATCCTGCATTGGATGTATTGGTTCTGCGGGATTTCCTGGCGGAGGAAGCGGGGGCTTGGGTGCGGAATAGGAGTCGCGATGGACCAGAGCGTGCCTTGAAGCTCGACGTTTGATTTCACGCAATCCAACCAAGTCTCCTCTCTTGAAATTCCCGTTCCCGTGTTTGAATTCCCATAGAGGGGACTCGGGAGAGCCAGTATGGAAAACATCGCTGACTGAAGAAGAGTTAGATGCTTGGGTTGCATGAACTGCTAGTTTCATATCAATATACCTTTGTGAAATCCGTACATGTTCAATTGTCGCACAAACGAAGAAATGTTCGTGTGCTTGAAGTATTGCCTGTGATACATGAGTGAGACTCGAAAAAGTCGAGGACCAGTCCTGACTTACGATAGAACCTTGGAAAAATCATTGGATGGCGACATGACGAAACTCTCGGCCGAATTGGACCAGGATATCAGATGCTGGATGTTCTGATCTTCTAACATGCTACGAATTGGTCAATGCCAGAGCCCAGAGAACCTGTCCGAGCAGAACCTACTTGTAGAGCTTGTGAATGAAGGCCGTCTGCACCACTTTGGGCTGTTGAGCTCCTGCTGCTGCCGCCGCCGCCGCATTTGGCCCTGCCAGACTGCCCGAGCTTGGTTGATCGTTCATGCCCATGTGTTGATGTTGTTGCTCCTGCACTCCGTTGGTGTCATTTTCGGGACTCGTTCGAGCTGGAGGAGCCATCATGGCCGACGAGGGGGGAGTGACCTCCATTGGATCCCCAGGCGACTGCACGGAGGTCTGGACCAGAGGGGTTTGGATGATGGGGATGGTTCGAGGGTCGCGATGTGCTGCGCTGGCATCGCTTGTGAATGGGCCTCGCTGGACTCTCTCATCGGTGATATTCATGGCTCGCGTCACCTACGATTCATAGTCAATTCCCTGTTGGTCACTGTGGTCGCAATTGCATCGTCGTGTGCGTATGCGTATGAGTGTATGCGTATGGATATGGATGGCGATGGGGGAATGGGTATGGCGATGGGGATGGGGGTTCCCTTGCCGCGGCTAGAGTTACTAGCTCTGCTCTGAAGGGAGGGGAAAAGGGGAGCAGCATATCACAGTGTCTGTGTCAGACGAACGCACCTCATTGCAGTTCGCAAGCACGGTGCGAGTGGTGATGTCTCCCGTTGTAGGAGCTCTCTGGCCATGCAAGAAGCTCTTTGTTCCTGTGCGACGATTGAGCTGCAGCTATCCGACCGTGGCGACCAGGGTAACTTGTGCCCACTGCCACTGCCACTGCCACTGCCACTGTCACTGCCACTCAGCCTCGCTGCACGAAGTGGCCTGCTTGGAATTGCACGGTGATTGGGGAATGCCCTGCGACCGAGGGCAACGAGATGCGACCGACGGTGTTACTGCGCCGATACGTCTGGGCCAGCGCCAGCGATAGAGACCAGATGGTAGTGAGCGTAAGTGAGTGGGCGTGAGTAAGTGGGTATGGATGTGAGTGTTGGTGAGGAAGTGTGGGTGAGTGGGTGCGAGTATGTGTGCCTGTGAGAGTCCAAGGGGAGATCGGGAGTGTACGATAGTAGGTTGCTGCGCTTGCGCTTGGTGTTGTCCTGAAATAGTGATAGCCCTGTGCCCTGAGAGCCTAGCCCCTACCTGGGTAGCTTGAGCTGGGCCTACCTAGCACGCCTGGGTAGCGAGTTCTAGCCAAGGCACGTTAGCGTACCTATAGGGTATGGTGCGGAGATACTGGTACATACTGGTACAGTAGCAAGGGGGACCGCAGAGAGACACAACGTCGTCAAGAAAGTGGGAGCGAGACAAGGGAGAGTTCCATTGGCACTCAATTCTGGTCCAAGTGTGTATATATACGTACCTATATGGATACATATGTATATATACATATGTACATATACATATAATATTTATATTCATATTCATATACTACCCATACAAGTAATGGGTTTGGTCTTCTAGGTGCAAACGCTCGACTAGGCCCAAACGGGTCTCTTCTCCATTCTGGCTGCCACTGTCACTGCCTCCCCGCCCCGCCATGCCATCCATGGACGACAACACTCGCCCGAGGGGCATCGAACCTGCCCTGCGTTCGCCGTCAAGCAATATAAACCTTCGAGAAAAGGGGCGCAGATCACTCATCATTCACAGCACGCGGCGAGCCTTTTGGATCCTGTACCTGGCCATCATTGGCCGTGTCAGTGGTTGCGGTGGTTGAGCTGAAGCCTGAATCTGAAGCTCTCCATCCCCATCGTCCATGGACCATATCGCATATCCATACAAGTAGCCAGGGGGTCAGGGGCCGAGGTCAGGCGCACCAATGCTTGGAAGCTTCAAGCTTGACCTGGGCAATTTGGCGATACCGTACTGGATAGTGGGATTGGGGGGCCGTTGGAGGATGGAGGATGGAGGGGCAGCGCATCTGCGCCTGGGCAACAGTTCCTAGAATTGGACACAAGTAAGAGCTGGGAAAGCCCGGAGCTGAACTTGTAAAGTCGACAACGAACGCTGTAGGAATGTTCCCTGGGGGCGGGTAAAAAAGGGGGGTGTTCATTCAAGGACATGCTCAACGTTCGCTTACACCACACTCGAGGTGCGCCGTTACCGAAATAGGTTTGCAATCATGATTGTCATGTAAACATTCGGATGTCTGATGTCAGGAAGGAATTGGAGTGCAAGGGTATAGAAAAATATAAAGATGTATATAAATATATATATCTAAGTAAAGAGACTGTCTTCCACCGTCGATCGCTCGGAGTTGATCTTCCTTGCACTAAGTGAGTTAAGGGCTGAGGGCTAAGGGGTTCGCGTATGAAGGTGGGGTTCAAGAAGACTCCTTCAAGACGTATTACTCGAGTATACAGCGTGAAATGAAATACAATACCGTCTTTCGGTGATGTGCAGTAGTAGCTAAACCCAGTGGATCATGACATGAGCATCAAATATCATTAGCATCTGAATGAGTATCGGGATGGGCATCGTCAAACGTCGTACGAAATACATTGGGCGAGATGGCACGATTGCTACCAAACAGATTTCGTCCCATGTCTCTCTCCTTGGCTCTGCCCATAGCTTTCTGGATATCAGTGCTGGTACTGGTACTGGTACCGCTGCCGCTACCGGTAGACTGATTGGGCGCGGGCGAAGGCGATGGCGATGGCGGTTGTTGCGCTTCCACCAAAGAGTATCCAGGTTGACCTTCGTACTTCGTACATGCGGCACTTGCTTACCCCTACTCGGGGTAGTATGATGACGTTTCAGGGCGTTTCCTCTTTGGGCATCCGAACCACAGTTGACCATATCAACATCTCCAGAATTATTGGTGCCTGGCGGAGCTAGCTTATAGTGATTTGAAGCCTCAGGCTAGAAGGTCACGTTTCTTTGCGATTCCTCCCGTCCACCAGCGTCCACCTCCAGGTCCGGGCTCCCGTCACCTGCAGCCCTGGAGTGCTCCACATCAGCTCCCGACCACTTCAAGCATCATGTCGACTGTTTACCACGAGGCTACGAGTAGAGATACCAGGACCAAGAATCATAAGAATAACCTCACAATCTGCTTAATACAGTAGTTGCAGTCAGCTTCAGACCATGTCGTCGACGTCCCTGGCTGAGCTTTTGGGCACCCTCCGCAAAGAAAATGGCCAACCAGACCTTGAGGCCAGACGGGAAGAGTAAGTCAACACAAAAACATGGCTTCTGGGATTATCTGAGACTTCCAGGCTCAATGATTTGATTCGGAGCCTTCCCAGCAACGACTTGCGCTTTCTAAAACACCAACTGGAATCTTATACCTTGGAAAAGGACATATGCGGAAGCTTACCACCCGAGCTTCTTCTCCACGTTTGTGCGTACCTCGATCTAGACGAGTTCCTCAAGGCACGATGTGTGTCGCGTCTATGGTACAAAGCATTTTCCGAACCCAAGGTGCTTCGCAGTATTGCCAGAGTACATTCCTTGTCTGCTCGGAGAGAATCCTTTGATCCGAAAGATCGAGAATTGCAAAATGAGGCACATCCTTCGATTTTGGAATGGCTACCAAGAGCTGCATCAAAGAGAACCAAGAGACTTCACGGCCAGTATACATCGGTGTCTGCGCGACCGTATACCAAGCCACAACCAAACCATCAAGCAGTGGCTGCGAAGCAGTACTGTGGAGGAAGAGTCGCTTTCAATCTAGGCGAGAGGAGTATTGCAATCACAGATCTCCGCACAAATATCACGACAACTGTGATGGATCCTGATAGGGCAAGGCTGGAAAAATGGCATTTATCAGAGCAGTTTTTGGTAGCCTTTACTAAAAGCCCGTGAGTATTTTTTTTTCCTTTGGCGAGATTTACTTTGTACTAAAGAGCTCGTCAGCCAATACATCATTGCGTTTCCCTTGGGCCTTGAAGTCGGCGAATCCAAGAGCGTCCGGCTCCCCTCCGCGGTCAGAGGGCTCTTCCAGTATCAGGACGTTGTTGGTATGATAACAACCATGTATGAAGTTCTGATCTGGGAAATTGGGGGGAAGCTTCGTTCTTTGGCTGCTTCTATCCCTGACCATCTTGTGCCCTTCAAGCTAAAGCCTGTTGGCATGACTTTTCATCCTCAGGACACGCGCAACGTTTTTGTTGTTCTTACTGGCGCAAATAGACAAGTGTCTAATAGCAAATGCAAACTTTCCGAGCCGATCACCAAAATCGTTATTCAGGAATACAGATATCCTGAGCAGCTCCCAGTTACTATACACGAGTTCGACTTGTTCCGCGATGTCGAAGTAGATTTTGACAAAGATACTCCCAATCGGAAATTTCTTGCACTCGAGGATAATTCCATTGGTATCGGAATTAGAGATATGGTCTCGACAGCAATGGACGATGAGGAGCCCGAGGATGTTGTTTGGGGAGAGAGCCAGTACAAGAGAGTGCCTCCGGCACTTCCAAGGCCACATCCATGCAAACATGATATATCTTCCAAGAAGGCTTTACGCCCGCACACACGATGCCGTCAATCCGTTGAACTATCTCAGCACAAGACGATAAAAGCCCTTGTTGTGGTCAAATTCAATACCCAGTCGAAAATCTTTAGCACACAGTGTTACCATCCACCAATTTATACCGGCTACGAGTTGCCGACGTATGCAGAAACCCACCTGTATGATCATGCTCTCTTTTGGCGAAATCAACTCGTAACTGGAGATGGCACTTCTCCTGCATATATTATGGGACTTAATGATTGCAGTCAACGCCCCAATGATATGGATGCGTCACTAGATTTCTGCGGCTATGGGCGACTAGAATCCAAGACATCATGGACCGCGTTTACCTGGGTAAGTCATCGATCTGAACCCGCGGGAGCACAATGGGCCGGAAGGGCAGATCCTAACAGTGGGGACTTTCAATCGGAATTCCAAGGCGACGACGAATTTGTGGTCAGGTTTCTGCCGTACGGCTATTTTGTCTGGTATTTTGGCGAACATATAGCAATTCCCACTGTGCGACCGACCCGTATTCATACGGAGAGAAAATTATGTGATCATGAGATATCTGAGTAAGATGAGGATAAGGTTCCTGTTCGAGGATTGGCCGACCCTCTCTTTTACCGTGGTGGGAGGACGTATGGAAGTTACTAGTGGGTCGACCAGGTTAGTCGATAACCTAGTGTGTATTTCCTCGTGATGGTTATCAAAATCATCTGCTTCCATCGGTACTAACAGATCTGGCACATTGTATCAGTCTTTGACGGTTTTATGCTACCGTAGATCTCAAAACCTATTAATGTCCAAATGCCCTAGAATCATGTATCAATCACCCAGGTTGAGAGCTTGGTAATCTGGGATGTATTTCTCCGTAAAGACGGCACAAGTTATCTGCTTTCGCTGATGCTAGGTGGTAGCATTTGCACATTATATCCGTCGTCGTCGGTTTTAAGCTGCTGTAAATACCGAATTCCAACGTCCATAGGCTGTTGTATACATACACCCTTTTAATTCAATGTGCTTCATGTACTCGTAGCTCTTACTCTTCCCACAGACCCAGCTGTAAAGCCGATGTATATCACCGAAAGCTGTCGGAGAAATGCACCGCTGATTACTGGTATTGGTGGGGGACTTCACTCAATGACGTGGGGCATTTTCGCAGCTGAAATAGTGGGGTGAAGAGAAGATAAAACAACTAAGTTACCAACTATCTCTTCCCTTGAAAACCACAAAACACCATCAATTCTTCTTGAAAACATTTGTGGATATCCAAAGAGTCTTCAGTTCGTGTCAAATTTCAGCGTTCAACACGTACACCCGCAGAGATGAAAGTATTTCTTAGTGGTACGTATACTTTGGGATTGATATTCTCCAAACTACCCCGCATCCTTCCCCCACTATCACTACTCTTGTTCTCCCACCAAGACTCCGTTCGAATCGCAACCTAGGTTGGAATTGGGGTAAGGTCAATAATAGTAACGTTTCGTAGGAGGATCCGGCTTCATCGCCGCCCATGTTCTTGACATTCTCCTTGAACAGGGTCATGAGGTTATCACCTCCGTTCGTTCCCAAGCCAAAGCCGACAAGATCAAAGCTGCACACCCGAATGTACCATCCTCTAAACTCGACTTCCGCATCATAGAGGACATTGCAGTTCCAGGTGCCTTTGACGAAGCTCTCAGAATCGACGGTCTCGAAGCTGTCATTCATACAGCTAGTCCTTTCCACTTTAACGTCACCGACATCAAGAAAGACCTCCTCGATCCCGCAATTACTGGCACCAAAGGTATCCTCTCCGCCATCAAAAAATATGCACCTTCCGTTAAGAAAGTCGTAATTACCTCCTCTTTTGCCTCCATCGTGGACCCCTCGTTAGGAAATGAAGCTCCCTCCAAGACTTATACCGAGAAGGATTGGAATCCAATTACAGAAGCCGAGGCATTAGAAAATCCTTCTAATGGTTACCGTGCCAGTAAAACATTTGCTGAGCGTGCAGCTTGGGAGTTTGTCGAGAAGGAGAAGCCAAATTTCACCCTGAGCACTATGTGTCCGCCTTTGGTTATTGGTCCAGTGGTGCATTACTTGAATTCCCTGGATGCACTCAACACTAGCAATCAGAGAACAAGAAACTTCATGACCGGGGAGTGGAAGAAGGAGATTCCAGATACCGGGACTTTCGTAAGCCCCGTCTCTCTTCACCCTATATTCATTCGCTAGTCAATTGCTAACGCCAATAACAGGTTTGGGTAGATGTTCGCGACCTTGCCCTCTGTCACGTTCTAGCTCTTACTAAGGAGAAGGCTGCCAACGAGCGTTTCTTTATTGTTCAAGGCTTCTTCAGTAACCGTGATATATGCGAGATTATCCTCAAGAACTTTCCTGAGCTAGCAGATAAGTTACCGGGCAAGGAGGTGAAGAGTGGCGATTATCCAGCCGGCGGCCCAGATGCTCTCTACAAATTTGATAACTCCAAGGTAAAGGATATCCTGGGCGTCAAATTTAGGTGTTTGGAGGAGAGTGTTACGGATTTGGTAAAGAGCCTGAAGGGAATCGGTGCGTAGATGGGATTTGGGAATTCGTTTTCTTCAAGGCTGGTTAGAATAATGGTAGAGGGGCTCCTTGGAATGAAAATTGATCATTGCGAGAGGTGAGAGGTGAGATTTCACGCTCACATCTACACACATTTTCCCTATTGAATACTAGACTTTTTCTTCCAACTCCAAGCGCTAGTAGCACTTGTCGCAGAAGATAGCATGTTACGGAGTATATATCATTACAGCCAGGCATCTTTGTTTTCTTGCTGCGTATATTTTATTTTTCTTCATGCTTAAACTGTTGGTTTTCCATTCCATATTGTATACGCGTCAAAAAAAGGTTTACTCAAAAGTCTTGTCTTTTTATTGTCCATTCGCCAAGTAGATAAGCTATTCCCAAAGTTGGTAAAGCTACAATCTGCCGACCGGCACGCCTTTCCTACCTAGGCATGAGCTTATTTGCCCCATGAAATCCACAATTGAGCCTCATTCTTACTGCTTTTCGAGTCAGGTCTTGAAACATGGGTGGACGGGGTATTATCTGTTTTCCGCGAGCGAATTGTTCAATTATATACTCGTAGACCTTGAGATAAGCTATTTTTTTTTAAGAATAGGTACGTAGAAGCTCGTGCTATTTGTATTCACTTCGAACTAGATTGAAATCCGCACCATTTGAACGCCCAGTGGCCAAGCATACCGATCAAAGTTTGGGGTTGGATGATTGGCATTTCACCCACATTCCAATGACACTCCATCGGAGCGACCCACACATGTATATTCATCACATTCACTATGACTAGAATGACAGGTCTCGCTACCATTCAGCATCTACCTCCGCACATCCTTCGTAACTGCACTAGTATCTTATCATCTCTTGCGCTTCGAGAAGTACCCAAGCATCAAATACTTCTGAGGTGCCTTGCATGACCCCGCAATTGACTTGCGAGCGTTCTGCACCTTCCTGAATGTATGGTGTCGATTTCCGGGATTTACCCAACCATCAGCCAGCTTCCTAGAACAGAAGGTATGGGATGGAATTCCGCCCAATCAGCGCAGATATGTCATAGTATTATCGCCATGGGCACTTCGCCGGATGGGTTCTTTGCGGTTAAAGGAGAGCCCAAACAGTGAATCAATCAATGTAATGGAGTATATATATCGAGGGACTCGCTGAAGAAGGAGTGATCTTCACGGAGAACTACCTTCAGTATTCCTCAACCGCAGCCATGAAGTTCACATCTTTCTGCTGTCTCGCAATTGCGCCCTTGCTATCCCTGGCTTGTCTTCTCCCCGAAGAACGAGCAGGACTGGCCCGTATTCCAAACCGTCGTCGCCAATCCAATGGAGTACCAATTGCAACCGGTGATCGTTACAATGGCGGTACCATTGCCCCACGAGGAGTGGGAACGCAATCGGTTACGCTGACCTCCATCTTGAACGTCAACGAAATCAACAGCGGCCTGAGGGGTCTCGCCGCCGAATACGGTATCGAAACCTTCACAACTCCATATCGAACCTTTAATGGTGCTTCGATCCAAGGAGGCAAAGTAGGAGGCACTGGAACGTGCAACAACGCTTACCGGGTCTACTTGAATGCTATGCTCCACGCCCGCGAACGTGGTGGCTCTGATGGTCTGTTGTTCTTCATTGGAGATCTCCTCTATGCGAACAAGAACAACGTTGGCTTAAACTACGGATCCAAGTCCTACACCAATGCTCAGGTGAAGACAGCTTTGGCCACTGGAATTGTCTTCATTCCACTCAGCAACCCCGACGGCGTTGCTTATGACCAATCTTCGAACAGCTGCTGGCGCAAAAACCGCAACACCAGGTCTGGATCCAGCGGATCATCCATTGGTGTTGACTTGAACCGAAACTTTGACATCCTCTGGGATCTTAACAAGTGGGCACCAAGCGCTCGTGGCGATGTCGCTTCCTCCAGCCCCTCTTCGGAGGTCTTCCATGGTACGTATTCAGAGACCCCTAGCACCCTTTTACCCCGGGAACCCGACTAACTCAACTCTTTTTCCACAGGTACCGCTCCCTTTTCTGAGCCCGAGACACAGAGCATGAAATGGGTCTTGGACACCTACCCCAAGATTAGATGGTTCGTCGACATGCACTCATACGCCGGAGATGTCTTGTACAGCTGGGGTACCGAGACCAACCAAGGCACCACCGCAAACATGAACTTCTTGAACACCACATACAACAGTGTTCGAGGTATTGTATCCGACACTCCTGGCCGAAATGGCGGATATGGCGAGTACACTCCAGCAACCGAGAGCCAGATCAACATCGCTGCTGCTAGGCGTATGAGCCAGGCTATGAGCACTGCTAGGGGCCGAACTTACGGTGCCATTCCAGGTGCGGAGTTGTACCCAACCTCTGGAGCAAGTGATGACTACTCCTACTCTCGTCACTTCGCAGACCCCACCAAGAACCTTATCCACGCTTACACTCCCGAATTTGGCTTTGGAAACACTGCCTCCAACTGCCCATTCTACCCAACTCAGGCTCAGCACAACAACAACTTGGCGGAGATCGGTGCGGGCTTTATGGAGATATTGTTGGCAGGTACTGATCTTGGTCTTGGTGATGCCGTTTCCTGCTAGGTGGTGATTTACTAGCATGGGGGCATGTTTAGGAGCGCCCCTTTCAATGTATATACATGATAATAATGATAATTTAAAGTAATTTCTAAATCCCTTTTACTAAGACGGTTATAAGTGAGTATGCCTATGAATAAGTAGGTAAGTATCGGTACTATACTCTACTATATATATATAGTAATAAGTCGTATATATCATAATAGTACGCGGGCTTCTAGAATTTCCATAAACAAAGTAGCGTATATATACTTAGATAGAGATATATAAAAGTACGGTAATTAACTAAGATACCCTTATATATATTATAAATACCTGAGATACCCCTAGAATAATTCGCTTATAACTAAGATACCCTCTAAATCGTGCTCCCTAAGTTCAGGGGTATCTTAGTCGTAAAACAAGGGTATCTCGGTTACTTTAGTAGTAGATTTTAAAGGAAAACCGTAGTTTTTTTTTAGATAAGTTAGGCTTAAGATATATATTTACCTAGGAGTTTAACCCCGTATTACTTACACGTGTAAGTACTATACCTAGCTAGGACTAGGGCTAGGGCTAGTACTTAGGACAAGGATATTACTTAGAACAAGGATATTACTTAGAACAAGGATATTACTTAGGACAAGGATATCGTATAGGTAGGTATTACTTAAGAGGTAATCTAGTATAATACTCTCGTCTTAATATAGATTTTTCCCTCGTTCCTTAGATCCCTAAAAGAGACTCTAGAATCCTTTGTATGGGCTAGAACTATAAGCCTTAAGTTATAACTATATTAGGTAAGTGTCACGAATCACGTGTTAGCACGTGGTTAGCGAAGACCAGGCGGCGTCCTGACAGGTCAAGCACTACCAGAATACTTATAGCAGATAGGGATGCTTAGGTTAGCTAAGCGATCCAGGGATTTCATAGCAATTATATCACGTGACCAGTAATGGTCGTTTGGTCGCGGCGACCAGCAGCGATCATGAGGATGAAGGTTCTATATAAGACTGGCACGTCTGCCATTAGATAGGAGCTTCGTGCTCAACTTAGTTATCAACTTAGTTATCAATCTTATCATATTAGTTTGACATCTTTGATACAAGTAACGAGTTCACTTCCAAGTGATCAACCCGATAGTCTTCTTCTTATCATAGCATACCAACCAGCGAACACCCAGCCAAGTTTAGTTAGCCAGTTTGAGTATTCGTTACAGTAAGGCGTAGGAGTCATTACGATATTAGGAAAGAAAAAGTAGATTAGGTAGGAATACTAAAACTCGTCGTAGCGTATACGGCTCTTCTTAGCTATATAGTAGTACTTCTACCTATTAGAAAGACGTATAAATAAGACGTATTTATAGGGATAATTAAGTACTATTATATTCTCGAAGTATATATTGTTCCGATATATACGTATACGGCTCTCGGTGCGGCTCCCTATATAGCTAAGTATAGCTTTGCGGTAATACGAGCGATACGAGTTCTTGCCCGTACGACGGCTATAAGAGTCTCCCTAGAGACTCTTATACTAAGATTACTTAAGAGGAGGATATTACTTAGGATAAGAATATCGCTTAGAATAAGGATATTACTTAGGATAAGAATATCGCTTAGAATAAGGATATTACTTAAGATAAGAATATTATATAGGTAGGTATTACTCAATAAGATATTACTTAGGATAAGGTTATTACTTAGGAATAAGTAATTATTATAATTAAGGCTAATTTAAGTAGAATTATAAATAAAAAGCGGAAGAGAAAGAATTAGAGTTAACTACTACTAAAATTAACAAGAACTAGTTTATAAAGTTATATAAGTTATTAGTAGTACTAGATTACTAATTTACTTTATTTATTACTTTTTACTTATATTACTATATTAATCTAATAAATAACAAGAATCCTAATTTCTAGCCTAACCTAAATTAACTAATATACTCTTGCTTTATAACCGAGATACCTCTTATTAGTTTAACTCTAATAGAGAGTCTAGATAAAGTGTTAATATAAATAGAATAGTATTATATTCGACTATTAGATATATATACCGAGTAAAGATTATAGGTGCTCGCTATTATATAGTAGTACTAAGGCGTCAGCGCGCCTACTAGCCCTAAGGTTAGCTTATACGTACTATAACTTATACCGAGTATTTACTTAATATTCGTATAGCGATACCTCTAAATTTAAGGGGTATAATTTAAGGGGTATCTTAGTTATAAGCGAATTATTTTAGAGGTATCTTAGGTATTTATAGCATGTATAAGGGTATCTTAGTTAATTACTAATAAAGTAAGAGCGTTTATAGTAGATTAAATCTAACCGTATAACTAAAGTAGATATAAAGTACGAAACAAATATAGGTTAATCGACTATAGAATTACTAATTACTAAACTTCTAATTATAAATCTACTTTTATTATAGAATAGGTTTAGACTATTTTATTAGCTACAAGTATAGAACTATTTATAGTACCTTTACTATTACTCTACCCTTATTATTACCCTCTTACTATCATACTCTATTATATTTTATTATATTTATACTCTTACTATTATATATACTCTTAGTTTTATAATTACTATTACTTTCGCTATTATAAACAATATAAGTAGAGAAGAAGGTAAACTACTATTATAAGTAAACGTAAAAGTTTTATATTTTCGCTTAAGTAATATAAGAGTCTTTTATAAACCGGCTAGATTATTATATTACTACTTTCGTTCTTATCTAATTCCTAAGCCTTAGCCCCTTTCCTTCTTCGTTAATAATTTACTATAATAGTAAGACTATAAAGAATAGTAATATAAAAAGCTAGGCGAGCGCTAACAAGAATATAATAGCTAGTTTGTTATTATTCTTAGATATTATAATATATATTTAACTATTATAAAGTATTCTTTTAAATATTAAACGTATATTTAAAAATACTATTACTATAAATACTATATTTAGTCTTATATATATAAATATATATAATAAATAGCTAATAATTACTTAAAATAGCTTAGTTTTAACTATTATAATTTATAGACTATTTAGAATAAAGTAATCTTAAGGTTTATTAGTATATATATAAGATTATAGTTTAATAGACTATATTTATTAAATACCTTATAAGTTAGATCTTTATTATAAGAGATAGCTTATAGAGCGCCTATAATTTAGAATTCTAGAGTATTAATAATAAAATAAACCTATTTTAGCTTATTAATAACTATTCTACTATAATCCTCTAATTAATTCCTTAGACTTTCTAAAAATAACTAATAAACCTATATATTATAAGTATTAAAAACTAGGGTTTATATTTTTTGTTTATTTTTTATTTAATTATAATTAGATATATCTATATATCTACTAATCCTACGTTACTAAATAAAGTTATTAGTAAAAAAATTACAGACCCTTATATTTATACTCTAGAATATAAGTTATATTCCTACTAGTCTATTAAACCTAACCTTAAGATTATTTTTAAATTAAAAAATAAATAACTAAGGTAAAATAAACGCTATTATTATATATTACTACTAATTAGTATATAGCTTAGGTTTTATTATATATTTAATTAGATATTAGTAGAATTCCTTTTTATATAAAAGACTTTACTTAACCTACTTTATTATTTACTTAAAACTAGCGATAATACCTAAGTTACTATAAGATAATCTTTTTTTATACTTCTTTTAAAAGATAGTATATATAAATAGCTAGCTATATTTTATATAAGTAGCCCTAAGATTTAGTTATAGTTATACCTTTTTTTAGAAGTTATAACTTTATATAAAAAAAGACTTATTATATATTATACCCTTTTTATTATATAGTTATTAAACCTTATACTTTACTAGGCTTTTAATATTTCTACTATTTATTATTTTTCTAATCTTACTTTATTAGAATAAGAGGAAATAGTTAAAATATTTAATAAGTTCTTAACTAAGATTATAATATTTATTATATTATATATAGTCGGAAGTACTTTTATTAACTTATAGAAGTAATATTATTATATTTAGTAATTCGATTTATTACTAAATTATAGTTATAATATCTAAGAGTTTAGCTAAGCCTAATATATTAGATAATACTTTAATATTGAGGGATTTTAGGTAACTTATATATAGTTAGAATAGTATATAACTAAGCTATATTAAATAATATTAAAAAAGTAATTCTAAGCTATATTACTAAAATAAATATTAATATAGCTCTAGACCTAGACTAGTGGTCTTAGTTTAACTAAGAGGCTATATATATTATTCTACTATTTTATATAGTTAATAGTATACTACTACCATAATCTAACCTATAAGTACCTAAAGATACTATAACTATAGATTTAGAGGATATAGTATACTATATACTTAGAATTAGTAGTAATTAGATAATATATCTTAAGAATATATAAGAGAAATAAGTCTTAGAGAATTTTAATTTTAAGGTTTCGGCCTTAGAACCTTTAGATACTAAAAGTAATAATAATAATTTATAAAAGTCTTTCTTATACTATTAGTAAATATCTATTTTAGATCTAATAATCCTTAGTTAAACTTTATTTATAAGGAGGCTTTAGTAATGTTTAAGTATTCTTCTTTTTTATACTTATACTTATTAATACTAAAGGAGTTTTTTTTATTTTTTTTATTGTTTTTAATTCTTTTTATATTTATTTAGATTACTGAAATGTTTTATTATTATTTCTTTCTTTTTTGTTTTCTATATAAGAAGTAAATAAGTATTTATCTCTTTTTTTCGGTTTTTTATATAAAGAGTAAATAAGTATTTATTAATATTATCTCTAGACTTTTCTTATTCTTTTATTTAGGCTTATAAGATAAGGTTTTTTTTAGTAAGTTATTTCTTTAACTACTTTTTTCCTCTCTTAGATAAATCTATATTTAGTATTAAATAATAATTTATATTTTTTTATAAAAAGTATCTTTTATATTTGTAAGTAATATTTAAGAGTAATATTCGAGAGGTTTATAGTAAGCTAATATTATTCTATGCTTAGTATGATAAGTATAAAAAGAGTTTTTCTTAATTCTTATAACCTTTATTTAATCTTATTA